GCGCGGCGGGTTCCTGCCCCGTCACTCGGCACGTCGCCCCCGGGAGGCGCTGCGACGGGCGACGGGGACCCGCGCGTCGCCCCCCGTCGCCCGTCGTGGCCTGCGCGCGGCCCGTACACCCGGCACGCGGCCCGTACGGGCTGCGCCAGGCCCGCGCGCGGCCCGTACGGGCTGCGCCAGGCCCGCGCGCGGCCCGTACGGGAAGCGCCAGGCCCGCGCGCGGCTCGGGCCGCCTGCGCGCGGTTCGGGCGGCTCTACCAGGCCCGTGGGCGGCCCGTTCCTCGCTGCTCCTGCCCTCTCCACTGTCCCCCGTGCTTCTACCGGCGCCTCACCCCTCCTACAGCCCGTTCTCCTAAATTAGGGTTTGGGGGTGAAGAGTGTGGGGGTGGCGGCTATGGGGGTGTCGGTTGTGAGTTCCTCCCCCTGCTCCTCCTCCTCCCTCGTCTCCCTCTGCTACAGCTGCCGCTGAGGGGGGTGGTGTGTGGGAGCCTAGGGTTTGGGGTTTAAGGGGGGTACCGTCGGAGTGGAGCTAGGGTGTCAGCAGGGGGTGTGTGAGAGGGGCGTGGGACGGTCGGGGGAGATTGCGTGGAGGTAGCCGTCGTGACGCCAGCAGCGCCAGTAGTCCGGATGCCCTCGCGCGTTTCGGTAGCCCAGCGAGCCTGCTTCGCCAGTCGCCTGTGGGTCCGTTGCTCCTGTGTGTGCTCGTCGTAGCCGCGGAGCCAGATACTCCCGTAGTCCGGTGCCCTCGTGCGCTCGGTAGCCACTGTGCGCGCCGCTCCTGTTGCCCGTGTGTCTGCAGCTTCAGTCGGCGCCTTTCATCTTCTCTCCTCTCGCCAGCCCTCCTCCTCCTCGCTTGCCCTCTGTGACTGCCTCTAGCTTTGCTCATAACTGTGAACTTTAAACTATTGCTTCTTGAACTTGTGCTCAGAATGTGTGGTGACATTGTGATCCACCCTGAGCTTGTACTGCTTTGCTTGCTCTGCTGATTACACCCCACTTTGGCTATGGGGGTGTGTCAGAATGCTATTATTGTCTAGCCTGCAGTGGGGTACTCTATAGCGAGTACAGCCCAATCTAGGGTTTGCTATTTGTACTCAACTGCCTGCTAGTTCAAACCCCTCTCTCCTTTCAATCATTCTTGCCTAGTGATTCTGATAGGAGCTGCTGGGGGTACTGGAGCTGCTGGAGCTGCCGGTTCTGGTGCAGCTGCGCCGCCACGACTGTTCTTCGCTCCGCCGTCTCCGTCGTCTCTGCCGCCGCCTGACTCTGTTCTTCGTCAGGTTCTTACTCTCCCGTCGTCTACTGGTCTTCCGTTACAGCCTGGCTCACCGCTGCCTGCTCCTTCTCCTTACACTAAGCAGACTGGTAGTCTTGCTGAGCGTCGTGAGCCTGCGTCGCGTCCTGTCTCGCCTGTTCGTCCTAGTCGTACCGGTCGTCGTGTTCCGCGTCCGCGTTCGCCGCCTGTCCCCACCGCACACCTTGTCGTCCGTCGTCCTTCCTCTGTTCCGCAGTCTGTTTCTCTGCCGTCTCCTCCTGCGTCTTCCTTGCCTCACGTTCCGGACCCTGAGTCTGACCGGTTTCGTGCTGAGCACCCTACTGTCACGCGTCTGCTCGCCACTGTTGTCACTGACCCCTCGTTTGAGTCTGCTGCTGCGACAGCTTTGGTTGCCGAGCTTGTTGACTTTGCGGCTGCCTGTCGTCTAGACTACGCTGCTAGTCTTGTCGCTGAGTCTGAGTCTGTCTGTCCTCCGTCCGTCGGGGGTGAGTGTGCTCTTAGCACGGATGTCCTTGAGGACAGGCACGAGGACCTTGAGTGTCTTGCAGCCGCTGCGCCTCATCTCGTGACCATGCTGCTTGCCCCTGAGGGAGACCCGGATGCACTAGACATCCCCACCCCGCGCTCGTACGCTGAGGCGGTCGCGGGTCCCTACTCCTCTCAGTGGCAGGCAGCCATGGACGCAGAGATGGCATCCTGGAAGTCCACAGGCACTTACGTCGACGAGGTTCCCCCTCCTGGGGCGAACATCGTCAGTGGCATGTGGATTTTCAGGGTGAAGCGGCCGCCTGGTTCTCCGCCTGTCTTCAAGGCACGTTACGTTGCTCGAGGCTTCAGTCAGCGAGAGGGGGTTGACTTCTTCCAGACCTTCTCCCCCACCCCGAAGATGACCACTCTTCGGGTACTGCTGCACGTTGCCGCCCAGCGTGACTACGAGCTTCACTCGCTTGACTTCAGCACAGCTTTCTTGCAGGGCAGCCTGCACGAGGAGATCTGGCTGCGCCGCCCACCTGGCTTCACTGGGTCGTTCCCTCCTGGTACCCAGTGGAGCCTCCGCCGGCTGACCCGTCACTGTTTCTGCGCACCGACACTTCGCTGCCGCCGTTCTACATCCTCGTGTACGTCGACGACTTGGTCTTTGCCACTGCTGACACTGAGGCTCTCGCCCTGGTAAAGTCGGAGCTGCAGAAGAGACACACGTGCACAGATCTGGGTGAGCTGCGCAGCTACCTTGGCTTGCAGATCACCCGGGACAGAGCACGTCGCACCATCACTCTGACTCAGTCACACATGGTGCAGCAGGTCCTTCAGCGCTTCGGCTTCACCTGGTCCTCGGCACAGTCCACTCCTCTGGCTACAGGTCACTCGCTCTCAGCTCCACCTTCGGACGAGTCCGTAGAGCCGAGTGGTCCTTACCCAGAGCTAGTAGGCTGCCTCATGTACCTGATGACTTGCACTCGTCCTGACCTTGCGTACCCTCTTGGCCTTTTGGCCCGCTACGTGGCTCCTGGTCGGCACCGAAAGGTGCACTGGGATGCTGCGAAGAGGGTACTGCGCTACTTGTGCAGTACATCGGGCATGGGGCTCGTGCTTGGAGGACGGCGAGAGGTGGTCCTCACTGGGCACTCAGACGCGTCTTGGGTTGACGACCAGGCTATGCAGCGGTCGTCACAGGGTTACACTTTCAGCCTCGGCTCTGGCTCTGTTTCGTGGCGTTCTACTCGCTCGTCTTCTGTTCTCAGCTCCAGTTGTGAGGCTGAGATCTACGCCACCGCCATGGCTGCTCAGGAGCTGCGCTGGCTCACGTACCTGCTGACCGACCTGGGAGAGCGGCCTCGTTCTCCTCCAGTTCTGTACGTTGACAACAAGGCAGCCATTGCCTTGTGTGAGGAGCACAGACTGGAGCACAGAACGAAGCACATCGCTCTGCGTTACTTCCTGGCTCGAGAGTTGCAGCAGCGTGGTCAGCTTCGTCTTGCACACGTGGCCACTCGGGCCAACACTGCTGATATATTCACCAAGGCACTTCCGTCTGGTGATCATCAGCGCTTTTGTACCTTGTTGGGCCTTGTGCCTACGTTTCCACACTTGCTGTAGACTCTGCCTGTACTGTGATCTTTATATATATATATACCTGCATGCTTGCTCTTGCTAGGTAGTGATCACTGTACTTTGTTTGTTGCATATATACCTCTGCATGTGGACAGGCCTTGTGGCCCTTTGCTTGTGCTCAGTGTGTGTGGTGACGTTGTGATCCACCCTGAGCTTGTTTTGTTTCTCTTGACTGGTCTTGTGACCCCTTGTTCTCCCCCACTTTGCCTATGGGGGTGTGTCAAACTATGCATATTGTGTTTGTGTAGGCTGCTAGTGGGGTAGCCCATATGGGGTACAACCTAATTAGGGTTAGCTTATGTACCCAACTCTTGATCAATGCATTCATTCCTGCTGTCAGATTCTAACAAAAAACTGTTCCCGCCAAAGCCATCCTGCCTGCAGCTGTCGATGCCATCTGCCCCGACGGTCAATATGTGCTGTAACTGTCTGACGCTTCGAGTCAATTCTTAACCGTCTGACTCTTCGCGTTCGTTCTCGATACTGCGTGCTTCCTTTGCTGCGGTGAGGAGTGCACAGTAACATTCGGGTATTACTATTCGTAACAATTTGGATACCCTAAATCATTTTCAGCATACCTTATGGTGACAGGGAGGTACATCTCACGGATCCATTATTTACAGGGTCTCCTTGCATTTTACCTTTGCAAAGCAGACTAATCAGGATAAAACGCCCTGCAATCCAGAGACCTGCAAAACTCGATCTTGGCCCGAACCGACCCAGTTGGCAACAAAATTCGTACTTGTTGCCAAGTTGCAGTTGTTTGAGTGCTGTTGCACATTTGCCAACAATGCATACAATGCGCTATGCAGCACAATTTGACTGGAACCGTATGGTTTTGTTTTGATGAAGGATCCTATATGGAGTGCAGGTGCAGCATGAACGTTATGTGATCAATCTACTGCACTCGCATCTGGAACTGCAAATCGGTCGTGTACCCACTTCCGTTCAGATACTACTTGTGACACCGAGGTCCCTTCGAGAGTCTAATGAGATTCTTGAATACACCCGAAAGTTTTGGGAGTCTGAAATTCTTTTTTGGGAGAGACAAGGTCCCGATATTCGTTGTGCAGTACAAGAGCCCCGATTTCAGATTTTCAGATTCTTCTAGGCTTCGTCACTTTTCCTGCCCATTCGTCCCGTAGTGAAAGACCGCACTTTATGGGATCACGTTTGAGATTGTTTTCGACGTGAACCATGGTTTCCATTAGGTGCCCGGCCAGAATCTGGATGCCATGGATCATGGTGTTCTCCAGAATCTAGCTGGCTGGAGGCGTAACCACCACGGCAGCGCCAGCAGCAACCTGGCAAAATGCCAAATGAACAAAAAAACCGACACGCACGCCAGTGAGGAATGGCGGTGAAGTGTACTGTAACAGAGACCTAACAAAATGGACACATGGCGGTTCATCCGTGGCTGCTTTTAAAATTTCGGCCCCTAGTTTCACCTTCCTCTAACAATTCCACCCCCCCCCCCCCTTCCACCCCCAGCGATGTGTTCGGGCTTTTGGGTGAACCCATATTTGTGGGATACTAGACGGGACAGCAAAGCAGAGGTGGATCCTCTCATCCGATATCACCTCATCTCATCTCGAGGTGCCAGCGATGAATCATGATGAAAGCAGCTTCTACGCACGCATGGTTCCCCCGTCACCATCTTGGACCCCCATCCTCTCCTCCTTTCACACCGTACGCTCCAACTCCAGCAGCCATTCTTTCGTTCACTTCTTTGTCAGTAATCGTTTTAGCTTTCCTTTCCAATCTACCTCCTTCCCCAATCCATCACATTGTAGAACCCGCAGTGAAGTCCCATTCAGCTTCTGTTGCTTCCCTGAGGGATACCGTACCCAATAGATAAGCCAATGATGTCCTCCGTGTCGCCTGTCCCATGGCGAAGCGTGGAGGGCTTACGACACGACAAGCGACTACTGTCACCGGAGGGCCCGCGGGAGTTCGTCCATTTAAGAACAGGCTCGCTAGAAGACGAGTCTCGCGTCGTCCCCATCGCGCGCTCGTCGAATCCAGCTGCGTCGCATGTAGTAGGGAGACATTCAGGGCCGCAAATGACGGCCGGAATCTGCGGCGGAGGCTCGTCAGAAAGCCAGGTGTCACCGAACAGCGCTTTGTCGCCGATTAAGAGTAGTAGCAGTTCGAGCGGTGGTGCTTTGCCTCCGACGGGCGGCGATGCGCTTCACTCGGCGGGAAAGCCGGTAGTTATTCGGAAACGCGGTGACGCCTTCGACGATTCGCAGCTATTTCCGTCCGCACGAGCGTCTCCATCGGTAGGCCGACGTTTCTACCTTTTTTTTTTTTGGTCTTGTGATTTGGTAGTTGGCCTGTCATCTGATGAGATATCAGGCTGAGGCGAATGGTATTATCGAAAGACGCGACCCGATACAGTTGATTGCAATTTGAATTAGTACAAAGAACAAAAGAAGTCTAAACGAAGCAAGCGAGACGCGCCGCACTCACTCTATTATTGACGCACCCCACGCACCCCTGATGCCGCTGCGCATGCGACTCGTGTCTCTCCCGCTGCGCATGCATCCACCGTCGCTCCTTTACCTGACGCGCCATCTCCTCTCCCTCTCTATCCTCCTCTCGCCCTCTCGCCGTCGCTTTCCCTCACTCCACACCGTCAGTCTCAAAGCTTCTGTTCGGTAACGCTCCCTCTCTCTTCCTCGCCTTCTCCGTCTCGCTCGTCTCGTTTCTCTCCCTCACACCCTTCCACATCGCCAGGCGTGCGCTTCTATTCCTGGTCCCTCAACTATTTCTGCTTTTGAGTCGACTCAAAAGCTATTCCTGGTCCCTCAACTATTTCCGTCTCCTCTCCCTCCCCCTCTTCCTCACGCTCGCATCTCTCCTCACACCCTTGTAGTTCATCGCTCTCGAATCCTCGCGCTCTTATAACGGCATCATTGATCCGACTTCATCGGTCGTCGCTCCTTTTGAGGCTCCTCAAAACTCCCCCCCTCGCGCTCGTATAACCACCACAGCATAAATCTGACTTGACTGATTTGATTGGCTCTTCAATAGACTCTCCACTTTCCAACTCATTCGTCTCTCTCCCTCCCTCGCGTTCTTATAATCACCTCAGCATCAATCTGACTTCACTGGTTTTTACAGGCGCCTCAGAAGACTCTCCCCTCTCTCCCTCATTCATTCGTCTCTTCCCTCTCTCCCCTCTCCTCTCATTCTTCTCTCTCCCTCCCTCCCTCGCGTTCTTATAACAGCAGCATCAATCTGACTTCACCGCGCGTCGTTCTTTGGACATTTCAGCAACCAGCCAATCAAGGCCCGCTTGCGTGGCGACATCTGAGGCGCCGGTTCCAGCTGGCGGCTCGGTAGCGCGCCGAGTGTGGACAGACAGCGACACGTCAGCAGCACCAGCACCAGCAGCAGCAGCAGCAGCAGCAGAGCCGCGCGGCCAATCAGCATCATGGGCTAACAATCTCGGATGTAAAGCGGACCAGCTTGTAAACCTCTACCCGCAATTCAGCTCTCAGGGAATCCGTTTCAGCGCGTCGCACGAATCTCAAGACTGGCTGCATGCTCAAGCCGAGCAGCAGAAGAGAGAATCGAAAGTCGCTGCTGAAAAGTCGAAGCTAAAAGTGAAGGGCATTGGTAGACGCTCGTTTGACAGCGGCAGACCCGCTTCAGCCGGGAAAGGGCCCTGGGACTCTCCTGCTGCTGACGGCAATTCCAAAAGCGGGAGGCTCGGCGACGGAAGGTCCAGCGATGGGAGGTCCGGCGATGGAAGGTCGGGCGATGGGAGGTTCGGCAGCAGCAGCGCGGTTCTGCATGAGAGAGGGAGTGAGGCGAGTAGGAGCAGGGGAGGGGAGGCGGGCAGGCTGGGTCCCCTAGTCCAGAGGAGCAGAACGAGAGACAGCATAACTGACTATGAACCCATTCCTACAGGCAGAACAGAGGGCTGGCAAGCGTATAACCCGGCGGGTAGAAGCAGGGCAGCAGAGGGCGTGCAAATGTATGGATTGTCAGCTACGGGTAGGGCAGAGGGCGGGCAGGCGTATGAACCGACTCCCACAGGCAGAAGGAGGAACGTACCGGACTATGGACCACGGCCGATGAGCTCTGGGAGCTGCGGGTTGCAGGGTGTGGCTGCAGGGGTGGAGGCTAGGCCGTCATGGGTCCCGGGTCACACGCGAGTGACCGCAGCAGCAGCAGCAGCAGCAGGAGCAGCAGCAGCAGCGGCAGCAGCAGGAGCAGCAGGAGTGGCAGTAGCAGCAGGAGCAGGAGCAGCAGCGACAGCAGTAGGAGCAGCAGCAACAGCAGTGGGAGCAGCAGGAGCAGCAGCAGCCTCAGCAGGGCATGTTAGAGCGGTGGGGGGCGGCAGTGGATCGTTGATGTCACTGAAAGACGAGCTAGCTGCTTATGATGAGAGTGACGAGGAGGAGGGCGAGACGCTCATCAGGCCTCGCGTGCCCGCATGTGTAACTGCTCCTCCTGCTGACGCCTCTGCTGCTGTTGCCGCCGCTGCCGCCGCCGCCGCCGCCGCCGCCGCCGCCGCTGCTGAAAACACCGCTGCTGCAGGGAACCCTGGCAGCAGATGGCGCAGCAGCAGCAGCGACAACGACGGCAGCGGTAGCAACAGCGGGGGTAGCAGCGGTAGTGGAGGCAGCAGAGGTGAAAAAGGCAACAGCGGTGGTCTAGGCCCCGTCTCTCAGGGTAATTCCCATTCCCAGGGCGGAGGCAGCAACAGCTGCTGCAGGACAGTCACAGGCGCACAAGCAGACGAGGCCGGAGGCATTTCTCCTCTTCCCACAGCAGAGGCCACGGTAGAATGCCGGCAGTTCTCCCCGGTCCAGCTCACCCGAGCCACCGACAACTGGGCGGCGGAGAACAGGCTCGGCCGAGGCTCGTTCGGCACGGTGTACAAGGGACGGCTGCTAGGCTGCATGGTGGCAGTGAAACGCCTGGAAGGCGGCGGGTGGCAGGGCAGTGCAGAGTATAGAATGGAGGTGGAGGTGCTGTCTCGGATGCGGCACCCGCACATAGTGCTGCTTATGGGTCACTGCCCTGATGAGATGAGCCTAGTGTATGAGTACTTGCCTGGAGGGAGCTTGCAGGATTGTCTTGATGTGATTGCTGCTGGGAACAGCAAGGGTGGTGGTGTGGGAGGTGTGGGTGGTGCGGGTGGTGCGGGTGGTGCGGTTGGTGCGGGTGGTGTGGGTGGTGTGGGTGTTGCTAGTGTGGGTGGAGGGAGTGGGGGAGGGGGGAGCGGCCGGGGTGGGAGGAAACCGTTGACTTGGTTTGACCGGGTGAGAATCTTATCTGAGGTGGCAGGTGCGCTGATGTACCTTCACCAGAATGACCCGCCCATCGCGCATCGCGACTTAAAGCCCGACAACATTCTCCTCGACACAAGCCTCTCTTCTAAAGTGGCCGACGTGGGCCTCGCGCGGTTACTCAGCGACGTGGAAAATGTAACCGCGCGGGTGAGAGGCACAGTGGGGTATATAGACCCAGAGGAGCTGGAGACTTGTGAGATTTCAGTGTTATCAGATGTGTATGCGTTTGGGCTGATTGCCCTGCAGCTGCTGCTGGGAGAGCCGAATGTGAAGGAGTTGCATAAGAGGATGGGGAAGATACAGGAGTGGATAGGGAGGAGCATGGGTGGGGTAGGGTTGGGAGGAGTGGGCGTGCGTGGTGGTGGGTTTCAGTCAGTTGAGATGGATAGTACGAGGGTGCTGTTGAGGACTGTTGAGGAGATTGTGAGGGAGGTTGATGTTTCGGGAGGGCAGTGGCCCGCGCCTGTGGCTCGGAAGCTGACGGAGCTGGCGCTCCGGTGTGCGGTTCGGCAGCGGGAGGCTCGGCCGAGCCTGGTGGAGGAGGTGCAGGCGGCGATGGGGGAGGTGATGGAGGAGGCGGAGGGGGAGATGGGGAAGCGGAGGAGGAGCTTCGACGAGCAGTGCATGTGCCCGCTGTCGCAGGTGAGTGCATGGCCATTCTCCTCTCATGAGTTGTCGCATGTGAGTGTTGTCCCTTGAACAAACTTATGACAGATCTGGTGGTGGCTGGTCCTGAAGCTTCTCAGAACCAGCCTTGTCATGCCCTCCTCTCGTTCCCACACCCGCCACCCAATCCTCCCAACGTCCAGGAGCGCCTGACAGACCCAGTGGTGCAGCAGACAGCTACACATAAGATCTCTAATCCACTTACCTCATTCGTCTTCCCTTTCCTCTGTTCGCACCTCGTCCCTTTGCAGAAGCGCATGACAGATCCGGTGGCGGCAGCGGACGGGTTCACTTACGAGCGCAGCAGCATCGAACACTGGCTGCTCTCCAACTCTTTCTTGCTTGATTTGACCTCAAAGCTTCTTACTCCCCATGTGCCCAATCCCCCTCCCCCCTCACAGAAGCGCATGACAGACCCGGTGGTGGCAGCGGACGGGTTCACATACGAGCGCAGCAGCATCGAGCGCTGGCTGCTCTCCAACTCTGTCTCGCCGCGCACTGGCCAGCCCCTCCCCCACAAACACCTCACGCCCAACCACACACTCAAGCTGCTGCTGCACAGCCATTAGCGGGTAGAGATGCGGATACGACGGATTCAGGGACATCTAGACTCTGATACTGCTCCTATCAGCAACAGTGTCTTGAAATTCTTTATTTTATCTTTATTATTACCCTTGTAAGATACGGTATCTGTAGTGACTGAACGTCTTTAGGTTTGTGTCATTGCTTGTTCAGTACTAGTAGGTCAGGGTTTCACATTGCCGAAGGGATTTGCCAGCCTTCCTACTCATACCCAGTTGATCAAAAGTATCTATACGTATCGTTCAGCATGTTCACGTGTAGCGAAACTGGTACCAGAGAGTACCTAGGTTTGTCACGTGTCAACACGACATCGTCTGACGTGGCCAGCTTTTGCCGCGTCACTGCTCGTCATTCTCGAGGTTCTTCTCTTGGAATTCACGCAGCCACAGCGAATGATTCCAAAATCACCCACCTTGATTCCACGGTCTCATAGCACGTTCTCCAAAGTCTGCTGGAATGGGGGGGAATGGGGAGGATTCTCCAAAACCAGCACTTTTCCTCGGGCCAACATCATATACATGCAAATTAGTCTGGTAACCCTATTCGATGGTATGCAAAACCGTCGATACCCCAGTTCTGCTTCGCAAATTTGTCTGGTAGCGCCACATAAAACACTGTGTAACAGCTGATGCAGCACAAAAAGGATGCAATGGGTGAAACCATCGATTGCATTTTCAATTTCGTTTCATAGTTTTTTTCACCACGCTTTGTTTGACGCCTAACAAAGATTCCTGCGGGCAGCAATTTGCCGTTAAATGTGCACGATATCCGTCGAATGAAAGTTAACGGTGTCATTTTTGTAACAATATATTGCACCCCATATATTGCTACCGGGTACTGTTAGGGCAGGCAAGAAAAAAATAAAACCCCTAGGGACCTGGACTCATTTCAGGGAGGGATCAACCCTAAACACGGGAAAGGCATTGTATTTAGGGTTGATGCCTCCCCAAGTGCATCCCTTTCCGACCGGGTTTTATTTTTTCTGTCAGGTATAGTGAACAGTGTTGCTCATCTGGCGAACAGCTGCCCGAATAAATCGAAGCTCAGCGGAAATACAAGCGCGGTAGAAATCAGTGTGTTGATTCAAAAGAATCGTGATACTACGGCAATATGTCAATAACTCCAAAATCGAGGTATCGACGGTTTTGCATACCATCGAATAGGGTTACCAGACTAATTTGCATGTATATGATGTTGGCCCCTTTTCCTCAGCACAATGCAATCACGAGGTTGCTTCTGATGCACGCTAGTTTCGAAACAGGTATCAGCTGCTAGCGGGCAATGTCCTCTCGCTCTAACTAGATTGCGTTCTCTCGTACACCTCGTCAAAATTTATATTTTGCAGATTGCCATCTACGGAAAAATAGCTGACGGCAAATATCTGAAAAGTAATCTTTCAGTCGGCAGTTCTTCAACGCTGGGATCGCGCGTCCCTCCCTGGTCTGCATTTACCACCAGCAGTGTGTCCGCGTTAGAGGCAGATTCGTGCACCATACGAGGGTTACTGTATAATTGACGGTCTTCTGTCAGCCATGCAGCCGGCATCGCGTGCTCGCAACCTCTGCTTGATTGTGCCAATTTAGCCTCGAATTCCCAGCCGTAGTCTGTAGTAACTCCGTTTGTGTATAGCAGGGTTAACTATCGGCGAGTTGGGGTGTAGGTACTGTTCACTGGCTAATTTCGAGGCGCCTTGAAAATTTTAGCCCAAGTATCGTCACCCCTCCGCGCAGAGGTGCGTATGGAAGCGCGCTCCGCATTCCCCCGCCCCCCACTCGGCTGTGCCGCGTCATCATCCAGATTGAGCCATGGCGGTCTGGTTTCTCCGTCTTTGGCGGCTAGTGCGGCTACTGCGAGTGCGAGCTCTAAAAGCAGAGGTGACATTGTCAGTGCCGTTAGCGGAAAGGTGTTGCGCGCTGGGGACGGTCACGGGGGAATGGAGACGACTTGCCTGCAAGGATGGCCGCCGCGGGACGGCGCGGATTGCCCCCTGGGATGGCGGAACGGCGAAATGCGCGGGCGCGATTGGCGCCCGCTCGTCGCGCGCGCGCTTCTCCTCGGCGGAAGGGACGCGCAGTTAGGGGAAATGGGCGCGGGGAGAAGGGGGCGTCGCCGGCTATTCGCGCTCCCCATAGGATGCTCCGCCACGGCGGAAGCGGCGGCGGAAGCGGAGAGGGGGAGGGCGCGCGTGGGGGGAGAGTCGTCGCGTGCGATTCTTGGGGGCGGTGGATTGGGCGACATTGAAGTGGACATTGCACAGGCCGCGTGGGTGATTGCGACGGCGCTGGGAGTCGCTTCCGCGTCTATTCGCGGAGGGCAGGCGAAGGGGGAAGGGGAAGGGGTGGCAGAGAACCAGGCGGAGGGGGAGGGGAAAGGCGGAGAGGGGCGCAAAGAGAGGGTTGACGGTGATGCAGGGGATAGAGGGGTTGCTAGTAAAGGGTATGATTACTCGAGTGAGTCGGATAGTGAGAGTGACAGCAGTGGTAGGAGCAGTAGCAGGAGCAGCGACAGGAGCAGGAGCAGTGGGGAGTGGGGGTCGGACGCATGGCATCAAGGGACGTCGTCCCAAGGGTCAGCATCCCAAGGCAGTCAAGAAAGTCAAACAAGTCAAAGCAGTGACGAATGGTTTCAAGGCGGTCAAGAAAGTCAACAGAGCCAGGCCAGTCGAAGCTGTTCTCAAGGCGAACATACCAGTCAAGGAAGTCAAACAAGTCAAGGGAGTCAAGGGTGGTTCGAGGGCGGCCAGGGGCAGGCACAGGCCACGGAGGGGCGGCCCTTGGGAGCACCGAGTGCAGACTTCCTGGCGCTGTGCCACGCTCAGCTGGACGTGATGGGGACTGCGCTGCGCTGCTGCGGCGCACAGCCCACGCGAATTACAGTGAGTAGATTCACGGGCTAAAGTAGAGGTTATTCTGTGCCACGTGTGGGTTTTTTTGGAATTCTCAACAAACATACACGTGTAGAATTCTCAAAAAACATACACGTGTAGAATTCTCAAAAAACTTACACGTGTAGAATTCTCAAAAACCATACACGTGTAGAATTCTCAAAAAACATACACGTGTAGAATTCTCAAAAAACATACACGTGTGGAATTCTCAAAAAACATACACGTGTAGAATTCTCAAAAAACATACACGTGTAGAATTCTCAAAAAACATACACGTGTGGAATTCTCAAAAAACATACACGTGTGGAATTCTCAAAAAACATGCATGTGTGGAATTCTCAAAAAACATACACGTGTGGAATTCTCAAAAACATACACGTGTGGAATTCTCAAAAAACATACACGTGTGGAATTCTCAAAAAACATGCACGTGTGGCTGCACATGCTGGGATGCTCTCCGCTGGCTGTTGTGGTGCGTAAGCCACGGGATTCAGTGTGGGTGGAGGATGAGGAAGAGACGTTTTGCACTGGAAGCTATTGAAAAGCCCAGGAGAGAGTGCGGCAGGAAAAGGAGCTCCACTATTTGTCGCGACGCGTCAGAAACGAGTCGTGAGGCGTCTCAGACCTTTACTTGAATCACTTTTGAGGGTTCTACCATGTTTCCCTTTTTGTCCTGCCCCATCCTGCAGCTCTACCTTCGTACGCCAGAGAGCTTCCTCTCCGGGCAGATTGAATTGTTCCGAGTGGTGAGAAGGCTGCCCGGGGCCCGAGACAGGGCACGTTATCAAAGCACACGGGGGGAGATGGGAGGAGGGAGAGAGGATGCGGGAGGGGATAACGGGGAAGTGAAAGGGGTGAGTGAAGGGGAGGAAGAAGAAGAGGAGGAGGTGGGAAACGAGCCACCTATTGCAAAGCTCCCGCCTTCAATAGAAGCCGTGCTTGTACAGAAAGAGGTGAGCACTTCGCACTGTGTTGTACAGCTTATTGCACTATTGTTTTTCAGAATCAATCTTAAAAGAGTCGAGCTTGTATAGAAAGGGGTGAGCATTGCGTACCCTATGCAATGAGGTATCATGCTGACATTCCTTAATTTCATCATTTATCCATGCCACAGCACCGCATTGAGGTAATTCTTTTGGAACCTCAAAAAGCGTTGCGTGTCATGGGTTATTGCGCTGACAAATGCTAAGCCTCATCCATCCATGCCACAGCACCGCATTGCATTTTGTCTTTGTTGATTCGAAGACCATTTGTTGGTTCATCATGACGGTGAGTGGCGGGAAGGGAGAGTTGTTGGAAAGCACAGCCAGCACTTCATCCTAGGCCGAGCCTGGAGACCCCATTTCACTGCACCGCATGTTTTTAAACGTCTCAAAACAAACTTGGAGACCCCATTGCACTGCACCGCATGGCCTTGCATCGAATGACACTGCCATTGTATTTGTGGTGTGGAATGCGAATATATGCCGCAGGTGATCTCACTTGAGCACAAGGTCACGCTGATGTTTGCACTTCTTATTTTTATTTATATATTAATGTATGACTGTATATATATTTGTATATATATTTTTTCCATCCAGGGCAAGCATACGTGCCACTACGAAAAATCAAGAGGTCAGTCTGGTGGTTGCATCTGTTTCCAACCCATGTTCCTTGTTCCGAATGCTTGCAACAGGTGATATCACTGGAGAGCGAGGGGGCGCTGGTGGTGGCACTAACAAAAGACTCCTTCCTGCTCGGTCTGCTAGTGCTGCATCGCCAGTTGCCGCCAACGCCACCCTCAGCTGCACCAGCAGGTACTACACTGCAAAGTTTCTGTGTGTGTGTGTGTGTGTGTGTGTGTGCGTGTGCGTGTGCGTGTGCGTGTGCGTGTGCGTGTGCGTGTGTGTGTGTGTGTGTGTGTGTGTTTTGTTTTGTTTTGTTTCTTTGTTTTGTTTTGTTTTGTTCTGTCTCTTTTTTTTTTTGTCTCATTTTTTTTTTTTTTTTTCCCCCCCCTCTTTCGGCATTGTTGTAATCTGGGGCTGCTTAGGCAGTGGCTTTGGACGGGTTGATATAATGTTTGTAACGCCAGTGGCAAGCCAGAGCCACGTTGACATTGTGCGATGTGCTTTCCCCTCCCTCCCTCCACATGCAGAACCAGTCACTGAGGAGGAGGACGAGCGATGGCAGGAGTCGGGTGCAGGTGGCGCAATGAGAGACAGCCCATGGGGGGGCAGAAACGGGGGCGTAGGAGCTCGAAGTTCAGATGAAGGAGGAGCAGGAGCAGGAGGAGGGGGAGGAAGGAGAGGTGGGAGAGGAGGAAGGTCAGAAAGAGGAGTTGGGGCAGTGGGTAGACTGCAGCAGTGGGTGTTGAGACGACCAGAGAGGAGGGGAGAGGGTGAGATAGGGAGAAGGGGAGTGCGGGAGGATGAAGTGGAGAGTACGGAAAGCAAGAGGAGGGTTCAGAGTGAGGGGGGAGGCTGGCAAGAGCAAGGAGAGGGAACGAGGGAGCGGGGGAGTGGGGAGGTGGGTGGGGAACAGGCGAACGGAGGGCAGGAAGGGGGAGCGGAAGTGGAATGGGTACAGTTGAAGCCATATGAGGACGAGGAGCAGCGAGCAGCAGTGGGCGTGTCTCGCTCCCTTGCTTTTGCTTATGTCATGGAACAGGTGAGATTGAGATGAGTAACAAGTACGTCTTCATATATTTCCCGTTGGTATATGTTTAAAATGTAGTGTCACATGTCAGTTCCTCCAGAGTGTAGTTTTGAGCCGCCTCAAAACTGGTGTGTGTGAGAGAGCTATGCTGCTGTTAGGCTCCCTACTTATGCTCATTTCTCCTCTCCTGGTTATGACTCATGAGAGAGCAACGCTGTTGCACCCGTTTCTCGTCGCTGTGCTGATGCGACTTTTGAGAATTCTCAAATGCCAAATGTTCCGTTACCATGATGTCATGCCACTCGTTCTGAGGTGCTTCAAGCCTTTGTTGGATTGACATCTAATTTAACATATTCTCGACCTTCACCTCCCTCCTGCTCTTCTCACTTTCTGAATTTCCTTCTTTCTCATCTGCCTTGCTGGTGGCCCCACCTGCCACGTCATCAGAGGGCGTGGATGATGCAGCAGTCGCTGTGGCAGCGCACAGTCACCATAGACTCACTGCTGGACCAGGTCAGCCCCTTTCTCTGGCTGGACCAGGTCAGGCCCTCCCCTCCCCCCTCCTCCTCCGCCTCCTCCTCCTCCTATGCGGAGTCTGGACCAGCTAAGCTGAGCATTCTGCTTTGCCTTGTTTTGAATCGATTCGCCCTGCAACCAGATGCATGCTTTCCTCATTGCCCCGTCCTCCTCTTCCCTCTCCTCGCTCCCTCCCTCCCGTCTTCCCTCCATTTGCCCTGCAATGGTTGAATCCGTGCTCCTCTCATCCCTGCCCTCCTTCCCCCGTTCTCCCTCTTCTGCTCTTACTCCCATCCCCACTTCCCCCTCTTCCCACCATTCGTCCTTCAATAGTCGGAATCGCTCCTCCCTCATTCCATCGCCCCCACACATGTTTTTTGAGAATTCTCAAAAAACAGTAGTTGGAGTCGCTCGTCCCTCATTCCATCGCCCCCACTCCCCTTTCTTCCCACCGCTCAGTCTGCCATCACATGTGTGCTTCGCTTCTAGTTGACTTTTGAGTCGACTCAAAAGTCAACTCAGTCTACCATCACATGTGTGATGTGCTTCTATCATTGCCCCCCCTCTCTCCTCGTCTCCCCCTTTCAACCGCTTTCCACTGCTCACCTTGGCATTACTAGATGCGTGCGTGCTCCCCTCTCGGCTCTGCGCACGCTGGGGCGAATGCTCGTGCCGCAATTAAGTGCCATGACACCTCCCCCCTTTCGAGTCGACTCAAAAGTCACCTCGTTTTGAGTCGACTCAAAAATGCACCTCCCCCCTTTCCTCCCCCCTCCCTCCTCCACTCCACTCCCTCCCCCCTCCCTTCCGCTGTCCCTCGTCCTCTCCCCGCTTCCCACTGCTCACTCACCCTGCAATAACCAGATGCGCGCTCCCCTCTCTGCTCTCCGCACGCTGGGGCGAATGCTCATGCCACAAGTGGCAAAGACAGAGGTGAGGGTGGGTAGTGATGGGTGCTGAAGGGTGCCCATGCCTCTGGTCCGTGGACATGTCCTGCACTTTCGTGCATCTGACGTCCATGGGGCGCCATGGCATGCGGAAACTCCTGCGTGCCCTTGCTGGCTTGATCATGGTGCTGAGGTCCGTATTCTGGTCCCTCGGCCACAGGACAGTGATGCAAGGTTGCATGGGGTTGCCACGAGTGACAATTAATGAAAGCGGATAGGTGGGCCATGGGCGGATGGAGGGGGCATAAGTGTGTTGTGTGACAAGTGGCTGTGAAGAAAGGAAAATTCTCTGAATTCACTCTAAAGTTGTGTGACTGACGAGTAGGCAATGGTTTCTGTGAACATGGTTGTGTAAATGCTCGCCATCCCCACCCACGCCACCTGCCCCCGCGTGAACATGGTTGCATGAACATGGTTGCGTGAACATGATTATTGTCCCTTCCCATCCTCCCCCATCCACGCTCTTGTCCCCCTCCAGCTGGGTCCTGACCTTGTGCAAGGCATGGTGTCTCAGGGTGACGAGATAGGCGATGTGCTGTCGCAGCTGCAGCAGGCGCTCTACCCCCTGCCACACCCCCCTGGTACACCACCAGCTACAGCAGCAGCAGCAACAGAGGGGACTTTGGGGACTGTGGGGCGTGGAATAGCACAACCCTTTCCCACCACCACCAGCACCACTGCTGCTACCACCGCCATCCCACGCCAATCTATCCTGCCACCTCCCCCTCCTCACCGCACTCAACTCCTCCTCCCTCCTCTGGCTGACACTGAACTCCCCATGCCGCCTCTTCTTTTGCCCGCCCCCATTGCCGCTGACCCTGCTGCCCTGCCTCATGCCCCGCCTACTCCCCTCGCTGCTGCCACTCCTGCCAACCCGCAAGCCTTGGGGTCACAGTCTGCTGCGTTGGCCCCGCCTCAAGAGGCCAGTTCACAGCAGCTTGTCCTCAGGTGGGTCAACTTGTGAGGCCTCTCAAAACTTCTGAGGCCTCTCAAAACTTGTGAGGCCTCTCAAAACTTGTGAGGCCTCTCAAAACTTCTGAGGCCTCTCAAAACTTCTGAGGCCTCTCAAAACTTCTGAGGCCTCTCAAAACTTCTGAGGCCTCTCAAAACTTCTGAGGCCTCTCAAAATTTCTGAGGCCTCTCAAAACTTCTGAGGCCTCTCAAAACTTCTGAGGCCTCTCAAAAAGGCCTTCATTATGAGGCTGCTGCATCCCTCCCTCACCACTGCCTGTGACATCCGCCTCACTGTCGCTTGCCATGCTTCTTGTCATGTCTCTTGTCATTTTTGCACCATCCCAGCTCTTACCCAACCTGCAGCATGCACCACGTGCTGCTGCCTCTGCTGGACGCCGCTGCATCCCTCGCCACTGCCTGTGACACCCAAGTCACTGTCTCTTGTCATGTTTCTTGTGATTTTCATGTCAATTTCTCTTGTCCTTTCCCAGCTCCCACGCAACCTGTAGCGTGCACCGGGTGCTGCTGCCTCTTCTAGACGCCGCTGCCTCCCTCGCCACTGCCTGCGAGATCCACTTCACCGTCAGCTATGGCTCCTCCAATCCGAGGTCAGGCACTGGACCTGCTGTAGGTGCACCTGCCGAACCTGCTGCCGAGCCTGCTACTTCCCTTCCTGCAACTGCTGCTTTGGGTCTGGTGCCTACAGGGAGGGAGAACTGGGTTGGTAATGAGGAGAACTGGGAGAACTGGATTGGGAAAGAGGAGAAAGGGGAGGCGGAATTGGGGTTCACGGGATCGAGAAGCTTGGATGAGGAGTTGAGAGGAAATGGTGATGAACAGGGTGGTTTGAGTGGGGCCGTTGATGGGGATGGACGGTTGAGATGGAGTGGTGGGAGTGATGCAGATGCAGGGCTAGGGAGAGAAGATTATGCGAGTGGGATGGAGGATGATGATGATGCGGTTTATGAGGCAATGCTTGAGAGATACGTGGTGGGTAGGGGGGCTGACGGGGAAGGAGGAGGAGAAGAAGGAGGAGACGGGGAGCATTTGGTGGTTGCAGCAGAAGCAATGGAAAGAAGAGGTGGCATGGGGGAGGAGAGGAAGCAGGAGGGGTATGGGCGTGAGGTGGAGGAGGGAGAGGTGGGGGGAGAGGAGGAGGGAGAGGAGGAGGAGTCATGGGAGGTGTTGGGCCATGAGAATGACATAAGGCGGCTGCTGCAGGGGGTGTTGGATGCTGCACTGCACGCCACAGAGGGCGGTGGCTGGGTGCACGTGCACTGGCAGCGGGCGCCGGGGGGAGGCGTGCTGCTGCTGGTGGAAGACAGCGGCGTGGGCGTGCACTACCTGGTGAGTGCAAGGCTTAGGGATCTGGTTTAAGGTTTAGGTTTTTGAGGAATTATGGTTTGGGGTTTGGGAGTTCAAGGCTAGCTGGGGGTGGGTGGGTGCACCTGCACTGGCAGCGGGGGTGGAGGCGTGCTGCTGCTGGTGGAAGACAGTGGCGTGGGCGTGCACTACCCAGTGAGTGCAGGGTTTTGAATTTTGGGGATCGGGGTCAGGGTTCAAGGGTCAAAACTGCCTTTGGTCTAGGTTTGGGAGCAGAGAGTGCACGTGCACTGGCAGGGGGCGTCGGGGGGAGGCGTGCTGCTGCTGGTGGAAGAGAGTGGCGTGGGCGTGCACTAACTGGTCAGTGAAAGGATTCAGTAGCCGGCCGGGTTTAGGGTTCAAGGTTGTGAGGATTCGGGGTTTGGGGTTTGCTACTTTAAGGCTACCTGGGGCTAGGGGGTGGATGGGTGCACGTGCACTGCCAGAGGGCGCGGGGAGGAGGAGTGCTGCTGCTGCTGCTGGTGGAAGGCAGTGGCGTGGGCGTGCACTGCCTGGTGAGTGGCAGGTGGAAGACAGTGGCGTGCACTACCTGTGCAGGGTTTGGTGTTTGGGAAAAGGTGTTTGGGAAAAGGGGTTTGGGGCTTGGGGGATTAGGCTTTAGACATCAGGGCTAGGGTTTGAGATTGTGGGCGTAAATGGGTGGACGTGCACGGGCAACTTCACAGAATTAGACCTGCCTCGTTTCAGGCCTCTCAAATGACCTACCCCACTAGTTTCTTTCTTCTCATCCCTCCACCACAACCTCCCCTCTCTCCCAACCTCACCTCTCTCCCAACATCCCCTTTCCAGTCTGCCAGCATGGCCGCCTCCACTCAAAACCTGCCACCTGGCAAGCTGGCGCGGGCTGCTGATGCGTTGGCATCAATGGAGGTGGCGAGGGGCGTGGCAGAGGTGGTGGGGGCAGTGATGCGCGTGCAGTCGCCGCACCTCGTCAACGCCCCCTGTGGCTACGGCGGGACGCGAGTGGAGCTCTGGTTAGCACCTGCGCCGGTGTCCATACAGCAGTAGCAGCTGTATTAGCAGAAGCAGAAGCAGCAGCAGCAGCAGCAACAGCAGAAGCAGCAGCAGCAGTGGGGATCTGGCCACCACCCCCCTTGTAGCAGTGCAGCGGGGCAGCAAAAGGAAGCGGCGGCAATGGAGGTGGTGGGGACAGCGATGCATGTGCAGTCAGTCGCCGCATCTGATCGATTCACCCAGTGGTTACGGTGGGACAAGAGTGGAGCTCTGCTAACAAAGCGTCCTTGCAACAGCAGGCTTTGTGCTCTGTACAGTGAGATTCAAGTGCAGGTCATGGATGGTCCATAACAGGAATGTAACGGTTATTTTTATATTGCAGTTATTGAATTCCATCTGATGATGTGTCTTAGTACGTGAAGAGATTTTTCAGAAGCCAACTGAGGGAGGTCAAACTCTACACGGCTATAAAAATGTTTGTCAACAAGCTGAGGTTGACGTGCAAGCAACAACCAAAACAAAACATTATTCTAACAGCAGAAACCATCCCCAGAGGTGAGGCGTTTTCAAAATTTGCACCCACTGCTCCACTTTTCCCTCTCCCAGCAGGATGCTATTTCCTTATGTACACCAACAGCAGCCGGCGATTCTTATCCGGAGCAACATCAGCTCGTGCATTTTGTCATCAGAAGCTGTGTGTGCGCTCACAAAAGCCAATACCAGTAGTGTTAGGGTAGCTTATTAAGGGGCTTCAGTCAGTGCTGACAACCTTTCGGCTCACCACCACCACCACCGTCACCAATTAGTATTGGCTGCTGGTTGTTGCTTTCAGTCAGTTGACACTGCACCTCCCCCCCTCAATGTGACCCACTGCCACCAGCAGCAATTCCTCGTACGGCATAGACAGTCCCCGTCACAGCCGCCGCCGTCCCTCCCAGGAGAATCGCCACATGGCATGCAACGGAGACACGTGACAGGTGGCGCCACTTGATGCTGAGGTGGCAGGCCGTGGGGAGGAGCAAAGAGATGGAGATGCTGAGGAGAGAGCCTGTGAGGGTCATGACCAGGGCGAAGAATGGAAGCAGCAGCCCTGTTGCTGCTGCCAGCACCACCAATAGGGTTCTCACAGTTAGGGAAACAGCTGTTTTGCTGCTGACCCTCATCCAGTTAAAGAGGCACGAGAGAGGGAACGGAGTGTACTTGCAGTTGCAGCTGCAGCCTCTGTGCTTGAAGCGGGTCATGCAGTAAGGCGTACAGGAGGCGAGGCTGGGTGGGGAGAGGTTGGAGAGGAGGGAAGAGAGGGAGGATTCGAAGGCGAGAGCGACGGGGGTGATGGTGATAGCGAATTTGGTGATGGGGGAAATGATGGTTGTCCATAGGACTATGCGGGACGGCGTGAGGGCGGGCGGCAGGTTGAGCGTGATCTGAGCGGCAGTGGCTTGTCCGTACATGGAATAGCCGAGAATGGCGATGCCGCCGTATATGCATGTGCAGACGGTGAAGCAGATTAGGAGTACCTGGAGGGCGGACGGGAGGACGCGAGGGGTGAGGGGGGGAGGGGGGTTACGATGAGGGAGGAGGGGGGTTATGATGAGGGAGGAGGGGGGCGACTCAGGCTGCTGCCATTCCATGTGTTGCAGTGTCACCCACCCACCTGGTTACTTTTGAGTCGACTCAAGAGTCGCCTCAGAAGTCTTTTTGAGTCGACTCAAGAGTCACCTCAGAAGTCTTTTTGAGGGAGGAGGGGGGTGACTCCGGCTGCTGTCCTTCCATGTGTTGCAGTGTCGCTCTCCCACTCACCCGGTTGAAGTGCTGGGGCTTGTCCATGGAGCGGTAGATGGTGGGAAACACAGCATGCCCCGAGAAGCAGAACCCAAATATCCCCATCGCCACTGGTATCCCCTGCACCCGCAGCAACGCCGCTCCCCCTTGCGCTGCTGCCTCCGCTTCTGCTGGCGCTGCTGCTGCTGCTGTTGCAGAGCCTGCATCGTCCGTTCCCACGGCCGCCACCCACGCCACTCCCACCACCGTCACCAGCGCTGCTAGCAGCCCTCCCACGGACACGTACGCCAGCAGTGACATCTTTCGGAGCCACACGGTGGGGAGCACGATTAAGGCAGCAATGATTAGAAACACCTGGTTGGGCGAGAGGCATAGGGGAAGGGATTAGGTCGTCTGGTTGAGTCAGCTTAGAACAAGCAACAAGCCACAAGCAACAAGCCACAAGCCACAAGCAACAAGCCACAAGCAACAAGCCACTCCCACCACCACGGTCACCAGCGCAGCAAGCAGCCCTCCCCACGGACACATACGCCAGCAGCGACATTTTCCTCAGCCACACCGTGGGGAGCACAATGAGCGCGGCAATGATCAGAAACACCTGGTTGGCGAGCGGTGGGGAGAACGGGACTTTTGAGAAACCCTTTTGCGGGCTACAGCACAATCAGCGCAGCTTGCAACCCTCCCACGTACACATACGCCAGCAGTGACTTCTTTCTCAGCCACACCGTGGGGAGCACGATCAGCACTGCAATGATCAGAAACACCTTGTTGGGCGAGAGGTGGAACGATTTTTGCGTTCTACTGAGATGGAAAAGAGCTCCCCGTAGAGGATGAGCGGTGCCAGCATGCGGAGTCTATGCTTGAGGTGTCTCAATACACACCTGGTTGGGCGACAGGCGGATCGAGGGGCCAAGGGAGACCCCGTGGGGGGCGAAGGAGGGGAAGAGGAAGGCGAGGCTGTCGCCTTCGAGAATCAGGAGTTCGATTGAGACAGCGAAGAGCTCCCCGTAGAGCACCAGAGATGTGAGCATGCGGCCGGTGCGGCCGAACGCTGCTGCGCCGATGTCGGGGTACGTGGTTATTGTGGAGGTGTGGAGTGCGGTGGCGGAGGTGTGAGGCGGGGTTGTGGAGGTGTGGGATGCGGTGGTGGAGGTGTGAGGATCGGTGGCGGGTGTGTGGTCCATGCAGGCGCGGAGGAGGCGGGCGGTGAGGAGGTAGAGAAGGGACGTGGCGGGCAGAAGGAGTAAGCCGAACCAGCCGGACTGAGCGAGCGCGTAGGGGGTGGTGAGAATACCGATGCCTGGCGCACGGGGAGGGGGGAAAGGTGAGAGTGGGGAAGGAAGGGAGAGAGAAGACTTGAGGAGCAGCAGCCGAACCAGCCGAACCAGCCGAACCAGCCGGACTGCGAGAGCGCGTAGGGCGTGGTGAGAATGCCGATGCCTGGTGAGAACGAGACGGAAGGGGATAGTTGGGGGGGGGATGGGAAGAGGAGGGATGAGGAGAAGAATCAGCCAAAAGGGTTGGGCGAGGGCGTAGGGCGGGATGAGAATGCCGATGCCTTGCGAGAGAGCAAAAGGAGAGGGGGTGGAAAAGGAGAGAGAGAGGAAAGTGGAGGGTTAGGAGGTGGAAAATGGAGAGGAAGATAGGGAGAGAGGAAGAGAGGGAGAGAGGGAGAGAGAGGAGAGAGGAAGAGAGGGAGAGAGGAAGAGAGGAAGAGAGGGAGAGAAAGGAGAGAAAGGAGAGAAAGGAGAGAAAGGAGAGAAAGGAGAGAAAGGAGAGAAAGGAGAGAAAGGAGAGAAAGGAGAGAAAGGAGAGAAAGGAGAGAAAGGAGAGAAAGGAGAGTGTTTCACGCAGCAGGCACGCTAGAGAGAGCTGCGCACACGGTCCGGCCTTCCCGCCACGTGTCTCACCTGTGAGTACGTTGACTCCGTTGAATACAGCCTCCAGTGAGCTGCTGCCACGTGGCGGCGACACTTCCGTGGAAACCCTTCGCTTCCCAAGTCTTCCCCCGGTCACCCTTCCCCACCAAGACCTCCCGCCCTCCGCTCCGCCCACCGATTCCCCCACCTCCGCTGCTTCGCCTTCCGCTGCTCCCCCCTCCGCTGCTCCACCTTCCGCTGTTCTGCCGCCATCCGCGGTTCCGCCTTGCACTCCCCCCCGTTCCGCGGACTCACAATCATCCCCCTCCGGTCTGCGGCTTGCTCTCCCATCGCCATCTGCCTCGCGAGCACCGTCACCAGTCGCACTGCGACAACTTCTGTCGCTACCATCCGCTTCCGAAAAATCGTCCGTGTTCCTCAGGGAAATAAACGGACCATAGGTGCTCACTGACGACGCTCGCGCGACTGCCGGCACGACGGTGTCGTCCGCTGGAGCGGCAGTAGTGCCGATACTGCTCCCCAGCGGGCCATCAGCGCGACGGCCGAGTTCGTCGTCTGCAGAACCGTCAGGGCTTTCGGCAACTTGAGCAAGGGGATTGCTCGCTGGGATTTCACTCACCAGCACCACGATTTCCGCAGGTCTTTTCACGTCTTTCCTCGGCGGCACATCGGAATCGCGGATTGTGCTCGCTTGAATCTCGTTATCACTGAAAGTATCAACTTCGCCTTCGAGTTCATGTAACTGAGCGCTTTCTCGCTCCCTACTCGTTGGCAACGTTATCTGCCCATCAATTCTCGTGATCTGCTGGTCTTTCGAACAACATGCGTGCCTTTGATGCTCGAACTGGTCAATACTGGCAATATCTTCCGCAGAATTCTCGAAAATTCGCGCATCCTGCGTGTGGTACGGAGACGCACCGACAGATTTCGTCGGCTCAGCAGGGCCACGAGTAGTAGCACTCGGAGGGTTATGGGTTTCCTGCGGAAAAGAGAATTCATGCGAGTCGGTATAGTCTGGAGCAACTAAGTCGCGTCGCTGTTTCCATCTGTTCGAGACGTCTTCCCATTGATGGTTGCTTGTTTCCCACTCTACTTCAAAAGTGCGTCGCACCATAACAATGAATTTGCTCCGTGGAAGGAAATGGAGGTCGAAAAATTCACGACGAAACGAGAATGGAGGCAGAAAGGGCAAGCAGAGAGAACAAGTACAGAAATCAGAATTCGTGACATGCCGCGCCGCGCCGCTGAAATCAGACATCGCGGTGACGTCGTCGTGCCCACGAAGGCTCGAACAGGAAGCACGAAATTTCGCCGTGCTGAATATGAGTTCGTTCAGCATCCACTTTTCGTCGCATGCAAGCTCAACGATGATGTGATTGTCGGCGGCGAAACGTAACACATCATCTGCGATCGCACCTCCACCTCCAATTTCTGCCACCACGAGATGCGGCAACCCCTTGGCGCGTGGGGCGTGGCAGTCACATTTGGTGCGCTGGCTTGCAGAAACAACGTCCAGCGAAGCAAGCGACTGACTCGCTGACAGTTATATAAAATGCTGTAATGTTGCGCTGGCAGTCACCTTCATGTGATCCACGTGGAAGGAAAACTTCAAGATGGTCACACCGAGATGGGCCACGTCACGGAGGCTGTGCTGGAGCATGAATTTTCCAATCCGCACATTTGTTTAGTAATCACTTGAAAGATAAGATACGTTCTTATATACCGTAGATAAACTTTCTGATGCCTCCCATCCATACCAATTTCTCACCTGTGTTATCCTGACAAACAAAATCAATACAGCCACGCATCGCTGATACAATAATTTATTGCCAGTGGATAACGTGTAGCAGGCTCTCGTCTCTACTATGCATGCTCTCTTCGCTTCACACACTCACGTTCACCCAAGGTGCTGTATGCAGCTGTAGTGTAGTGGCACTGCTGGAAGTAGTAACCCAAACACAATATTCCCCTATCGCCTTCTCAATCACAATGCCAGGCTCCCAAGAAGCAAGCCTGTACCATTGCTACACCACCTCCTTCTCCTTATCCCCCTTAAAAGGCGGCTCCAATAGCTTCTCATCCACCGCATTCAAATCCACTGTAGCAGCGCTGCTGCGCGCTGCAACCCACGCAACAATATCTGCAATCACCTTCTCAATCACATCATCTGGCTCCCCAGAAGTGAGCCCGTGCCAGGAGCCCTCGTAGATCTTGAGTGTCTTGTCGGTGCTGCTGGCCGCTGCGTGCAGCTCCTTGGAAAGTGCCGGGTCGGTTACCACGTCAGCACTGCCGTGCAGTATGAAGCATGGCAGGGAGAGCTGCAGGAAGGACAGGGAGAAGGGGTGGTTGGTTTGGCCTGCTGTCATTGTGGTTCTCAATGGCACAAGAATATGGCAAACGCCTGATTTCTCGTCTCAACTTCTGAGCACTTCGAGAATGTCTGGTTCAGTTCGGTTGACTGGAGCACAACATCTGAGGAGAAGTTAGCGACTGGATACTGTTCTTCTCTCATCTCATCATTCTTTGAGCCGCTTATTGAGAATTCTTAGCGGTCATATTCAACAACAAATCACCAAACCCATACTACATTCTTCACACGATTCTACAACCTGGTGACCAATTGTCATGCCTCATCACCTCCTTCATTTTCACACCTCACCTGATTTCATCCTTGCATCAATCCTGAGTGGTCTGAAGCAGCGAACTACAGTCACCTGCTAAGAACATCAACCTTCTGCATGATTGTGACCCCACTTTTGAAATATCTCAAAAGTGGATCATCCACACACCTCATGCATCACCTCATTCATCCACACACCTCATGCCTCACCTCATTCATCCACACACCTCACACCTCACCTCATTCATCCTCACACCTCACACCTCACCTCATTCATCCTCACACCTCACACCTCACCTCATTCATCCACACACCTCACACCTCACCTCATTCATCCACACACCTCACACCTCACCTCATTCATCCACACACCTCACACCTCACCTCATTCATCCACACACCTCACACCTCACCTCATTCATCCTCACACCTCACCTCATTCATCCGTGCACCAATCTCCTGTGTCGTCCGCAGCAGCGAAACAGCTGTGCCGATTCGAGCAGGTCCCCTGATGGACATTGGGTTGTCCTTCGCCTGGTGGGTGGTTTGACGGATGGCGAGAGTTGGAATGTGGGAGAGGATAGGGATGGACATATGGGCATCAAAACAGCAGAAACAGAAGGTGAAGCAGCGCAACAGCTGTGCCAATTCAGAGCGGGTCCACTGATAGAGATCGAGTTATCCTTCGCCTCGTGGGTGTTTGTGGGAATAGGGAGGGGAGGAGAGGAGGGGAGCAGGAGAGGAGACACGTTTGAATACATGGACACAGTCACACAGGGAGTGGTTGGCAAGTGCAAAGGCTGACAGTGCGGCCCAACTCGAGCTGGTCCCCTGATAATCATTGGGTTGTCGTTCGCCTGGTGATATATTTGGACTGGGGTGAGGAGGGGAGGAGGTAGGCATGGACAGAAGGAGACAAGAAGGGGACGATGGGTGAATAGCTAATGTAGTAGAGAAACTGCTTTTGAGGCCTCCTCGAGCAGGTTTTTGAGGCGCCTAAAAAATGGGTGAATAGCTAATGTAGTAGAGAAACTGCTTTTGAGGCCTCCTCGAGCAGGTTTTTGAGGCGCCTAAAAAATGGGTGAATAGCTAATGTAGTAGAGAAACTGCTTTTGAGGCCTCCTCGAGCAGGTTTTTGAGGCGCCTAAAAAATAGGTGAATAGCTAATGTAGTAGAGAAACTGCTTTTGAGGCCACCTCGAGCAGGTTTTTGAGGCGCCTAAAAAATGGGTGAATAGCTAATGTAGTAGAGAAACTGCTTTTGAGGCCTCCTCGAGCAGGTTTTTGAGGCGCCTAAACAATGGGTGAATAGCTAATGTAGTAGAGAAACTGCTTTTGAGGCCTCCTCGAGCAGGTTTTTGAGGCGCCTAAACAATGGGTGAATAGCTAATGTAGTAGAGAAACTGCTTTTGAGGCCTCCTCGAGCAGGTTTTTGAGGCGCCTAAAAAATGGGTAAATAGCTAATGTAGTAGAGAAACTGCTTTTGAGGCCTCCTCGAGCAGGTTTTTGAGGCGCCTAAAAAATGGGTGAATAGCTAATGTAGTAGAGAAACTGCTATTGAGGCCTCCTCGAGCAGGTTTTTGAGGCGCCTAAAAAATGGGTGAATAGCTAATGTAGTAGAGAAACTGCTTTTGAGGCCTCCTCGAGCAGGTCCCCTGATGGATGGACATTGGGTTATCCTTCGCCTGGTGAGGCACTTGAAATGAGGGTTGGCAAGGGAGAGGAGGGGAGGAGATAGGGATGCATATTGGGAGAGGAGGGGAGGAGATAGGGATGCATATTGGGAGAGGAGGGGAGGAGATAGGGATGCATATTGGGAGAGGAGGGGAGGAGATAGGGATGCATATTGGGAGAGGAGGGGAGGAGATAGGGATGCATATTGGGAGAGGAGGGGAGGAGATAGGGATGCATATTGGGAGAGGAGGGGAGGAGATAGGGATGCATATTGGGAGAGGAGGGGAGGAGATAGGGATGCATATTGGGAGAGGAGGGGAGGAGATAGGGATGCATATTGGGAGAGGAGGGGAGGAGATAGGGATGCATATTGGGAGAGGAGGGGAGGAGATAGGGATGCATATTGGGAGAGGAGGGGAGGAGATAGGGATGCATATTGGGAGAGGAGGGGAGGAGATAGGGATGCATATTGGGAGAGGAGGGGAGGAGATAGGGATGCATATTGGGAGAGGAGGGGAGGAGATAGGGATGCATATTGGGAGAGGAGGGGAGGAGATAGGGATGCATATTGGGAGAGGAGGGGAGGAGATAGGGATGCATATTGGGAGAGGAGGGGAGGAGATAGGGATGCATATTGGGAGAGGAGGGGAGGAGATAGGGATGCATATTGGGAGAGGAGGGGAGGAGATAGGGATGCATATTGGGAGAGGAGGGGAGGAGATAGGGATGCATATTGGGAGAGGAGGGGAGGAGATAGGATGCATATTGGGAGAGGAGGGGAGGAGATAGGGATGCATATTGGGAGAGGAGGGGAGGAGATAGGGATGCATATTGGGAGAGGAGGGGAGGAGATAGGGATGCATATTGGGAGAGGAGGGGAGGAGATAGGGATGCATATTGGGAGAGGAGGGGAGGAGATAGGGATGCATATTGGGAGAGGAGGGGAGGAGATAGGGATGCATATTGGGAGAGGAGGGAAGGAGATAGGGATGCATATTGGGAGAGGAGGGGAGGAGATAGGGATGCATATTGGGAGAGGAGGGGAGGAGATAGGGATGCATATTGGGAGAGGAGGGGAGGAGATAGGGATGCATATTGGAAGAGGAGGGAAGGAGATAGGGATGCGTATTCAGACACAGAAGAGGGAGGGGTAGATGAGTAGCAGGTGAAGATGTAAACTGCTGCGAAACTCGCCCTCTTTCGCCCCCTTCTAGCCATTTCCCAGCACCATCCCCATTCACTCACCCTCCTTCAAACCCTCTCCCAACTCATCCTCTCGTGGTTGGCATGGCATGGTCCCTCATGCCAAGGCCACTGATGTTCCTGCCCAACGCTAGCTAGGTCCACACCACATTGGGACTGACGTTGTTGAGAGGCAACACCATTCAAGCTCCTTTTTTGAGTCGAATAATAATAATAATAATAATAATAAACGCTGTTGAGAGGAGTTTGGAGGTGCCAAAAAAAACGACATTGTTGAAAGCCAAACACCATTCAAGCTCAGCACATTTGGGGATGCACACTCACCCTCTTTCGGTTGGCCAGGTCTCTCATGCCAATATCGCTGATATCCTTCCCCGGAACCATCTTGACCTTGGGAATGGCGCTGTTGAGAGCCAAGAACGCTGATACCACCACGGGGGGCGGCATCAGCTCCTCTGCAATCTGGCAACCAGTGGAAGCGGGGGAAGGAGGGGAGAGATTCAGTGTTTGTCTGGGCGTGACCAGGCGCCAACTTGACCTTGGGAATGACGCTGTTAAACGCCAGGAATGCCGACACCACCATTGGGAGTGGCGTCAGCTCCTCTGCAATCTGGCGATCATTGACACCAGGGAGCGACTTTTGAGACGTCTCAAAAGGCAATCATTGAAACCAGGGAGCGTGGCGGGGGGAGGGGAGGGAGGGAGGAGGGCGTGGTGGGCGAATGTGGTAATTATCTGGAAACAATCACTCCCTGCCTTGACCACAATCACTCCCTGCCTTGACCACAATCACTCCCTGCCTTGACCTTGGGAATGATGTTGTCCACACCACAATTGGCGGCGGAGCGGCATCAGCTCCTCTGCTATCTGCCGATCAGTGGGGGGAGGGGGGAGGGGGGGTAATAGTGAGTGGAGGTTGGGTGTGGTGATCGTTTGGAAGATGACGCTGTTGAGAGCCAGGAATGCCGAAACCACCATCGGGGGCGGCATCAGCGCCTGCTATCTGGATAGCAGTGGGAGAGGGGGAAGGGGGGTTGGGTGTGGTGATCTTTCGGAAATGGCGCTGTCAAGAGCTAGCACTGCCGACACCACCATCGGGGGCGGCATCAGCGCCTCTGCTATCTGGCGATTCGGGGGAGAGCATCACCCCCGAAGAATGGGAAAAAACATCACCTAACATCACCTTCGTAGCAACAACTGTTACACGGTTACCGCACACCATTGTAGCAGCGACATCAAGTAGCATATGGCGTTAACTAACCATCACAATAATCATCATTCTTTGGTCATCACTGAATACCACGTGGTTACCACATGGTTACCTTGCACATGGGCGACAGCAAGACGGCTCCTCGGAAGGCATCTGGGCGGCGCCAGTGCGTCTTGATGGCCACTGCGCCGCCCATTGACTCGCCGTACAGGAAGACAGGGAGGGACGAGAGGGCTGGCGAGGCTGCAAAAGGGTGTGTGGGGGAAGGGAAGATCAAAAGGGGGAGGAGACAGAGGTTGAAGAGAGGAAAGCCAGCGCGTCTTGATGGCCACTGCGCCACCCATTGACTCGTGGTACAGGAACAGTAGGAGAGACGATAGGGCAGGTGAGGCTGCAAGAGCGGATTTGTGGGGCAAGGGGCGATGGAAAAAAAGAAGGGAAGGGGATTGGAGGGAGATTCAGTGCGTCTTAACGGGCACGGCGCGTCTTAATGGGCACGGCGCCGCCATTGACTCGCCGCACAGGAGCACGGGGAGGGACGGAGAGGGCAGGTACGGTCTTTGAGGCGCCTAGCGCCTAAGAAGCAATAGTGGACTTTCTTGAGGATCCGCACATAGTTTTGAGTCCACTCATGTATGCGTACCGGCCCTGCAAGCACCTACCCAACTGCACTGCACCCATCTGCACCCATCCGCACCCACCTCTTAATGCATTGGTGAAATCAACCATGTCATCAATGGTGGTGTCAAAGCGAGCGATGCTTGAGAATTCAAGAAAATCACTAACAAAACGAGGGATGTATGTATGCAGGCCCTGGGAGCACCTACATGCGTGAGGTTGCCGTGCTGCACCCATCTGCACCCACCTCTTAGCGCATCAGTGAATTCAACCACATCATCGATGATGGTGTCGAAGCGGGGGATGTATGCATGCAGCCCTTGGGAGCACCCATGGCCCTCATAGTCCATGCCATACACCAGGTACTGCTGCCGTGCTAGGCTCACTGCCACGGCTGGTGGACAACAAAAAAGTAGAAATGGGAGGGGGAAAGGAGAGGGGGGTAGGGGCGGGTAGTAAAGAGGGAGGGGGTTGTGCGAGCACCCATGGCCGTCGTAGTCCATGCCGTAGACCAGGTACTGCTGCCGTGCTAGGCTCACTGCCACGGCTGAGAGACGACAGGGGAGAAGGGAAGCGGGGAAGTGGAGAGGGGACAAGAGGGGAAAGGAGGGAGGAGATGTACGCGTGCAAGCCCTGAGAGAACCCGTTTTCGTAGGATGGTGGATTGAAACATCAAGCAAGTTTCGGTGGGTTGGGAGAAGCACCTTCATCCTGGCAGAAGACTTTTGAGTTGACTCGAAAATCGTCTCATCACACAGGCACGTTGATCCTGGCAAAAGTCACTCGTGCATGCTCGCATGAATAGATGGGATGGTCACATGGTTCATGCATGCACGCATGAACTGTGTCACGATCGCATTTATACATGTGCGCATGCATGCATTATCCCCACGTGTTATCAAATTACCATGAATCAGGAACTGAGCGTTTCACCAGCCCAATTGCTTGCGTGCGTTGTTAACCGTTTCATGCCATTGACACGTGACGTGCATCCACCATAAGATTTACCATCAAAGTGGTATGTGCAGGTGTCGCCATAGCCATGGCAGTAGACCACGATTCCTTTCACCACCCCATCCAACGGCTGCCATCGCTTCGTGAAGATCTCAACGCCTCTGCTGTTGCGATAGTATACCTGTGCTGGTTGGGATGGGCGAGGGGGAAGGGTGGAGTAGTGAGAGGGATTGAGAGGCATCCAGGGAGGACATGAATACATGTGTGATGTGCTGTGCTCTGCTGTTGCGATAGTACACCTGTGCTGGTTGGGGGGTGGGAGGGGAGGATGGAGGGAGAGAGGGGGAAAGCAGTGGAGGGTACGGAGGACAGACGTGAATGCATGTGTGACGTGCTCTGCTGTTGGTTTTGAGGCGCCTCAAAACTAGAATGCATGCGTGCTGTGCTCTGCTGTTGCGATAGTACACCTGTGCTGGTTGGGGGAGGGCGGGAGGGTGGAGTGGAGGAGAGTAGACATGAATGAGTGTGTGAAGTACATGGCAGCGCGTGACGAGGGAACGAATTCGGTAGTGCGTGATGAGGGTGGGGATGAGATGAAAGCACACGGCATGGCGTGAGCCATGCACCTCAAAAATTCGGCAGTGCATGGCAGTGCGTGATGGGGTGCGGTGCGGTGCGGGTGAGGGCACATGACAGTGCGTGGTAAGGGGGTGACAAAAGCATGCGAAGCAATTGATACAGATCAATGTGTGAGCAACGACATGCCACCACTCACCTCCACGGTTTTGACTCCCTTTAAATCCTGCACGGCACGAGCACACACAGGTGACATGGGGGAACGGAAGTGAGGGTAAGGGAAAGGAAGAGAATGCGACATGCGAGGCATGCCTGTTCTCTTGACAATGCAGCATGAGCTGGTTGGTTGGTCACAGCTCCTCACTCACTACCTACTACCATTTAAAGCCGTGTTTCAAGTCAACTCAAACCACAGTGCAGCACCCATGCACACGTCAACACCCATGCATGTACACGTGAACACCCATGCATGTACACGTCACCACCAACCCATGCACACGTCACCACCCACATAATATGACTTCGGCTTTAAGAAGGGCACGATGCCCTTGCGCCGCCCTCCTTCCCACTCCCTGGGAGAGTTGGTCTGAGCCCAGTATGCCCACGCGCCCCCCACTGCCACCACCGCTACTGGCACTAGCGGCCACATCTGGCAGCAAGGGGAGGGATGAGTGGAAGGGAGAAGAGTTAAATGCGACCCCCACCACTCCCACTCCCATGCGGCCCCCTCCCACTCCCTGGACGAGTTGGTCTGAGCCCAGTACCCCCATGCACCCCCCACCGCCACCACCGCCACCGGCACTAACGGCTACATCTGGTGGTAAAGGGAGGGATGAGTGGATGGGAGGAGGAGAGTTAGTTATGATGTGTTTTCCATGCGGCCCCCTTCCACTCCCTGGTAGAGTTGGTCTGAGCCCAGTATGCCCACGCGCCCCCCACCGCCACCACCGCCACCAGCTCTAGCGGCCACATCTGGTGGTAAAGGGAGGGATGAGTGGAAGAGAGGAGAAGCATAGGGAATGATGTGTTTTCCACGCGTCTCCCCGCCCACTCCTCGGGCGAGTTAGTGGTGCAGAACAGAGCACTCATCGTCATACTCGTCTCCTTGCGGCTGCATTGCATATCCTTTAAGGAGCACAGGGCAGCTTGGTAGCGTGCCATCCATGCCATCCATGCCATCCTGGGGTGGTGGGGTGGTGGTGGGATATGCATTGAGTTGACTTATGAGGGTAATGAGACGACTTTTGAGGCGCCTCAAAAGTCGGCTGCATTGCATATCCTTTAAGGAGCACAGGGCAGCTTGGTAGCGTGCCATCCATGCCATCCATGCCATCCTGGGGTGGTGGGGTGGTGGTGGGATATGCATTGAGTTGACTTATGAGTCAGCTCAAAATTTCCGAGACGTCTGAAAACTCGCATATTCTTCAATTTGAAGGAGCATAGGGCAGCTTGGTTGGTGGTGTGCATGCCATCTTGGGGTAGTGGAGCTCGTGGGTTATGCATTGCCCAACTCTGCATCGCATTGAGCCGCATAGAATCGCATTACATCGCGCAACTTTACATCTCTCGCCTGTGCTCTTCGCAAGCCATTGGCGTGCCGCGTGCACTCGAGCGTTCAAGTTTTAATCGTACCTCCTACACGCCTCACATGCTTGAGGCCCCTCAAAAACCTTCGCGCGCCTCTCCTCCGCCGTACTCATTTCGATCGTTGACGTCGAAAGCACAGACTTCACCACCATACGTCACACGTTACCTTATCCACGAGGTGGCTTTTGATTCCGTGCCTGAAAGTCATCCCGTGCCTCTCCCTCCGCGCCGTACTCACTTCGTTAACGTCTTACCGCAGGCTTCGTCATGCTTCGCACGTTACTTATCCAACGCTAAGCTACCTGCATTCCGTCCGGTTTGGATCGGTTCAAACGGCAAACCGACTCGTTTGACTCGAGTCAACAGGAAATCCATTTCTTGTATCTTGCCGCAATTTGTATCGCATTTCCTTCCTCTCGGTCCCGTATGAAGCTTAGTAGAGTCGAACCTTCAGTACTACATGCTTCAGAACCTGATGCTTATAGAACGACCCGAGACAAAAGAATATCACTTGCATCAGGACCTCCGAATCGCGTTTTCAATCCTCTCAAGCTATAGTAAGACGTCTGGAAACTCGTGTGACAGTTTTGAGGCGTCTCGAAACTCTCATTGCATTCCCTCCCTCTCGATCCCACCTGGTGCGATCACTTTGCTTCAGAAGCGCCGATTCGGGCCCACACGAGTCTCCGCGCAGCACCTCTCACAGGCCGATGACTATAACGAAAGCCACTAGCAGATTGGACGTGGAAAACTACAGCTTTCCACCAACGTGTCGCGAGAGCCTCGCGAACCGCAATGCCGTCACGGAGCGCTGTGCGTGGGACAAGAAAATCCCAAGAATCTGATCGTGAAACAAAGCACTGGTACAAGCTGCTTGGAGTACGTAACTGTCAGAAGTTGACGGAAGTGGGGTGTTTGGGTTAGAGTGCAGACAGGATCTGTCAGTCTTTCTCTGGACTCTGCTTCTGTCAAGGAGCAACAAAACTGTCTTGGCAATCTCGAGATTCCGCTTCTGCTGCCAAGTTGATCACTGCCGAGACAGTTTTTGTCGCTTGTGGCTGACGCGCCATGGTTGACTGTGATGGATCTCACGAAGGGTTTCCTCAGTTACAGGCGCGGTGACGACTTTCGTTAGCAGCGCGCACGGAGCGACGAAACGTGCCAGCGAAGTTGGAGGCAGCAAAGGGTAACAGAAGATTTGGATGAAGGAAAGTCACGAGATATCCGCGATATCGAGAGCAACGGGTGATGGAGTGCTGAATATCCGCGATATCGAGAGCAGCTCCTGGGCAACCTCGTCTAGCAGGATTTTTGCTCCAAACGGAGCTCTAACAGTGAATATCCTAGCATATTGTGGTTCTTGTACCAGGTAGGGAGATATATATATATATATATAACGAATTTCAACCCATCTTGCATAATTGTTTCGGTTTTGCTTCAGAACATGCAATGGCAACAGCGATGACCTGAAGGCCACGCCAAGCAGGTGTCTATGCCGGTGAAGCATCCATAGCCTTGAAAAGCTCCTCCGGCCGGTCCGGTTGTTGTAACGAATCACTTGCAAAAGCTGTTGAGGGGCTTTTACCTAGTCCGCAGTAGGAGGGGCAGACGAGCCAAAGGGCGGCATGGGGAAGCAGGTGGCAGTGGGAAGGCCATCCGCGCCACACACCCTGGCAGCTTTGGGCGGCACAGGCGCCTGGGCGGCAAAGAGGGTGAACGCCTGCTGGCTGACCTGCTGCAATCGCCTGGCATTCTCCACAAAGGCGGTTGCCTGCGGGAGGAGTAGGCAGGGAGAGTAAGAGGATATGGAGGTGTATAAGGTTAGAAAGGAATGAGTTCAGAAAGCAAAGAGGGTGAACGCCTGCTGGCTGACCTGCTGCAGTTACCTAGCAGGGAGGTGTAGGCAGGGAGGGAGACCAAGAGGATATGGAGGTGTACAAAATCAAAGGGGAGGAAGCTCAGACTGCTGGCTGACCTGCTGCAGTCGCCTTTCGTTCTCCACAAAGGCTGTTGCCTGTGTGGGCAGGGAGAAGGCAGAGAGGAAGCAGGTAGGCAAACAGCGGGCAAAAGGGATGGGAGAGAGAGAGTGCATGACGGCGTACCTGAAGAGAAGGGAGCTTGTATCATTTCTGAAACATCTCAAGATTGATACAGAGATAGGTGCTGGTGCTGCTTTGCCCTGCCTTCGCAAGCTTGGCAGCAAAGCGTCAGCACCCCATGTGTGCCTTCTGAGACAACTACCTGTCTGTTGACCAGCCTGCCCTCTGTGGTATGCCAGTTGACTTTTGAGTTGACCCAAAAATGTCTTCCCTGCCACTCTTTTGTGTTGACGCATACGCAGCTTTGCCACTCTGTGATATGCCAAGCTCAGCATGATAAGCTCATGATCAACACAACATGTGCACGCAACACGCCATAGGACAAAACGGCCCTGGGTAACACGGCAACTTTCCATGGGGAAAACGGCCTAGGGTAAGCCGGAAACATGCCCCAGGGCGCCACACGTTTCAACCCTTACCTGGGCTTTGAGTTGCTGCAGCCGTGCCTCTGCCTCTCTTGCTGCCGCTGCTGCCGCAGCCTTCTTGCCCCGCGGCCTCTCCGCACTCCCTATCACCCCGAGCATCACCCCTCCCCCTCCCCCTCCTCCTCCCCCTCCTCCTCCTCCCCCATCAGCACCAGCTCCAGAACCACCTAACCCCTCACCACCCCTGCAAATGCTCTCATAATCGCTCACAGCCACAGCATGCCAGCACGGATCATACAGCTCAAACCGCCTCTGCTGCCCTAGCAGATGAACCACCACGCTTCCCCCCACACCACTGCATCCCCCTCCTCATCTCCCCTTCCCCTCCCCACCCCTCTTGCCCCGGGCAAGGCTTCTGCCGAGCCTGTGCGTTCGGAATGGCCTGCTGCCGAGCCTGCAGGCCTGGAAGGACGAGTTAGAGGGCCGGATTTCGAGCTAGGATCGGGAAGGGCGGCTGGGGAGGAGGATGGGATGGGGCCTGAGTGAGGGACTGTGATGGGGAGAGATTGAGGGGTGGTGGTGAGAGGGGCCGTGGGGGGAGTGAAAGGGGAGGAGGAGGAGAGGGAGTGGGCAGGAGTGTTGTAAGCTGAGGAATGAGGGGAAGGAGAGGAGGGAGCGGTGATGATTGCGTCTGGTGTTGTGGCGTGGCTTTCTGTGAGAGTTCCCAGTGCATGTCCCTTTGCTGCTGGTGTTGATGCTGTTGCTGTTGCTGTTGCTGTTGCTGTTGCTGTTGCTGTTGCTGCTGTGGCAGATGTGGCCTGTCTTTGGCAAATGAGCTGCGAGAAATGGGCAGACAGCAGAAGAACAAACCACAAAGGCAGACGGCAAGGTGAAGAAAGGCAGAGGTGGGGTGGGGCACGGCAGCCATCAGGGCTTTTTGAGACGTCCGCAACAAAACGACCAAGAACGATAAGGACAGACAGACAGACAGACAGACAGACAGACAGACAGACAGACAGACAGACAGACAGACAGACAGACAGACAGACAGACAGACAGACAGACAGACAGACAGACAGACAGACAGACAGACAGACAGACAGACAGACAGACAGACAGACAGACAGACAGACAGACAGACAGACAGACAGACAGACAGACAGACAGACAGACAGACAGACAGACAGACAGACAGACAGACAGACAGCAGCAACCAAAAGAACAGCAACCACTGTCTGGCATGGATGGGCTCGTGGCACGCAAAAGCAACCATGCAAAAGCAAGCATGTAAAAGCAAGCATGCAAAAGCAAGCATGCAAAAGCAAGCACTGCAGTCGGTGCCCGAATTTCCTTGAGCCTCGTGAGACGATAAGTTTCTGTACTACAAGGAGCTGGATTTGGAGTTTTAGGGACTTGGGGTTTTAGGGACTCGGCGCTTTAGGGACTCGGCGCTTTAGGGACTCGGCGCTTTAGGGACTTGGGGTCTTAGGGACTTGGGGTTTTAAGGTTCCAACCGACCGCAGGAAAGCACTACAAGAAAGGACTTACGGCAAGCAGCAGCGAGTGCAGGTGGTGAAACTCCCTTGGGTTCCCCCCCTTGGCCGCCCAGGGCTCCACCGGTGGGGCGAGCAGTGGTAGGAAAGGGTGGAGAGCGGTGGAGAGGATTGAGAGGGCGTGGGCAAAGAGGCTGTCTGCCTGCACGCTCCCCCAGTAGATGGCCTCTGGATGTGGAGGGGTGGGATGGGAGGGGAGGGGAGGGGAGGGGAGGGGAGGGAATGGAGTAAGAAAGGAGTGAGAGGGTGGAGAGGGCTAGGTAATGGCAGTAAGGTGGGAGCAATGCTATGTGCATCCATGTGCGTGTAGCAGAAAGCAGAGCATACAAACGAGCAGCACCAGCACTAATTCAGCACAGCGCTGCACTGCACGCTAGGCCCCAGCATTCACTCCCCGAACCCTAGACCGCAACCTCACCGCACCCTATGTTTGAGTCTGAAACCCTCACCGCACCCTATGTCTCTCAAACTGAGAAATGGGTAGAAAGCTGCAAGCTCGGTTCGACCGACCGGTAATGACTAATCTAAAAGGTACTAATCTTACTGAGTACTAGGCGAGAACACGTGCTTGTAAACGTAGTAGTATTAAATCGGTAGATTACAAGTGGTTCAGAGAACGTACGCGCGTTTCGGCTTTTTAGGCCTTCATTGGCGTTTCCGAATCCTACTAAACTTGTCCACTACCTAGCAACCACTACTTGTACCTAACAGTTCCGTGTCTCGTAAGAAACCTAGCAGAAAGATTCAGACATTGCACACAACATTGCGTGGCGCTTCGTCTGTCTTGATGGGTCGTGCTTCGTCCATCTTGATGGGTCGCGCTTCGTCCATCTTGACGGGTCGCGCTTCGTCCATCTTGATGGGTCGCGCTTCGTCCATCTTGATGGGTCGCGCTTCCAAACAGTAAAGCTGGCAAGTAGGTTCCGTCTTGTCATGCAGCGGGTACCCACCTGGCAGAGAAATTGAATCAAATTGCTACCTTGAGGAGAATCTCGCTTTAACCAAAAAGTTCTGTAACTTTTTTGGTAACTTCCAAGTGAGTAAAAAACGAGGAAATGGGAGATCATATGATACGAGTTGGTTTTTGAGAATTCTCAAAAAACTGCCCCATGCCCATGCCCAACGTGCGTGGGCAGCGTCTAATTCTTAGAGCAAGGGGCGCTCCCATCCTCTCCAGCTGCTTGTTTTTTGAACAAGAGTGGTTTCTGAGTGGTGAAGCTCTTTGTCCATGTTTGATCTTCTCAAACAGAGGGATCAGAAACTTCTGGGGATAACCTCTAGCCTTCAGCCGTTGGAAGAAGGCCACTTTCCTCTCCAAGTAGGAGTGGAAAGAGGAGGACCTTAAGCAATACCTTTTCAGTTCACTCAAAATAAAACCTTTCTTACATTCCTTTCTTTCATCGCACCCTATGTCTGAGTCTGAAACCCTAAATTTGCTACCTGTTAACTTGAATTCACACTCACCTGTCACTTGGGCGGCCTGCAGCATGGGGGTTATGCTGCATCACACCACACCCCACCACACTGCACCGCACTGAAACCACCCCTTATTGTCTCACCTGCCACCTGGGCGGCCTGCAGCATGCCGAGAATGGATGAGCGCACCCCCGACACGGAGGGAAAGGGGGTTATGCTGCAGCACACCACACCCCACCACACTGCACCCCACTGCAACCACCCCTTATCGTCTCACCTGCCACCTGAGCGGCCTGCAGCATGCCGCGCATGGAGGAGCACACCACTGGCACGGAAAGGGAGGGAGCAGTGCTAGATACAGCCTACCGCACAACACCGCACTGCAACTCCTCTCATCTCGTCTCACCTGCAACCTGCGCAGCCTGCAGCATGCCGAGCATCGAGGACCGCACCACAGGCACGGACGCACACACCCTCTGCAGCAGATCAGTCAGAGGGGCCGCTGGGGGCGCAGGCGGAGGAGGGGGGGGCGGTTGGGGTGGATCGTGCCAGGGTTTATCGTGCGCGTCTGAACGACGGGATCCATGCGGCCGATTGTGAAGCTCCAACAATGAACCATCAGGTTCAGACGAAGCAGCATCAGGACCACCAGGCCCAGCAGCAGCAGCAGCAGCAGCAGCAGCAGGAGGGAGAGAAATCTCCGGCGGAGAACCCATGTGCCCATCCTCGATCTCCCCCTCACCCCCTTGGGCAACTGAAAAACCATCTCTGCCCTGATCCATCCTCTGCCCATCTGCACCACCCCCCATCGCAAAATCACCACGACGACAATCATCATCGTTATAATCATCACCACCGGTAGTAGCAGCAGTGGCTGCAGATTCCCGGGTTGATTCCAATTCTGGCCTTCTCTCTCGGCGTGACTCATGGGAGGGACGGTGGCGGGGGGAGCGGTGGCGGAGGCCCCGGGGGGTGAAGGCCTCGTGGGGAGGCAGGTCGGAGGGGTTGATTCTGAGCAGCTGCAGCAGGCGGTTGTGGTTGGGGGACGGCACGAGGCCCAGCCATGGCGCTGCTTGGATGAACTGCAGCGTGGATGCATGTGCCTGATGGGGGAAGAATGGGGGCGGGGGGGTGAGGGAACGTGGAGGAAATAAGGGCAGGAGGGGCGACAGGGCAGGTCGGAGGGGTTGATTCTGAGCAGCTGCAGCAGACGGTTGCGGTGGTTCGGGGAGGGGACAAGGCCCAGCCATGGCGCTGTTGGGATGAACTGCAGCGTGGATGCATGCGCCTGACAGGGGGGAGAAGGGAGGCAGTGGGTTTAAAGAAAAGGGAAGGGAATAAGGGCAGGAAGAGGACGCATGAATCGCATGGGGTGCATGTGGTATGAGATGCATGATATGACGGGGTGCAAGCGCATGGCATGACGGGGCGCATGGCATGACGGGGTGCATTACATGAGATACACGAGAGGAGTGCATGTGCAACGCATTCCCTAACCTACAATGCAGAGCCCACTCTATTCACGCCTCACAGCGCATTCACCATTCCTCAATCAATCCAACCAAACGCGCCTTACAATGGAGCAGCTACTCCATTGTATCGGGCAACGGACATATCGAGCAGCACAAGAAGCCCAAGCAGCGACCCCACGTCTCGCAGCGCAGCAATGACCCAATACACTCCTCACAACATCCATCACAATGCCCCCATTCTTCCCCGCCCCTCTAACAATGGAAACATCGAGCAGCCCCAGCAGCCCCAGCAGCCCCAGCAGCGACCCCACGTCTTGCAGTGGACCAAATCACTCCCCACACTGGTCACAAATTGTAACCACCACTCCATTCCATTCCACTCCTCACACAACGCAATCACCATTCACCATTCCCCAACCCCCCCCCACCCCCCCCCCTCCTCCCTCGTACAATGGAAACATAAAGCAGCACGAGCAGCCCCAGCAGCGACCCCACGTCTCTCAATGCAGCAACCACTCACTCCATCCACTGCTCACGCAGTGTCAGTGCACTCCCCAACTCAAATCCACCCCTCCCTTCCCCCTCGTACAATGGAAACATCGAGCAGAACGAGCAGCCCCAGCAGCAACCCCACGTCTCGCAATGCAGCAATCACCCCCTCCACTGCCGCTGCTGCTCTGTGCTGCAGTGCCGATGCTGCAGCTGATATGCGCTCCACACAGGCTGGGGAAGGGGATTGATGGGATAGGGAGAAAGGGTTTTGGGTTTGGGATGTCGGGTTTAAAGAGAGAGAGCAAAAGTGGTATGGCGGATGTAAGGAGGAAAGAGAACGAGGGCAAGGCCAATGCAAGTCAACCTACCTGAGAGGGCAAGTCAACACAAGTCAACCTACCTGGGAGGGCAAGTCAACGCAAGTCAACCTCAACCTACCTGGGAGGGCAAGGGTCAACGCAAGTCAACTTACCTGGGAGGCCAGATTCGAAGGGAATTTGGAGGTCTTGAGCAGGCAATAGAGGCAGCAACTTTGCTGCTAGAGGCGACAGTTGGTGGGAGACCTGTGATTCAATCAAAGTGGAAAGATCAAGGCAAGTGTGAAAGTGATTATTTAGCGCGGCTCAATCGTTGTCTCATCACACGTGTGTGATAAGTCTATTTTTGAGTCGACTCAAAAAATCGATTTAGCACGGCTCAATCATTGTCTCAATCGTTGTCTCATCACATGAAAAGTCTCGAAGAATTGAGGGGCAAGAGGGGCAGGAGGTCAGCTGCTAGAAGTGACAACTGGAGCGTAATGTTGGGTCAAAACCTCTGCATAGTGAGTTAGGGAAGTGAGTGCATGGGATGGGAAGAATGTTGCCACGACGAGTGCGTCAGTGGCCTGTTTTTGAGTCGACTAAAAAACGGGACGAGAAGAATGTAGCCATGACGAGTGCGTCAGTGGTGTGCATGTCAGGTCAGGCATGTGCACTGGGTCAGCACTCTAGAGACCAAGGTGTGCTAGGGAGACGAAGCTTCTTATGGGCTAGGGAGCCAAGCCGGAAGGTGCAGCAGAAAAAAGAAGCTTCTGAGAATTCTCAGGGTAAGGGAGGGATTCGATTCACTGCAACAGAACCGGCGGGGCTGTGAGGAAGAGTCCTGCACCTTGTGGGAGAGTGAGTCGAGGCAGAACTGCAGCAGCATGGGCAGAGAGTGCGGGCCCAGCAGCGCCACCACTGCATCCACATGGGGCTGCCCTATGAACTGCGAGTGCAGCAGGCACATGTGCGTGTAGGCCTCGTTCAGATCCTGGTGTGAGTGAGGGAGCGAGTAGGAGTTGGGGGGCAGGGGGCGTTTACAAACTCTCAGAGTCGACTCAGAGGCACCACAAGAGTGTAAGTCAGACTGCCCGGGGCTGCCCGAGAAACTGCGGGTGTAGCAGACATATGTGCGAGAAGGCCTGGCAGGGGAGGGGAGGGGAGGGGAGGGGAGGGGGGTGGGTGCAGGAACAAGTATTGAGGCAGCTATGGGTGTTTGTTTCTGAGTCGAGTCAGAGGCACTAGAGCATCCACGTGCGTCTGGCCTAGTGATTTGTGAGTGCAACGGGAGACTTTGTGAAACGCACTCTGTGGGAAACGGCTCCAGCAGATGATGTGCAGTCGCGTCACTTTCAGCAGCATGTTCGAACATATTTATGCTCCGTTGGATCCACAGTTCGGTATTGTTCGAACACTTGAATTTTTGTATTTCACACCAGCTTGTTTATGTTTCCTGTTTTTTGTGAATGTGAGTACACTATAAACACGAACAACCATTCTGAGGGATAACTGTTCACAGTATTTTGTATTCCATCATAAACTTTGAAACCAACCTCCCAACCGAAGACCAAATAACGAGACACCCTTGTCCGTTTGCCGAACGTGTTGGAAGCGGCACGGGGGTGGTCCGGCGCGAAGTCGTGGCCTAGACACTGGCCGAAGGAGGTGGTTCGAAATTTACCCGTTACAGGCGTTCTCGTTTGATTTTTTAGTCAATTTACTCCCACCCGGCATCGTGGTGCTCCAAACCGCATCCCTCATTTCTGGAGCTCTTCCCTTTCCATCCCGTTCTTCCATGACCAAAACCAGCACATTACGGAGCCCTTCAGCTCAAGCATAGGTCGTTTGACTCTGTAAAACCCCGATTGTTTCTCGTATATCCAGAGAAGTTCTCTCACAGTCACCTCAAGTAGCAGAGTAAGCTTGCTGACGCCACCATGCCTCACCCACACATTAACGAGCTATCAGACGAGCTCCTTGTTAAAATCTTCTGGCACTCCAAAAAACATTTCGATGTTGGCCGTCGACCTGAAGCCTGGGTTCATTTCTCGCCTAGCCCGAGATACTCAGCCGAAAGCCCCTATGGCGAAGATCCCGACAGCTTAGGAGGCTTGGAGTCGTCCTCCATGCAGTCGCGAAACGCCGAAAATTCTATTGCTGGAGCCCTTTAGACTCGTTTAGGGCTCCATTTCGCGGCTTCGAAGGAGTCGATGAGATGAGAGGGGATACGACCTTAGAAGTGCAGTGCGGGCAACGCTATGAGAGTGCTATAGAGGCAGTATCATCATGCCACTTACATAGGACGCAGTGCGGGAGGAGAGTGAGGAGAGGGAGGTGGCGTGGGTGGCCTCGGCGAAAATGGCTTCAAACGAGTCAATCGCAGGGCAGTGCTCTGCGACCAATCGGTGCGCGCCACGTAGGACGTCCACTAGGTGATGTGTCTCCTGCAGGCGAGGGTGGACGGAGGCAGAAGGCATGTGTAAGCGAGGAGGAGAGTGTGTGAGGCCCTTGGGTGGTATTTTAACATTAAAATGTACCCTAAGTACACGTAACTCGCACTGTCTGGTGATTGAAACACCCTCTCACACATTATACAGAACAACCGCATACAAGTTGCCGTGTGGGGTTTCAGCCGTCTTGAATCCACAGGCACAAAATCACAAAAAGACTCTCAAACTGCCATGCGTCACACACACACCATGATGTGGCAGAGATCTGCCCCTTCCATGCGGCCGAGGATGAAATCCAGGTTGCGCCTAGTCAGCTTGTTGAGCCGCTGAGTCAGCAGATCCCGCATGTCCACAGTGCGGCCCAATAGCTGCACAGTCATGAGAGACGGGAGAGAGGAGAGGGCGTAGTGGGTTGTAAGGATCCGAGGTTGACTGATATGGTCGAGGCAAGGTATGGAGGGGAGTTAGAGAGCAGTTGCAGAGACACACAGAGTCAAACCCATGACGAAGACACGTCAACTCATGGCTGGTTCAGAACGAAAACACCCACCTGCAGGTGCGTCTGACGCAAGAGCCCGCTGTAGCTGCATGGAGCCACGCTGTACCTCCCTCCCACACCCAGGGCTGTCGCTGCCGCCACAAACGACTTGTCCAGAAGCTTGCTGAAGGGGAACAAATGCGGGCAGGGGAAGCAAAACGCAGGGGGATGCGAGTGGGGGAAGCAAGAACGCAGGAGCAAGAGGGTGTGGCAAAAGCAGGAGCAAGCAAAAGCAGGAGCAAGCAAAAGCAGGAGCAAGCAAAAGCAGGAGCAAGCAAAAGCAGGAGCAAGCAAAAGCAGGAGCAAGCAAAAGCAGGAGCAAGCAAAAGCAGGAGCAAGCAAAAGCAGGAGCAAGCAAAAGCAGGAGCAAGCAAAAGCAGGAGCAAGCAAAAGCAGGAGCAAGCAAAAGCAGGAGCAAGCAAAAGCAGGAGCAAGCAAAAGCAGGAGCAAGCAAAAGCAGGAGCAAGCAAAAGCAGGAGCAAGCAAAAGCAGGAGCAAGCAAAAGCAGGAGCAAGCAAAAGCAGGAGCAAGCAAAAGCAGGAGCAAGCAAAAGCAGGAGCAAGCAAAAGCAGGAGCAAGCAAAAGCAGGAGCAAGCAAAAGCAGGAGCAAGCAAAAGCAGGAGCAAGCAAAAGCAGGAGCAAGCAAAAGCAGGAGCAAGCAAAAGCAGGAGCAAGCAAAAGCAGGAGCAAGCAAAAGCAGGAGCAAGCAAAAGCAGGAGCAAGCAAAAGCAGGAGCAAGCAAAAGCAGGAGCAAGCAAAAGCAGGAGCAAGCAAAAGCAGGAGCAAGCAAAAGCAGGAGCAAGCAAAAGCAGGAGCAAGCAAAAGCAGGAGCAAGCAAAAGCAGGAGCAAGCAAAAGCAGGAGCAAGCAAAAGCAGGAGCAAGCAAAAGCAGGAGCAAGCAAAAGCAGGAGCAAGCAAAAGCAGGAGCAAGCAAAAGCAGGAGCAAGCAAAAGCAGGAGCAAGCAAAAGCAGGAGCAAGCAAAAGCAGGAGCAAGCAAAAGCAGGAGCAAGCAAAAGCAGGAGCAAGCAAAAGCAGGAGCAAGCAAAAGCAGGAGCAAGCAAAAGCAGGAGCAAGCAAAAGCAGGAGCAAGCAAAAGCAGGAGCAAGCAAAAGCAGGAGCAAGCAAAAGCAGGAGCAAGCAAAAGCAGGAGCAAGCAAAAGCAGGAGCAAGCAAAAGCAGGAGCAAGCAAAAGCAGGAGCAAGCAAAAGCAGGAGCAAGCAAAAGCAGGAGCAAGCAAAAGCAGGAGCAAGCAAAAGCAGGAGCAAGCAAAAGCAGGAGCAAGCAAAAGCAGGAGCAAGCAAAAGCAGGAGCAAGCAAAAGCAGGAGCAAGCAAAAGCAGGAGCAAGCAAAAGCAGGAGCAAGCAAAAGCAGGAGCAAGCAAAAGCAGGAGCAAGCAAAAGCAGGAGCAAGCAAAAGCAGGAGCAAGCAAAAGCAGGAGCAAGCAAAAGCAGGAGCAAGCAAAAGCAGGAGCAAGCAAAAGCAGGAGCAAGCAAAAGCAGGAGCAAGCAAAAGCAGGAGCAAGCAAAAGCAGGAGCAAGCAAAAGCAGGAGCAAGCAAAAGCAGGAGCAAGCAAAAGCAGGAGCAAGCAAAAGCAGGAGCAAGCAAAAGCAGGAGCAAGCAAAAGCAGGAGCAAGCAAAAGCAGGAGCAAGCAAAAGCAGGAGCAAGCAAAAGCAGGAGCAAGCAAAAGCAGGAGCAAGCAAAAGCAGGAGCAAGCAAAAGCAGGAGCAAGCAAAAGCAGGAGCAAGCAAAAGCAGGAGCAAGCAAAAGCAGGAGCAAGCAAAAGCAGGAGCAAGCAAAAGCAGGAGCAAGCAAAAGCAGGAGCAAGCAAAAGCAGGAGCAAGCAAAAGCAGGAGCAAGCAAAAGCAGGAGCAAGCAAAAGCAGGAGCAAGCAAAAGCAGGAGCAAGCAAAAGCAGGAGCAAGCAAAAGCAGGAGCAAGCAAAAGCAGGAGCAAGCAAAAGCAGGAGCAAGCAAAAGCAGGAGCAAGCAAAAGCAGGAGCAAGCAAAAGCAGGAGCAAGCAAAAGCAGGAGCAAGCAAAAGCAGGAGCAAGCAAAAGCAGGAGCAAGCAAAAGCAGGAGCAAGCAAAAGCAGGAGCAAGCAAAAGCAGGAGCAAGCAAAAGCAGGAGCAAGCAAAAGCAGGAGCAAGCAAAAGCAGGAGCAAGCGGGCAAGCAAGGGCAAGAGCAAGCAGGTGCGCTACTGACCCTCCCACACCCAAGGGGAAGCCCCTGAATGGCTCACCTGGCCGCCCCTGAATGGCTCACCTGGCCGCCCCTGAATAGCTCACCTGGCCGCCCCTGAATGGCTCACCTGGCCGCACACTGTTTGAAGTGGGTGAAGATGGCGCGAGAGAGCTTCTCCAACAGCTGGTCGAACGCCATGCCCACCTGGCATGCCAGTTGGGGTATGTGGGATGGGACGGGGCATGAGGGATGGGACGGGGCATGAGACATGGGACGGGGCATGAGACATGGGACGGGGCATGAGACATGGGACGGGGCATGAGACATGGGACGGGGCATGAGACATGGGACGGGGCATGAGACATGGGACGGGGCATGAGACATGGGACAGGGCATGAGACATGGGACGGGGCATGAGACATGGGACGGGGCATGAGACATGGGACGGGGTAATGTGGGATGAGATGGGGTTTGTAAACTGGTATTGGTGGTGGTACAATTTCCAAAATGCAGGTGAGGAGTAGAGAGCATGGGATGCGTAGGAAAGAACCACATTCGTACTGTACTATATGTGTGTGCCTATATATACGTATGTTAATCTGAACTGCCCTTTTCCTCTCACCCTCACCCGCCTCCACCTCGTCAAAGAGGAGCTGCCTCTTGAGCGACCGAAGCGCCGCATCAGCACTGTACTGCACGTGCGTGATTGCATACACACATGTGTCAAGACACTGCAGGTGCGTGATTGCATACACACATGTGTCAAGACACTGCAGGTGCGTGATTGCATACGCACATGTGTCAAGACACTGCAGGTGAGTGATTGCATACACACATGTGTCAAGTCACTGCACTCACATTGCTTGATTCTCTCTCACCTCCGCCTCCACCTCATCAAAGAGAAACTGCCTCTTGAGCGAGCGCAGCGCCGCGTCAGCTGCATCATCATAGATGGTGAACGGCAGCAGCACTGCGTCTGGTAGCGATGGCGCCCACGGGACCACCATCACTCCACCAGCACCACCGCCAGCAGCAACAGCACCATCGGCAGCAGTAGATGCACCAGCTGCTGCAGCAGCAGTGGTAGCAGCAACATCCCCAACCCCAGCAGCACTGCCGCCATCTGCAGAGCTTGCTTTCCCCGTAGCAGGATCAGCAGGCACACTGCTGCTACCACTGCCACTGCCACTGCTCCCGCCGCTGCCGCCGCCGCTGCTGCTGCTATTGGTGGTGTGTTGGAGAGCGGAGAGAGTGAGCACCCACGGGAGGCTGGCCGAGACAGCGACTTGTGCCGTTGCTGCTGGGTCTAGAAACGACTCCCGCAGCCACAGGAAGGAGAGGTCTGTCACCTGTAGCAAGGCGTCTTGTAAGGGGGACGAAGGCAGCAGGAGCAGCGAGAGAGGAAACGAGAACTTGAATGGAAGGGCAGCCTTGTCGAAGAGACAAGTGCACCACTGATGCATCTGAAAAGACTCCTGCAGCCGCATGAAGGAAACAAACACTACCTCCTGCTGTAACAAGTTAAAGTTACATGGCACAAGGTGGGTGAAGGAGAGAAGGCGCTCTGCTCTGCAGCAAGTTCTCCAGCAAGGAAACACTCGCCGGCACCTCCCTGTCCCTCTTGAGACGTCTCCAAACCCATGAAAGCCCCCCGTTGCAATGACTGTGTACCAACCAACCGACCAACGTACTGGGGTAATCAATCAAGCAGGTGCGGGAAGAAGAGCAGGCGCTGCAGGAAGTTATCAAGCTCCTTGATCTCACTCGCTGATACCTCCCTGTTTTTCTTGAGATGACTCAAAACCACATTTGAAATACCTGCTGCAAGAACTGCATACTTGGGTAGTCGAGGAGGTGCGGGAAGAAGAGCAGGCGCTGCAGGAAGTTATCGAGCTCATTGATCTCACTGGCCGATACCTCCCTGTCCCGGCCCTTGCTGCGACTCTTCCCCCCCTCCTCCTTTCCCCCTGCTTGCTCTTCTCTGGTCCAAAGAACCCCCCTTTCACTCCGGCACTTGCCCCGATCACCAGCGCCTGCACCAGATGCTGCAGACAGTGAATCTGAGAAGGGGAAGGGAAGAGAGGAAGGAAGGAAGGAGAAGCGAGGGAAGCACACGGGATTGCCTGCAGCGGTGATGATGGTCCCATTCGCTGTGTGATGATGATAACCTCACACACTGGCACTTGCCCTCATCACCAGCGCCTGCACCAGGTGGTGCTGCAGACAGCGAATCTGCACGGGGACGGGGGGGAGGAAGGAGGAGAGGCAAGGAAAGAACAAGGGTAGGCTGTGTTAACGGTGCCATCCCTTCACTCCAGCACTTGAGGTCGTTTTTGAGGCGCCTCAAAAAAGAACAAGGGTAGGCTGTGTTAACGGTGCCATCCCTTCACTCCAGCACTTGTCCCGATCACCAGCGCGTGCAGCGCACCAGATGCTGCAGTGCAGACAGAGGACAGTGGATCTGTGGGAGAGAAGAAAGGCAGCAAGTAGCAAGGAGCGCATACGGGATGGCTGTTGTGATGGTTCAAGTGTCCAGTCCAGGCGAGCCACTCTTTCACCCTGGTGCCTGCTCCAACCAACCAGCAATGCCGGCACCAACCAGCAATGCCGTCACCAGGTTCTGAACTCTGCAGGGCAGGAGGCCAGGGGAAGAAGAGCCGTAGGCGTTTGAAGTGCCACTTCGAGTCGCACAGGAATCGAGACAACCTGGGGAAGACTCACCTGGGCGAGGGACGGCGGGGTGGGGCGCGGCAGGGCGAGCCGCTTAAGGTCGTCCTCATTGACAGGGTGTCCCTTGCGGCTCTTCACCACCACCTCCAGTGCCTCCTCCTCCGGTATCCCCGCCCAGTCCGCTGCCACTGCCCGGATCCTCAGCAGTGTCCTGCCGCAACAAGACACACAGCACAGCGCAGTGCAGTGCAGTGCAGTGAAGTGGCACATAGAAGAGAGGGAGACGAGGCTAAGAGAGGGAGAAGAGGCTACACACTGAGAAACCAATGCAGGGCGGGCTTGATGGAGAGAACAGAACAGACGGAGAGCGGAAACAGCTAAGAGTGGAATTGAGGCAACACAAAGATATATCACAACCTAACCTGGCGTAGGGCGAATCCATGTTGGGGGAGGAGACTCGCTTGAGCAGCGAAGACACACATAGACGCGTGCAAACTCCACGAGGTGTCTGCTGGTGCATCCATACGGCCGGCCGTGCACCAGAGTCTTTTGCTTGTGTCTGCTTGGCGTAGGGAACGCCCACACTATCACTACCTGTCCATGCTGAGACAATCATCACCTGGCGTAAGGAGAGTCCATGTTGGAGGAGGAGACACGCTTGAGCAGCGAGGCCACATACACGCGTGCAAACTCCTGCACGTCCGCATGGATGGCCTCCCGCAGCACCCATGCAATGTCTCCCTCCACCGCTGTCATCATGGCCGCCACTCCCTTGATGAACGCGATTAGCTGGACGAGGTAAGGAGGAGTGGGTAGTGCAAGAGATGAGAGACATTTGATGTGCGTCAAAGGGTGTGGATGGCCTCCCGCAGCACCCATGCGATGTCGCCCTCCACTGCCGTCACCATCGCTGCGACTCCTTTCATGTATGCTATGAGCTGGGGATTGGGGTGTGGGAGATGAGGGACATCCGAGTCCCCTCAAAGAGCATGGATGGCCTCCCGCAGCACCCATGCGATGTCGCCCTCCACTGCCGTCATCATGGCCGCCACGAAGAGGGAGGGTAAGCATGTTAGGAGAAACGCGCGAGGGGGGCTAGGAGATGCGAAAGTCTAACACAGCATAGAAAATAACCAGCACACACAGACAAACGCATACGCACACCCACGAACACAGCAGAAGCCACTTCAACACTCAATACAACCGCCAGAGACCCAGCGCCTATACACACCTGTAGCACAGCTTGCAGCTCTGGCTGTGAGAATCCATGGTGCACCATCTGAGTAGAGACAGGGCAGGGGAATGAATAGAGAGTATGCGGTGGGGGCACAGACATTTGAAGCGCCTCAAGAGCCATACGCCCTTGCAGCACAGCTTGCAGCTCTGCCTGTGAGAATCCATGCTGCACCATCTGAGCAAAGCAGTGGCAGGGGGGATGAAGAGAGAGAATGGGGTAAGGAGGACACAGAAAATCGGTAGAAAAGGCAGGTCGAACTTTGAGTCTGATGCAGGGGAAAGTTGCGTATGGGAACGGACCATTTGTGGGAACGGTGAGTAGCCTAGCCTCACCTGCTCGTATGCACTCAGGTTCTGCTTCCCTTTGCCTCCACCAGCACTTGCAGCACCAGACGCTACAGGTGGGCAGGAAGATGAGGATGGGGAAGGGGGGCACCCAGCGGCCTCAGCAAAGAGCTGGTGAAGCCTCCTAGGCTCTCCCTCCGCTGCTGAGCTCTCACTTTCCCTTGGTGCTGCTGCCTCGGCGCTTGCAGCGTCAGCAGCAGCAAAACCACCAGCCACAGCAGCAGCGTTTGAGGCAGCAGCAGCAGCAGCAGGAGAGTTAGTGGTGGCAGGAGGAGGAGACGCAGCATGGGAGGCAGCGAGGTGGGTCTTCCAGGCAAAGTGCTGCAGCAGGCGGCCGGACCAGCGGGAGAGCAGCAGCAGCCCCTCCAGCAGCACGCGGTACACCTCCACCCGCACCTCCTTGGCCTGCGGTGACCGAGACTTCACGCGCGCATGCTTCATCACTGTCAGCTGGGATTGGGTGTGTGCATGGGTTGGGGGGGTGGGGGTTACAGGGACAGGTTCAGACGTTGAGAGCACCGTAAGCCCCTCTGACAGCATGTGGTATACCTCCACCCGCACCTCCTTCACACCGGGGGTGCGTGAATTCACGCGAGCGTGCTTCATCGCTGTTAGCTGTGTGTGTAGGGGAGGGATGGGATGGGGTGGGTTGGACGGAGGTCATACAGAACGCACCCACTTTACGACAGAACATCGTAATGCATGCACCTTGTTCGTGGCAACGGTGAATCGCAGGCGCACAGCCCCTCATCGTGTGCTGTGCCAATGGCCAGCAAAAATACCACACTCCACCGCACTGCACCCTGCAGTACCTTGTTCATGGCAGCGGTGAATCGTAGGCAGAGCTCCTCGTGTGCCTTGGCAATAGCTGGCATCTGGGGCAGCAGGTCGTACACTCGTGACACTGCAGGATATGAGAGGAGGGGTGGGTGGGGAGAAAGGAGGAGAGAGGATTGCGCCAAGAGGCAGCATTGGATGGTTGAAGGGAGGGAGAGCAGAGCTCCTCGTGAGTCTTGGCGATGACTAGCATCTGGGGCAGCAGGTCGTACACTCGTGACACTAAGGGCAGGGACGGAGGAATTAAGGAGAGGAAAAGCTGATAGGGAAAGAGGGGGGAAGGTCTGTGGGGGTTCGTGTGCCTTGGGAATGGCTGGCATCTGCGACAGCAGGTCGTACACTCGCGACACAGCAGGCAAAGAGTCGGCGAGGGTGGGGAGGGTGAGGAGGAACGAGGATAGAGAATTGAGCCAGAGCGATTGCTTGCATCTGCAGGAGCAGGTCGGGCCAAACGTTCGAGGCAAGGCACTGACGCAATCGACTTTGCAAGGCTGCGTGAAGGACTTCACAATCGGCTCTGTCGTTTTCCTCCTTGCCCTCCTTGACCGGCATGCATGCTTGTCACTCGAAACCGGCAGGAATGTAAGTTGAGATGGCAGCGAGTGTTGAGATGGCAGCGAGTGTTGAGATGGCAGCGAGTGTTGAGATGGCAGCGAGTGTTGAGATGGCAGCGAGTGTTGAGATGGCAGCGAGTGTTGAGATGGCAGCGAGTGTTGAGATGGCAGCGAGTGTTGAGATGGCAGCGAGTGTTGAGATGGCAGCGAGTGTTGAGATGGCAGCGAGTGTTGAGATGGCAGCGAGTGTTGAGATGGCAGCGAGTGTTGAGATGGCAGCGAGTGTTGAGATGGCAGCGAGTGTTGAGATGGCAGCGAGTGTTGAGATGGCAGCGAGTGTTGAGATGGCAGCGAGTGTTGAGATGGCAGCGAGTGTTGAGATGGCAGCGAGTGTTGAGATGGCAGCGAGTGTTGAGATGGCAGCGAGTGTTGAGATGGCAGCGAGTGTTGAGATGGCAGCGAGTGTTGAGATGGCAGCGAGTGTTGAGATGGCAGCGAGTGTTGAGATGGCAGCGAGTGTTGAGATGGCAGCGAGTGTTGAGATGGCAGCGAGTGTTGAGATGGCAGCGAGTGTTGAGATGGCAGCGAGTGTTGAGATGGCAGCGAGTGTTGAGATGGCAGCGAGTGTTGAGATGGCAGCGAGTGTTGAGATGGCAGCGAGTGTTGAGATGGCAGCGAGTGTTGAGATGGCAGCGAGTGTTGAGATGGCAGCGAGTGTTGAGATGGCAGCGAGTGTTGAGATGGCAGCGAGTGTTGAGATGGCAGCGAGTGTTGAGATGGCAGCGAGTGTTGAGATGGCAGCGAGTGTTGAGATGGCAGCGAGTGTTGAGATGGCAGCGAGTGTTGAGATGGCAGCGAGTGTTGAGATGGCAGCGAGTGTTGAGATGGCAGCGAGTGTTGAGATGGCAGCGAGTGTTGAGATGGCAGCGAGTGTTGAGATGGCAGCGAGTGTTGAGATGGCAGCGAGTGTTGAGATGGCAGCGAGTGTTGAGATGGCAGCGAGTGTTGAGATGGCAGCGAGTGTTGAGATGGCAGCGAGTGTTGAGATGGCAGCGAGTGTTGAGATGGCAGCGAGTGTTGAGATGGCAGCGAGTGTTGAGATGGCAGCGAGTGTTGAGATGGCAGCGAGTGTTGAGATGGCAGCGAGTGTTGAGATGGCAGCGAGTGTTGAGATGGCAGCGAGTGTTGAGATGGCAGCGAGTGTTGAGATGGCAGCGAGTGTTGAGATGGCAGCGAGTGTTGAGATGGCAGCGAGTGTTGAGATGGCAGCGAGTGTTGAGATGGCAGCGAGTGTTGAGATGGCAGCGAGTGTTGAGATGGCAGCGAGTGTTGAGATGGCAGCGAGTGTTGAGATGGCAGCGAGTGTTGAGATGGCAGCGAGTGTTGAGATGGCAGCGAGTGTTGAGATGGCAGCGAGTGTTGAGATGGCAGCGAGTGTTGAGATGGCAGCGAGTGTTGAGATGGCAGCGAGTGTTGAGATGCTCCGAAACAAAGAGGCACGCACCCACCCACCCACCCACCCACCCACCCACCCACCCACCCACCCACCCACCCACCCACCCACCCACCCACCCACCCACCCACCCACCCACCCACCCACCCACCCACCCACCCACCCACCCACCCACCCACCCACCCACCCACCCACCCACCCACCCACCCACCCACCCACCCACCCACCCACCCACCCACCCACCCACCCACCCACCCACCCACCCACCCACCCACCCACCCACCCACCCACCCACCCACCCACCCACCCACCCACCCACCCACCCACCCACCCACCCACCCACCCACCCACCCACCCACCCACCCACCCACCCACCCACCCACCCACCCACCCACCCACCCACCCACCCACCCACCCACCCACCCACCCACCCACCCACCCACCCACCCACCCACCCACCCACCCACCCACCCACCCACCCACCCACCCACCCACCCACCCACCCACCCACCCACCCACCCACCCACCCACCCACCCACCCACCCACCCACCCACCCACCCACCCACCCACCCACCCACCCACCCACCCACCCACCCACCCACCCACCCACCCACCCACCCACCCACCCACCCACCCACCCACCCACCCACCCACCCACCCACCCACCCACCCACCCACCCACCCACCCACCCACCCACCCACCCACCCACCTTGAAGAGTCTGAGAAGGCGGTCGAGCTTGACTCTCCGCCGGAACAGCGTGTCTGCCTCGGCCTCGGTGCGTGCAGCGAGCGATATGAGCACCGGCAGCACTCGCAGCAGCATGAGGCGGTCGGCAAACAGCAGCGTGCGGCCGCTCTCTATGGTGCCCGTGGCCACCACCATGAGCTGCACAAAAAACTCCTCCACACTGGAAGGGCACGAAGAGGGAGCAGGAAGGCAGGAAGGCAGGAAGGCAGGAAGGCAGGAAGGCAGGAAGGCAGGAAGGCAGGAAGGCAGGAAGGCAGGAAGGCAGGAAGGCAGAGATTTGACAGTGGATTGGAGAGAGAGTGGAACAGCAGCGTGCGGCCGCTCTCTATGGTGCCCGTGGCCACCACCATCAGCTGCACAAAGAACGGCAGTGTGCGACCAATTGCTCCATGCAGGGTTGTGCTGAGTTCCCTTGGGATGCCTGTAGTGCTTATTTCGTTGGCCAAGATGCCAAGGCACTCATTTGCATACTTGGTCTGGAGTGGACTGGACAGCACTGCACTGAACTGCACTGCTTAGGACTGGACTGGACTGGACTGGACTGGAATTGACTGAACTGGACTGGGCTGGATTGGCCTGCACTGGACTGCACCGCACTGCACCGCACGTACGTTTCGTTGCCTGGGATGCCGGCCTGCAGGCTGGACAGGACAGCCCAGCGCTTGCTCCAAAACTCCTGACGTTGGCAAAGGAAGAAATGGCGGGGAGAGTAGTGTTGGTGGGTTGGGAATTGACAGGGGTTTAAGTTGGGATTGAGTGACATGACAGGTGATGGCTCTGGAAAACACTGTTGGCGCGTGGGTGATATATACTGGAGCTACCTTTGAGAATTCTTCACTTCTGTGAATTTACAAACAACGATTTGCTGGTTGCTAGCATTTGGAACGCCCCAAAAACGCACGTGGGTAACCTTAGAATGGAAACACAGTTGGGATGTGAACGCATGCTATGCATGTCAAAATGTTGGTCTACACACCTGATCTGCGTGCACATGCACGTCTCCCCGAACGGTGAAATGCACACTCATACGAAGATACAATGGAAGGTCGTAATCAACAAGCAACTTCCAAGGCGCCTATGAAGCTTTCTCCCCTAAGGGTGGGCTACTACACACCTACTACATAAATACGATGGACGTTCATAGCCAACAAGCAAATTCAATCGCCTGCCACTGGCCTACCTCCAGGTCGCAGTCAGTGTCAGAACCCCTCTCTGTATTGACTCGACCACTCTGTACCGCTCTGGTGTGAGCCAGAATCGCGCAGGGAACATCAATGGGGAAGAGGGGAAGGGGAGGAGCGAGAAAGCCGTGGGACCTGAACCAGTTAGAACCCCGAAAGCGCATGAATTAATGAGGCAGAGGAGGAACGAAAGTGAGGCATGGAAGGCATGGACGGCCTTGGAAGGCATGGAAGGCAAGGGAGGCATGAGGCATGAGGCATGAGGCATGAGGCATGAGGCATGAGGCATGAGGCATGAGGCATGAGGCATGAGGCATGAGGCATGAGGCATGAGGCATGAGGCATGAGGCATGAGGCATGAGGCATGAGGCATGAGGCATGAGGCATGAGGCATGAGGCATGAGGCATGAGGCATGAGGCATGAGGCATGGTATGCATTTCGTTCAACATGAGTTCTCACCGCCTGAACCAGTGCAGGTCAGAGAGTGGCGCTGCCTTGGTGTGTTTGAGCAAGTCTAGCAGCAGACACGTGTCCAGCACTCTCAGCAGGCTCCTGTGGGATGTGGTGCGGTGAAGTGCGATGCAGTGCACAACAGAAGGGAAAACAGCATGACCCACGATGGCGCAGCATCTGGCAACAAGAAGAACAAGAGCAAAATTATCCAGACACCCAGCGCGATTTCTGGAGCATTGTAAAGCAGTTGTGGGTGAGGAAGGGCGAGAAAAGCAGATGGGAAAACGTGGTGCTTACTTCGCCAGAGGGGAGTGCCTCACAAGCGACTTTCCCTGCTGCATGGTCTGCACAGCTCACCACAAGGCGACTCACCTCACGGTGACACACTGGGTGGCATGCCTTGCTGCCAGACCTGTCTGCATGACTCACCACAGGTGTGTGAGGGTGGGTGGGACCGATCATCTCCCCTGTGAATTTCTTTTCAAGCGGCTTTTGAAGCGACTTTTAAGGCAGCTTTTGAGGCGCCTCAAAAGTCGTTGGTGCATGACCTGGCTGCAAGACTCACCACAGGTGTGTGAGGGTGGGTCCGGTCATCTCCCCTGAGAATCGCTGCAGGTCTGCAGCGATCAACGACCGAGCTCGAATCTGCCACTGATGGATGTTTCTCAGCCGTTGGATCTCCACATCTACGATCGCAAACGCCTCCTGCAGCAGTCCTGGCTCTGCATTCTCGTCCAAGGCTTGCACTGACTGCAGGGAGGCAGCAGGTGGCAGAGAAACCGGGAAGGGAGAGATGAGCAACGGAGAGAGGGTGCAAGACGAGAAATAAAGGGAGTTCGTCGTCCTCTAAGAGACGGTAAGAATCCTTCAAGTGAAAAAGAGGAGGATTCTTACGCTCTGCTAACCCCCTCTGCAGCTACCTGCCCTGTGCAAACCGGAGAGGTGCCTTGCCTCATTACAGGCCTGCCTTAGCAACGTTGCGGTAGTATTAGTGTAGAGCGATGCTAAGGCTGGCCAACGCACGCTGGACATGCGTCCTGCTGGCAGCTGGGAGCCTGGGTCACTCCCTCAAATCAATGGCCACGCTGTACTGTACTGTACTACCTCGGGTAAGGACTTTGAAACGCTGCGGTAGGTGTAGAGCGATGCGAGCATGTCCCTGCCGTCTGCCAATAGGGCGTCCTGTAGTGATGGGAGACGATGGGAGTCATGCGCACACGGGAAGGGTGGGATGATGGGTGTTAAGGAACAGGAGAGATGGAAGACGGTGGAATTGGAATGGAACGCAGACAGGGAGACGGGACAGATGGATATGAGAGAGACTGCATGCTGAGAGAGGACCACAAAGAAAGGGGAATCGTACATAGATTCATGTCAGTGCTTGTTGACAGTGCGCTCACTCCAGTCCCGTGCATTTTAAAATCGCAGTAATTTGGTGGCTGCTGCAGCGTCAGTCCACCTCTCACACAGCTATGCCGGTGTTAGTCTACCTTATTCCCTCATCCCTCTCCTTGCACAGTCCGCCAGCCCACTCACCTGTTACACTGATGGCTTGCATCCCTCAGCCAGTTAGGATGCGTTCTTTTCCTTTCCATTCTCCCCTCTCTCCCCTCTCTCCCCTCTCTCCCCTCTCTCCCCTCTCTCCCTGCCCTCCCTCCCTCCCCTACCCTCACCAGCTGGCTGATGGCAGCAGTGTCATCCTCCAGGGACAGCTGGAAGGCCGCCACCTCCCCTCCCTGCTCTCGCTCCTCTCCCTCCTCTCCCACACTCCGACACTTGGTGAGTCCCCTCCCCTGCCCCCTCCGTCCGCCCCCTCACCAGCTGGTTGATGGCGGCAGTGTCGTCCTCCAGGGACAGCTGGAACGCCGCCACCTCCGCGTACTCTGGAGGGGTTGGGGTGACCACGGAGGGAGTGAAAAGGAGGGGATAAGGGGCTGACAAGGAGGGGATAAGGGGCTGAAAAGGAGGGGATAAGGGGCTGACAAGGAGGAGATAAGGGGCTGAAAAGGAGGGGATAAGGGGCTGAAAAGGAGGGGATAAGGGGCTGAAAAGGAGGGGATAAGGGGCTGAAAAGGAGGGGATAAGGGGCTAAAAAGGAGGGGATAAGGGGCTGAAAAGGAGGGGATAAGGGGCTGAAAAGGAGGGGATAAGGGGCTGAAAAGGAGGGGATAAGGGGCTGAAAAGGAGGGGATAAGGGGCTGAAAAGGAGGGGATAAGGGGCTGAAAAGGTGGGGATAAGGGGCTGAAAAGGAGGGGATAAGGGGCTGAAAAGGAGGGGATAAGGGGCTGAAAAGGAGGGGATAAGGGGCTGAAAAGGAGGGGATAAGGGGCTGAAAAGGAGGGGATAAGGGGCTGAAAAGGAGGGGATAAGGGGCTGAAAAGGAGGGGATAAGGGGCTGAAAAGGAGGGGATAAGGGGCTGAAAAGGAGGGGATAAGAACAGCTGGAAGGGACAGCTAAAAGGGAAAGCTAGCAGGCCGCCACCTCCGCGTATTCTGGAGGGAGGGGGAAGTTGGGGTGAGCATGGCATGAAGACGGAGGGGGGAATGGGAGGGGAGAAGGACAGCTGGAAGGGACAGCTAGCAGGCCGACCGCCACCTTAATGTACTCTGGAGGGAGGGGGGGTTGGGGTGAAATGCCGGGGAGAAGGACACGTGGAAGGGACAGCTGGACGGGACACATGGAAGGGACAGCTAGTATACCGTCACCTCGCCGTGCTCTGGGTAGCAAGGTCGGACAGAAGGAGCGGGCTGCGTGAGGCGGGGGTATGGCGACCTAAGGTAGGAGCGGGTCGCGTGAGGCGGGGGTATGACGACAGGGGGTGAGAGGAGGCTAACGGACGCGGGGTGAATAAATGGGGTAAAAGGAGCGCTGACACATGGTTACCTGCGTACGACTTGCTGTATGACATGATACGGCTTGCTGTGGTTACCTGTGTACGGTGTCCTGTACGACATGCTGAACGACACAGTTACCTGTGTACGACGTCCTGTACGACGCGTCGTACACCATGGTGGACGTGAGGCCCTGCACGCCCGGCTGTTCGTCATGCTGAGTCAGCGTGAACAGCGTCGCGATCGCATCATCCACCGTCAGCGCCATTGACGCTCGACTCGATTCGGAATCGCTACTTTCGAACTCAAAAGCACTTCGTAATCCTGAATTTTCAGCACTACTCTACTCTGGTTTCGAGATCATTACGCAATTCCGAATTCGAGAACACTACCAGTCGCTAGGAGGCTCCTCATAACAAAATAGCGTCATTCATGAGTCCATCCATCGTTTCACCGAGTCGTTCTGAGAAACGTGTCAAGTAGCTGATGAATTGGTAAAACTACGTTTCCCAAGTGCGCTACTAGTGGCGGACCGCGCCGTAAAAAAACAAAACAAATTCGCTGCTAGGTTCGCACTGCCAATATCGCTTCATCAGGCTGCTACGCTACTGTATTAGGCTGCTCGGATTGCACTGCTAGGCGCTAGGTTTCGCGCTGCGTGAGTCTTCTAGGGGAGGTGCTGTCAGGCTGCTTCGTCCCAAGCCAAAACAATTTGGCGTACTTCGCGTGACAGAGTTTTCGCGCGCAGACATTGTTTCCGCCCTGACCAATCAAAATCAGGCTGTTTAGGTTTGGACCGTACTTACTTACGCCTGACGTGGTCTGAGGTACGTACGGATATGTGTGCGTTCATCAGTAGCAACTTCGCTAGAAACCAAGAACAATATCAATCACCTCTTGCTCTAAACTAAGAACCCATAACTACTTCCTCGAAAGGGAAATTTTGTTAGGTGCGCCTGTTTTTCGCAGTCATAAAAACCTGGGGCCCCTATAACGGGGAATTTTCATCGGCACAGCATCTCCGCCGCCCACTCGATCTCCCCCTTCATCGCCATTCCCAGTCTCGCCCCTGATCCCCTCCGCCCTCCATGCTCACCCGCTGTTTTCCGCGTCCTTCACTCGCTATTCTCCGCGCGCTGGAAGCCTGCGCCGTGCTTTCCTCATCCACGCGGAAAGCCGCATTTCGAATGCCGTCTGCCACGTGTGTAACAGGTGCGGCAATGTCTCTGTTGTCGCTATCTGCGCGGCATTCCGTTTCCGTGGCAGCCGCTCCGGCCGTCCGTTGCAGCGCGGTCGCCCCTCCATGCTGCCCGTCGTCGGCGCGTGCGGCCCATCTTTCGCGCGTCGACGTGCGCACGGCCGCCGCGCCCTCCAGCTCGTCGCGGGCCGTGGCGAGGGCGCAGCGCCCCAACACGGGGAGAGCTCGCGCGCACGCGGTGTCGGTGGCGGAGGGGCAGACGGCGGAAGGCTCGGCGCGCGGTGAGGGGGAGTTTGAGGCGGTGATCGGCATCGAAACGCATGTGCAGCTGAACACGGCGACCAAGGTGCGTGGCGCGTCGGGCAAGGCGCAGCGGATCAGTGGGGCGCGCCACCGGGGTGGGGAACTGTTTAAGCCAGCAGCCGCGCAGCTCACTCCGCAGAGCTCCGCGCCTACTGCCACCGCCGCTCGCCGTCATCTCACTCCGCGCCCTCCACGCATGCGCACCACATATGCGCCTCTTCCCCCCGCCACGAGGCAAGGCAACACTCCCGCCACTCAGTTCCGCCCATTCTCCCGCCCTCCGCCCCTCGATCCGCCGCCCGCTGGCAGGCGTTCTGCAGGTGCGCGGCGCAGTACGGCGCGGCGCCCAACGAGCACGTGTGCCCCACGTGCATGGGGCAGCCCGGCGCGCTGCCCGTGCTGAATGCGCGCGTGGTGGACGCCGCTGTGCGCCTGGCGCTGGCGCTGCAGTGCCGCGTGGCGCTCACCAGCAAGTTCGACCGGAAACAATACTTCTACCCGGACCTGCCCAAGGGCTACCAGGTGCGACCTGCCCAAGGGCTACCAGGTGCGACCTGCCCAAGGGCTACCAGGTGCGACCTGCCCAAGGGCTACCAGGTGCGACCTGCCCAAGGGCTACCAGGTGCTGTTCTGCCTTCCCAAGAACCCCATGCTAGGTGCGTTGTGGGGCTAGTACGTGGCATGTAGCGGCACAGGAGGAGAGGCGCAGGGGAATGTTGCAGGAATATTATGGAGAGCGCTACGACGGCGAGAGAGATTCTGCTTATGGGAATGATGTTGCGCTAGGAATTCGGTAGCGTTTCGGTAGAGCTTGTCTCAAATGGCTAAGTGAGAAGTTGAGTAGAGATTGTAATATTACTATGAATACAAAAGCAAACACACAAGATAGATATAGGCTACGGGGAAGTTGCACAAAGTTGGCGTGGCGCTGCGGAGTAACCCAACCCCACGAAACTGTCGTGTGGATGGGTGAACCGCGCCTCGGCCAATCCCAACCTGACTCAGCAGGGAAGTCAATGCCGGGCTCGCCAATTCTCCCAACACACCTAGAAATGGCGAGACTCACAGGGAATCACCCACAACTACCAAGACCGTCCAAGAAGCACGCTAACGACTCCCTAAGCTAGCACCACCCCAGCAGTGACTTCATTAGCGCCATCATAGTCACACGACGTCATAAGGTCGGTGCAGGGCCGCGTACAGTCTTGGTCGTTCATCGACCTGCCAAGTCAACACACATCGTCGAGGGCCCTTGCTGTCGTAGGGCCCTCTAACACTCCCCTGCCATACTACAGCAAGGCCCTACACAGGGCATGCATACACACATACACACCAAAACAAAGGGAAACACACACAAACGAAGCACTCTCAAAGTGCAAACACGCACCGCACCAGCCATGGATAGGCCATGGCACCAACCACAACAAAGAGTGTCTAGGTCTCACTCCCCTCGCTCGAGAGCCTCACCTGCCCCACAGCCTCGAAGCAACGACTGAAGGCGGGGAAATGCAATGCCTTCGTGAGGTAGTCAGCTGGCTGCTCGCTCGTAGGGATGTACTGCAACTGCAGCTTCCTGCGCTTGACCATGTGCTGCAGCCACATATGACGACGCTCCATGTGCTTGAGGCTCCCCTTGAGCCCCATGCCACCTGCCACTGAAATGGCGGAGGAGTTGTCCACAAAGAGGGTTGTGGGCTCCTCACTCCTCAGCAGTTGAAATTCTGCCAGCAGGAAGCGCAGCCTGCGCGCCTCCTTCCCAGCCTCCACAGCAGCAACGTACTCAGACTCAGTGGAGGAGAGCGTGGCGCAACGAATCCTCTGGCTCGCCCAAGAGACAGCAGCACCCCCGAGCACGAAGATGTAGCCACCAGTGCTGGTCCTGTTCTGCTTGTCTCCTGCATCATCAGCATCGGCGTAGCCCACCAGCTCCAAGGACTCCGGCCCGCCACCAAACTCCAGCGCCACATCCCTGCTCCCCACCAGGTACGCCAAGCACCGGTCCAACTCCTTCCAGTGCTGGTCACTCCGCACTGTCTGGCCCGACCCCAGCTTGCTGCAGGCGAAGGAAATGTCGGGACGGGTGGTACAGGCCGCGAACTGCAAGGATCCCACCTTCTGCCTGTACTCCTCCTCCTGACGAGACTGCCATCCCACGTCCCCGAAGGTCTGCACACTGAAAGGGTCAGAGGAAAGGGGGGTGCGAGGCACTCGCAGCGGCTGCTCCCCGTCGAAGAAGCGCCTATGGACCTTGTCCACATAGGCCCCCTGGTGCAGCCACAGCCTCCTCGTAGGCCTGTCCCGAATCAGCTGCAACCCCAAGTACTTCTCCACAGGGCTAATCTCCCGCAGCTGAAACGCACTCTGCAGCAGCTCACGCAGCTCCCCCAGCATGCTCTGACTGCGGCTGGCAGCAAGCAAGTCATCCACATACACCAGCAGCCAGCACATCTCCCCCTCAGCATCACTCTTGAAGTACAGAGCCTCATCCACCTGGCTCTTCTTCCATCCAGCCCCAAGCAGCACCCCATCCAAGGCCTCATACCACAGCATCGGGCTCTGCTTGAGCCCATACAAACTCTTCAGCAACTTACAGACACGAGGGGTCCCATCCTCGTAGTAGCTCGGCTGCTCCATGTAAAGGTCACGGTCCAGCACGCCATGGAGGAACGCGTTCTTCACATCCAGCTGCATCAGCTCCAAATCGAGTGCAGCTGCAATCGCTAGAAGCACGCGCGCCGTCACATAGCTTCCCACAGGGGCGTACGTCTCCTCATAGTCCACCCCTGCCACCTGCGTGAACCCCTTCACCACCAGCCGCGCCTTCTCACGCTCTACTACCCCATCAGGTCGGAACTTGGTGTTCAGGATCCAGCGGTTCTTCATCACATTCACCCCTGGCGGACGCGGAACCAACTCCCACGTCCCCTGCTCAATCAAGCTCCGCATCTCCTCATCCATCGCCTCCTTCACCTTGTCGCCCTTCCAGCAGCCCAAGGCCTCCTTCACTGTCATCTTCGCTATATCCCACTGCCTCTCAGGGTCGGCCACCACATCAGGATCCAGGTCCGTCCACTCCTCGTCCTCCTCCTCGTCATCCAATCCCGCTGGCTCAATCACCAAAGCCCAAGCATACTTAAGAGGCGGGATACCACGAGTGATGCGAGTGGAGCGACGCAGCGGTGCAGTGATCGTCCCAGAAGCCAACACACGACCACCATCTCTGATTCCCCACATCTCCTGCTCCCCTGTCTGCTGCTCCCCTGTCTGCGGCTCCCCTGTCTGCTGCTCCTCTAGCTGCTGATCCACCATCTGCTGCTCCTCAATCTGCTCCTCCCCTATCTGCTGCTCCCCACTCTGCTGCTCCCCTAACTGCTGCTCCCCTATCTCCTGCCCCCCACTCTGCTGCACTCCATCCATACTGCTCTTGTCTTGCAGCTGCTCAGTCTCAAGGCGCTGCCCGTCGGTGATCTCCACAGACGGTGGCACCACTATCCCCCCCTCACCAACGGGCGGCGCCGTAGGAGATGAAGAGGAGGGTGGAGCAGGTGCAGGAGGGATGGAGGGTGGAAGGGGAGAGGGAATAACAGGAGGAGGAGGGGAAGCCAAGGGGGGTGAGGATGAAGAAGGTGGGGCAGGGGGAACCACACGAGGGTAAACTGAAGGCGGAGGTGGGGTGGGGACCGAGGTAGGGACATAGGGCATAGCAGGAGGTGCGACCACCTCCTCCTCCTCCACCGCCTCCTCAAGAGTGATCGGGAAGAGGGAGGGAACGGGCTCATAGGGCATCGGACGCCCCGCATGCTCCTGCTGGTGCCAAGCCTTCCATCCTGCCAGGGACATGGTCTCATAGAAAACAGCTTCCACAGTGGTGATGAGGCGGTTGGACTCCAAGTCCAGCACAGTCCAGCCCTTGCTCGCTGCGGACACCCCCAAGTGCAACCCCCAGCGAGCCTTTGGTGCCAGCTTCCCCCCACGCTGCGACTGAGGCACCATGTACTGCACCATGCAGCCCCATACCCGCACCATACTGACATCGGGTTTGTGTCGAAAGGCGAGCTCGTACGGCGTCACACCAGAGGGCAGCGAGGCGTGCTCCACGCGGTTGCGCACCCAGACGGCCTGCGCCAACGCCAGGTGCCACCAATGATGCTGTACACCCATGTGCAGTAGCATCGTCCGCACCGCCTCCACAATGCTGCGCATCTCCCTCTCGGCCATCCCGTTCTGCTCCGGCGTGTACGGGCACGTGAGGTCATGGATGATGCCTTTGCCGTCGAGGAAGAGCGTGAAGTCATGCCCCAAGAACTCGCCACCCCGATCAGTGCGCAGCGCCTGCACCGTGGTTTTGCACTGCCGCTCTGCCATCGGGAGCCACTTCTGGAACGCCGCCAGCGCATCACTCTTCTGAGCCAAGGGGTAGGCCCAGACGTACCGCGACTTGCGATCCTTCAGCACCAGGAAGTAGCGGCTGCCGTCCTTAGCTGTTTCACGGAAAGGGCCACACAGGTCAGCATGCACCACTCCAAGCAACTCATCCTCCTCCGCACCCACTGACGGGAAGGTATGACGAGTGATCTTCCCCCCAACACAGGAGACACACGGTATGCCTGACTTGCCCCCCTTCTCAAGGTCCAAGCCGTTCACTGACCCGTGAGACGCAGTGCGCTCGATGGCATCAATACCAACGTGTGCCATACGCGCATGCCACATGTCCACCTTAGACCGCACGCCCGTCGTCAAGGTACGAAGTGCCACCGTTTCGCCTTCCTGCTGCTGCGACAAACACGGTTGGAAGTTCGTGCAGAGAACACGCCCCTTGAACTCTGCACGCCCAAGAAGCGACCCATCTGGTGCCCGCAGCAGAGTCACGTCGCCTGCATCCAGCAGCTGCACGCCACTATCACGCAGCTGCCCAGCAGAAAGAAGACTCGCCTGCACTCCAGGTACGTACAGCACGTCTGGCACCAAGACACGCCTGCCCCCTTCTCCAAGAAGAGCGACTGTGCCTCGCCCCTGCACGTCCTGAAGCGCGCCGTTGAAGCCTTTCACTTGTTTGATACTACCGCCGCTGCTCATCTCCACAAAGGCAGAACGATCTCCCATGAGATGGTGGGAGCATCCGCTATCAAGTAGCACGACGCTCGGGTTCGCCTTCACAGCAGCTGCAAGAGCCTGTAAGCCCTCCCCGGCCTCAGGCTCCAGCACGACAAGAGGAGTCTGCTCTACAACGGGCTTCACCATCGCACATGATGACTGCCCGCTCCCCTTAGAGCCATCGCCCCCCTTGCCACTCGTGCCGCTACCTCCAGAACCCTCTCCACCCGTGTCTGCCTCCTTATCTGCCCGCTGCTGACAGTACTTAGCAACATGCCCTGTCTGTCCACACACGTAGCACTTCCCCTTGAAGCCACCTTTCCCCCCCTTTGGCTGACCATCCTTAGCCCCTTTCCACTTCTCTCCTCCACCTCCAACCCCACCCCCAGTCTTAGGCTGCTGCTGCTGTGCCGTAGTGGGAGGGGAAGGGGATGAAGTCTGCTGGGATTGGGGCTTACCCTTCTTGGTAAAGACCTGGTTGGCCTGGGGAAGAAATTGGTCCTTCCGTCCCTCCGCTGCCAGCGTACACTCCTCCTCGATAATGTAGCTAGCGAGGGTGTCCTCGTCCAACTCCTTGCGTACCTGCGGCAGCTTCAGCATCCTGCGTAAGAGGTTGTACTGCTGCGGCAACCCCTTCACGACGTGAGTAATGTACGACGCCTGCGAGTAATCGACGCCGGCCATCCTCAGGTTCACTAGGATCTGCTGCGCACGGTTGCAATAGGACGTAGCGGACTCGTGCTCACCCATCTCGAGGTTAGTGAGCGCCTGCTCTAACTGACCGATGTACAGATCGTCCTTCGCCATGTACGTGCGCATAATAAACTGCCATGCCTGATAGCCGGCATCTACCTTCATGCGACACCCCTTAAGGGCAATCTGTACGGTTGGGGAGCAGCATCGGGAAATCGTGGTGAACGTCAGTAACTGCATTGCGCGGAACTGAGTGAGATGCGCAACTGCCTGCGTTGGTGGAATAGGAGTGGTACCGTCAATGAATCGCTTTAGCTGAGCGATCTCAAGCTGCGGCTCGATCGATTCTACCCACGTCGATAGGTCGTGGCGTCCTTCGAGCGGCTTAGGCACGACGATTCTGTCTGGAGTGAATTTGAAGTAGCCATAGTTGGGGGCTATTCCCTCATCCCTCGACATCGATCCAATCGGGGTAATGCCCGGCATAGCTCCACTATCGTACTCCTCCGCATTCCCTCCTCCAGCAGCGCTCTGTCGTCCTAAGTTCGTACGCTCGTGTGACGCCGCCGCACGATGAACACGCTCCTGTACACCGCCGACGCTAGTCGTACTAAACCGAGTTGGTCCTCGCAGGACCCCACGCGACATCAACCCATCAACCTCCTCGTCATCGTCACCTCCGTCATTGACAGCCATGTCCCACGCACTAGTGCCTCCCGCAGCTTGCTCTACATGTGGCGAGGGATGATCGCGACGCTGACGAGAGCGTAATCCCTCCAACATGAGCTCGTAATCTACATTACTAAGCTCGCCACGGGAACGACGTGCCACGAGCTCCTCCTCTAGTGCGCGAAAATTAACGGCCTCAACGTCCGCCTCCTCCGAACTCATCCTCTACGACGCCTCGATAAGGTGCCACAAATTAAAATAAATTGTTCCTTCCTTAAATCCCTCGTCTCGGGGTCACCTCACAAGGGTCCTCAGACGAGTGGTAATAAATTACCAAACGCCCTATCCTTGGGTCCGAGAACGTAACTGGAGGGAAATTAAGAGAGGTTCAACTTAATTTAATATGCGCCCTTCACTAACGCCGCACGCCAAGGCGAGTTTACGAACGCTAAGAAAATCGACGACGGAATTCTAGGCGTGTTCGTTCCACGCTCACCGCACCATGCAGGAATATTATGGAGAGCGCTACGACGGCGAGAGAGATTCTGCTTATGGGAATGATGTTGCGCTAGGAATTCGGTAGCGTTTCGGTAGAGCTTGTCTCAAATGGCTAAGTGAGAAGTTGAGTAGAGATTGTAATATTACTATGAATACAAAAGCAAACACACAAGATAGATATAGGCTACGGGGAAGTTGCACAAAGTTGGCGTGGCGCTGCGGAGTAACCCAACCCCACGAAACTGTCGTGTGGATGGGTGAACCGCGCCTCGGCCAATCCCAACCTGACTCAGCAGGGAAGTCAATGCCGGGCTCGCCAATTCTCCCAACACACCTAGAAATGGCGAGACTCACAGGGAATCACCCACAACTACCAAGACCGTCCAAGAAGCACGCTCACGACTCCCTAAGCTAGCACCACCCCAGCAGTGACTTCATTAGCGCCATCATAGTCACACGACGTCATAAGGTCGGTGCAGGGCCGCGTACAGTCTTGGTCGTTCATCGACCTGCCAAGTCAACACACATCGTCGAGGGCCCTTGCTGTCGTAGGGCCCTCTAACAAATGTGGGGCAGGCAGGGTTGAGCAGAGAGCACAGTGCTGCTGAGAGTGCAGGCGGGCACGTCGAGACATTTCCTCCCCATTCCCATGCCAATCATCCTCCCCATTCCCATGCCAATCATCCTCCCCCATTCCCATGCCAATCATCCTCCCCATTCCCATGCCAATCATCCTCCCCCATTCCCATGCCAATCATCCTCCCCATTCCCATGCCAATCATCCTCCCCATTCCCATGCCAATCATCCTCCCCATTCCCATGCCAATCGTCCTCCCCATTCCCATGCCAATCATCCTCCCCATTCCCATGCCAATCGTCCTCCCCATTCCCATGCCAATCATCCTCCCCATTCCCATGCCAATCATCCTCCCCATTCCCATGCCAATCATCCTCCCCATTCCCATGCCAATCATCCTCCCCATTCCCATGCCAATCGTCCTCCCCATTCCCATGCCAATCATCCTCCCCATTCCCATGCCAATCATCCTCCCCATTCCCATGCCAATCATCCTCCCCATTCCCATGCCAATCATCCTCCCCCATTCCCATGCCAATCATCCTCCCCATTCCCATGCCAATCATCCTCCCCATTCCCATGCCAATCATCCTCCCCATTCCCATGCCAATCATCCTCCCCATTCCCATGCCAATCATCCTCCCCATTCCCATGCCAATCGTCCTCCCCATTCCCATGCCAATCATCCTCCCCATTCCCATGCCAATCATCCTCCCCATTCCCATGCCAATCATCCTCCCCATTCCCATGCCAATCATCCTCCCCATTCCCATGCCAATCATCCTCCCCATTCCCATGCCAATCATCCTCCCCCATTCCCATGCCAATCATCCTCCCCCATTCCCATGCCAATCATCCTCCCCATTCCCATGCCAATCATCCTCCCCCATTCCCATGCCAATCATCCTCCCCATTCCCATGCCAATCATCCTCCCCCATTCCCATGCCAATCATCCTCCCCATTCCCATGCCAATCATCCTCCCCATTCCCATGCCAATCATCCTCCCCATTCCCATGCCAATCATCCTCCCCATTCCCATGCCAATCATCCTCCCCCATTCCCATGCCAATCATCCTCCCCATTCCCATGCCAATCATCCTCCCCCATTCCCATGCCAATCATCCTCCCCATTCCCATGCCAATCATCCTCCCCCATTCCCATGCCAATCATCCTCCCCCATTCCCATGCCAATCATCCTCCCCATTCCCATGCCAATCATCCTCCCCATTCCCATGCCAATCATCCTCCCCATTCCCATGCCAATCATCCTCCCCATTCCCATGCCAATCATCCTCCCCATTCCCATGCCAATCATCCTCCCCCATTCCCATGCCAATCATCCTCCCCCATTCCCATGCCAATCATCCTCCCCCATTCCCATGCCAATCATCCTCCCCCATTCCCATGCCAATCATCCTCCCCATTCCCATGCCAATCATCCTCCCCATTCCCATGCCAATCATCCTCCCCCATTCCCATGCCAATCATCCTCCCCCATTCCCATGCCAATCATCCTCCCCATTCCCATGCCAATCATCCTCCCCATTCCCATGCCAATCATCCTCCCCATTCCCATGCCAATCATCCTCCCCCCTTGCAGATATCCCAGTTTGACGAGCCCCTGGCCGCGCACGGCCACGTGGACGTTGACATGCCTCTTGAGGCGGGCGGCGGGCGGCGACGCTTTGGAGTCACGCGCGCCCACCTGGAGGAAGATGCGGGGAAGTCGCTGCATGGGGGGGATGGCAGCCAGGTGAGGCGCTGCTTGGGGGGGATGGCAGCCAGGTGAGGCGCTGTGTGGTGATGGTGATGGTGATGGTGATGGTGACACGTGGGATGGGATGGTGGTGAGGTGAGGTGTACCAGGCATGGCAGCACATCCCATACTTTCTGTCGCTGCTAGTGTGGCTTGCTCAGTTTTACATGTACCTTTGCCCGTTCCATCTCTGCCCGTTCCATCTCTGCCCGTTCCATCTCTGCCCGTTCCATCTCTGCCCGTTCCATCTCTGCCCGTTCCATCTCTGCCCGTTCCATCTCTGCCCGTTCCATCTCTGCCCGTTCCATCTCTGCCCGTTCCATCTCTGCCCGTTCCATCTCTGCCCGTTCCATCTCTGCCCGTTCCATCTCTGCCCGTTCCATCTCTGCCCGTTCCATCTCTGCCCGTTCCATCTCTGCCCGTTCCATCTCTGCCCGTTCCATCTCTCCCCGTGCCATCTGTCAGGTGGATCTGAACCGGGCGGGGGTGGCGCTGGTGGAGGTGGTATCTGAGCCCGACATGCGCTCCGGGGCAGAGGCAGCTGAGTACGCCGCCGAGCTGCAGAGACTGGTACCGTCGCGTGTGCTGCGTTCTGTGTGCTGCGTTCTGTGTGCTGTGTGCTGTGTGCTGTGCCTTGTGCCCTGTGCCCTGTGCCCAAACAATTGTCCATTGTTTCCGGTCAGTTTGTTTTTCTCAGTCTGTATTGTAAAGCAACCACCCACGCTCCATACACCCGTGCACTGATGCAACCACATACCGCTCAACCCGTGCGACACTGCCTTGTGTGCGTGCGCTCCCCTGCACTGTGGGCCTCCCTGCCGGTGTGTGTGTGGTGCGGTGCGGTGGCACGTCATCAGGTGCGGTACGTGGGGGTGGGCAACGGCAACATGGCGGAGGGCTCCATGCGCTGTGATGTCAACGTGTCTGTGCGGCCCCGTGGCCAAACCACCCTCGGCACCAAGGTGAGTCAGAAGTCCTGCCGCACCAAAAAGAGAGGTTCGGCACAAGGGCGAGAGGTTCGGCTCGGCCGCAAGGACAGAGGCTCGGCAACAATGTGAGAACAATACAGGCTAGAGGGTGATGGGCTGGGGAGCATTTTTGAGATGTCTCAAAAGCACTCTTCTTTCACGTGGCATGGAGGTCCGTGAAGTCGAGTGCAGCCACGAGAACTTGGAATGCTCCTTTGCTCCCAATGCAATTCATTGCTTCATGACATGATGTCTTCCTTGCTCGCTCACCACATGCTCCCCACATGCTCACCACATGCTCACCACATGCTCACCACATGTTCACCACATGCTCACCACATGCTCACCACATGCTCACCACATGCTCACCACATGCTCACCACATGCTCACCACATGCTCACCACATGCTCACGTGTTTGAAGAAGTGTTTTGAGACGTCTCAAAACACGTCTCAAAACACTTCTTCAAACACGTATGCTCACCACATGTTCACCACATGCTCACCACATGCTCACCACATGCTCACCACATGCTCACCACATGCATTCATACAGCTTACTTAGCCCGTTGCCCGTTTTTCTCGATGCCCGTTTTTCTCGATGCCAGTTAGAGATGAGTAGCCTAGCCTGAATTCGTTCCATGTCCGTGTTGCCCTGGTGCCGGTGGCACTGATCAAGAACATGAGCTCGTTGCGTGTCTGTCCGTGTTGCCCCGGTGGCATGGCAGGTGGAGATCAAGAACATGAACTCATTTCGGGAGATGCAACGCGCCATTGACTTTGAGATCACGCGGCAGTCACAGCTGCTGAGGGAGGGCAAGGCGGAGCACATCGTGCAAGAGACGAGGCTGTGGGATGAGGGCAGGCAGGTGAGACGAGGCTGTGGGATGAGGGCAGGCAGGTGAGACGAGGCTGTGGGATGAGGGAGGGCAAGGAGGCGGCAACGAGCTGATGGAAGCAATCACCATTTCAACCCCTTGCTCCTTCGTTTCTCTCCCTCCTTTCTCCCCTCCTTTCTCCCCTCCTTTCTCCCCTCCTTTCTCTCCTCCTTTCTCCCCTCCTTTCTCCCCTCCTTTCTCTCTTCTCTCTTCCTTTCTCCCCTCCTTTCTCCCCTCCTTTCTCCCCTCCTTTCTCTCCTCCTTTCTCTCCTCCTTTCTCCCCTCCTTTCTCCCCTCCTTTCTCTCTTCCTTTCTCCCCTCCTTTCTCCCCTCCTTTCTCCCCTCCTTTCTCCCCTCCTTTCTCCCCTCCTTTCTCCTCCCTCCTTTCTCCCTCCTTTCTCCCCTCCTTTCTCCCCTCCTTTCTCCCCTCCTTTCTCCCCTCCTTTCTCCCCTCCTTTCTCCCCCTCCTTTCTCCCCTCCTTTCTCCCCTCCTTTCTCTCCTCCTTTCTCCCCTCCTTTCTCCCCTCCTTTCTCCCCTCCTTTCTCCCCTCCTTTCTCCCCTCCTTTCTCCCCTCCTTTCTCCCCTCCTTTCTCCCCTCCTTTCTCCCCTCCTTTCTCCCTCCTTTCTCCCCTCCTTTCTCCCCTCCTTTCTCCCCTCCTTTCTCCCCTCCTTTCTCCCCTCCTTTCTCCCCTCCTTTCTCCCCTCCTTTCTCCCCTCCTTTCTCCCCTCCTTTCTCCCCTCCTTTCTCCCCTCCTTTCTCCCCTCCTTTCTCCCCTCCTTTCTCCCCTCCTTTCTCCCCTCCTTTCTCCCCTCCTTTCTCCCCTCCTTTCTCCCCTCCTTTCTCCCCTCCTTTCTCCCCTCCTTTCTCCCCTCCTTTCTCCCCTCCTTTCTCCCCTCCTTTCTCCCCTCCTTTCTCCCCTCCTTTCTCCCCTCCTTTCTCCCCTCCTTTCTCCCCTCCTTTCTCCCCTCCTTTCTCCCCTCCTTTCTCCCTCCTTTCTCCCCTCCTTTCTCCCCTCCTTTCTCCCCTCCTTTCTCCCCTCCTTTCTCCCCTCGTTTCTCTCCTCCTTTCTCTCCTACGACTACTTGAATCTGTTGGACATGGTTAGAGAGCTTTCTTGTCGATGTTCCGTTTTTAGGTTTACACTGTAAGAAAATTGGACTTTCTTATACATTGAACACGTTTGAACACTCCTTTACATGATGTTATACCGAGAGAAGATAATCCTCAAGCTACTTATACTGTAACTCTAGCAAGAGTTGTTTTATTGATAAACAATTCTTCTTCACCACTAGCCAGAGAGGGGCTTATGAGAAGCCTGGCAGGCTTGTGACGAGCGCACCTGCCTCACAAGGCTCGCGACAAGCCAGCTACGAGCTTCCTCATGCCGACACCTTCCATTCCTGACTCCTCATTTTTGTGCCGCATGAACATGAACCGCCACTTCCCATACCGTCAAAACCTGAGTTTATAGATCTTTTCAATCTAATCTCCCTTCTCCTCCCCCCCCTCCTACCCTCCCCCCCTCCTACCCTCCCCCCCTTCCCCCCTCCCATAACCCTGGCAGGAAACAGCAGCGATGCGGTCCAAGGAGGGGCTGGCGGACTACCGGTACTGACCTTCCCGCACTGCACCTGGAAGAGTTGACTTTTGAGTCAACTCAAAAGTCAACCCCCCCACCCTCCCTCCCCCCCTCCCTGGCAGGAAACAGCAGCGATGCGGTCCAAGGAGGGCCTGGCGGACTATCGGTACTTCCCCGACCCCGACCTGCCCGCGCTGCACCTGGAGGAGTCCTTCCTGCGCCACCTGCAGGCGGGCCTGCCTGAACTGCCGGAGCAGCGGCGGCGGCGCTACGAGGCGCTGGGGCTGCCCATGCAGGACGTGCTCGTGCTCGTGGACGACAGGGAGGTGCGTGTAGGGAGATGATTATAGACGATAGGGAGGTGCGTGTATGGAGATGATTATAGACGATAGGGAGGTGCGTGTAGGGAGATGATTATAGACGATAGGGAGGTGCCTGTAGGGAGATGATTATAGACGATAGGGAGGTGCGTGTAGGGAGATGATTATAGACGATAGGGAGGTGCGTGTAGGGAGATGATTATAGACGATAGGGAGGTGCGTGTAGGGAGATGATTATAGACGATAGGGAGGTGCGTGTAGGGAGATGATTATAGACGATAGGGAGGTGCGTGTAGAGAGATGATTATAGACGATAGGGAGGTGCGTGTAGGGAGATGATTATAGACGATAGGGAGGTGCGTGTAGGGAGATGATTATAGACGATAGGGAGGTGCGTGTAGAGAGATGATTATAGACGATAGGGAGGTGCGTGTAGGGAGATGATTATAGACGATAGGGAGGTGCGTGTAGGGAGATGATTATAGACGATAGGGAGGTGCGTGTAGGGAGATGATTATAGACGATAGGGAGGTGCGTGTAGGGAGATGATTATAGACGATAGGGAGGTGCGTGTAGAGAGATGATTATAGACGATAGGGAGGTGCGTGTAGAGAGATGATTATAGACGATAGGGAGGTGCGTGTAGAGAGATGATTATAGACGATAGGGAGGTGCGTGTAGGGAGATGATTATAGACGATAGGGAGGTGCGTGTAGAGAGATGATTATAGACGATAGGGAGGTGCGTGTAGGGAGATGATTATAGACGATAGGGAGGTGCGTGTAGGGAGATGATTATAGACGATAGGGAGGTGCGTGTAGGGAGATGATTATAGACGATAGGGAGGTGCGTGTAGGGAGATGATTATAGACGATAGGGAGGTACGTGTAGGGAGATGATTATAGACGATAGGGAGGTGCGTGTAGGGAGATGATTATAGACGATAGGGAGGTGCGTGTAGGGAGATGATTATAGACGATAGGGAGGTGCGTGTAGGGAGATGATTATAGACGATAGGGAGGTGCGTGTAGGGAGATGATTATAGACGATAGGGAGGTGCGTGTAGGGAGATGATTATAGACGATAGGGAGGTGCGTGTAGGGAGATGATTATAGACGATAGGGAGGTGCGTGTAGAGAGATGATTATAGACGATAGGGAGGTGCGTGTAGGGAGATGATTATAGACGATAGGGAGGTGCGTGTAGGGAGATGATTATAGACGATAGGGAGGTGCGTGTAGGGAGATGATTATAGACGATTGGCAGGTGCGTGTAGGGAGATGATTATAGACGATTGGCAGGTGCGTGTAGAGAGATGATTATAGACGATAGGGAGGTGCGTGTAGAGAGATGATTATAGACGATAGGGAGGTGCGTGTAGAGAGATGATTATAGACGATTGGCAGGTGCGTGTAGGGAGATGATTATAGACGATAGGGAGGTGCGTGTAGAGAGATGATTATAGACGATAGGGAGGTGCGTGTAGAGAGATGATTATAGACGATAGGGAGGTGCGTGTAGAGAGATGATTATAGACGATAGGGAGGTGCGTGTAGGGAGATGATTATAGACGATAGGGAGGTGCGTGTAGGGAGATGATTATAGACGATAGGGAGGTGCGTGTAGGGAGATGATTATAGACGATAGGGAGGTGCGTGTAGAGAGATGATTATAGACGATAGGGAGGTGCGTGTAGAGAGATGATTATAGACGATAGGGAGGTGCGTGTAGAGAGATGATTATAGACGATAGGGAGGTGCGTGTAGGGAGATGATTATAGACGATAGGGAGGTGCGTGTAGAGAGATGATTATAGACGATAGGGAGGTGCGTGTAGGGAGATGATTATAGACGATAGGGAGGTGCGTGTAGGGAGATGATTATAGACGATAGGGAGGTGCGTGTAGAGAGATGATTATAGACGATAGGGAGGTGCGTGTAGAGAGATGATTATAGACGATAGGGAGGTGCGTGTAGAGAGATGATTATAGACGATAGGGAGGTGCGTGTAGAGAGATGATTATAGACGATAGGGAGGTGCGTGTAGAGAGATGATTATAGACGATAGGGAGGTGCGTGTAGAGAGATGATTATAGACGATAGGGAGGTGCGTGTAGGGAGATGATTATAGACGATAGGGAGGTGCGTGTAGGGAGATGATTATAGACGATAGGGAGGTGCGTGTAGAGAGATGATTATAGACGATAGGGAGGTGCGTGTAGGGAGATGATTATAGACGATAGGGAGGTGCGTGTAGGGAGATGATTATAGACGATAGGGAGGTGCGTGTAGGGAGATGATTATAGACGATAGGGAGGTGCGTGTAGGGAGATGATTATAGACGATTGGCAGGTGTGTCCAAGGGCCGAGGGACGACAGACAGGTGCTCGTGGACGACAAACAGGCTGTGTTGAGGAGGCTGTGTTGAGGAGGCGGTGATTACAAAGTGATGTTGGGTGATCGTAAGGAGTGTATCAAACTAACATGTAGGAAGCAAAGTTGCTGCCAAGGCATGTTTGCATGCATGTGGGAGCACATGGGCCTCTGTCACTCTTCCCTGCTCCCATGTGTGTGTGCACGCTTCCCTGCTCCCATGTGTGTGTGCACGCTTCCCTGCTCCCATGTGTGTGTGCACGCTTCCCTGCTCCCATGTGTGTGGGCACGCTTCCCTGCTCCCATGTGTGTGTGCACGCTTCCCTGCTCCCATGTGTGTGTGCACGCTTCCCTGCTCCCATGTGTGTGTGCACGCTTCCCTGCTCCCATGTGTGTGTGCACGCTTCCCTGCTCCCATGTGTGTGTGCACGCTTCCCTGCTCCCACAAGTGCACCATCCTTGCAGCTCCTTCACATCTCGCCTGTGCAGCGCCTCTCACCTCTCCACGTTTCACTTCTGCATCATCTGCAAAGCCCTTCCTCTCACCCCACCAACCGCGGCAGTTCTCGGACTACTGTGGCGGCATGCTGCGTGAAATAAGGCCTCTGCAGCCCACCTGTCTGTTACTGACAGCCCCTTCCTCTCCCCCCCCCCATCGCGGCAGTTCTCTGACTACTTTGACAGCGTGCTGGCAGCGGGGGTGGACCTTTGAGTCGACTCAAGAGACACACCACAGCCCTTCCTCTCCCCCACCCCAACTGCGGCAGTTCTCTGACTACTTTGATAGCGTGCTGGCAGCGGGGGTGGACCCCAAGGCGGTTTTTGAGGCGGCTATAAAATACGACCCCCCACTCCCCCCCCCCCCCCCCCCCCCACTCCCCCCCCCCTCCGCGGCAGTTCTCAGACTACTTCGACAGCGTGCTGGCAGCGGGCGCGGACCCCAAGGCGGCCGCCAACTGGCTGATAGGCGACGTCACTGCGCTGCTCAAGGCGCACCGCTGCTCCCTGCCGGCCATGGCCGCCCGCATGCCGCCCGCCAGCCTGGCGGAGCTCATCGCGCTCATTCAGGATGGCACCATCAGCGGCAAGATCGGAAAGGAGGTGTGTGGCACACGTGCAATGGTTGGCAAGGAAGTGCGTGGCACACGTGCAATGGTTGGCAAGGAAGCGCGTGGCACACGTGCAATGGTTGGCAAGGAAGTGCGTGGCACACGTGCAATGGTTGGCAAGGAAGTGCGTGGCACACGTGCAATGGTTGGCAAGGAAGTGCGTGGCACACGTGCAATGGTTGGCAAGGAAGTGCGTGGCACACGTGCAATGGTTGGCAAGGAAGTGCGTGGCACACGTGCAATGGTTGGCAAGGAAGCGCGTGTGCCACGTGCAATGGTTGGCAAGGAAGCGCGTGGCACACGTGCAATGGTTGGCAAGGAAGTGTGTGGCACACGTGCAATGGTTGGCAAGGAAGTGCGTGGCACACGTGCAATGGTTGGCAAGGAAGTGCGTGGCACACGTGCAATGGTTGGCAAGGAAGTGCGTGGCACACGTGCAATGGTTGTAGTGATGGTGTGCCCACGTGATGGTGTGCCCACGTGGTCGCATCGTAGAATGAAAGCGATGGAGTAGGGTAGAGCATACGATACTAGTTGCAATGGCCTTATGTGGTTTGTGGGCCACCACTAGGTTGTTTCAGGTTAAGCATCGTTCATTTTCATATCACCAATTGTTTCACCCCAACCAACCTGCTCTTCACTCTGCATCTCCACACACTTTTAATCCAGCTTGTTATCTCGCCTTGTTCCATGGCTCCTAGCCGAGCGCTTATTTCAGCAAGCAATCACCATTTTGTGACATCTTAGCCTAATTAGGTAAATCCACAAATCCACAACAATGGGCATGATAACTTAAACTCAGCTTGTATCTCTGTGCAGTCTCTCTTGTTGCTGGCCTCTTGCATCCACAATGCACTCCTTACAGCTCACTTCCCTTCCACTTACTCATGCTGCCACTCTCTCCTCCTCCCCCTTCCCTTCTCCTATCTCTCCCCCAATCCCCCCCCCCACTTCCCCCCCCACTTTCCCCCCCCCACTTCTCCCCATGTGCGTGTCTCTGGCGCGCCTAGCAGCTGCTGCCGGTTCTCTTCTCGGAGGGCGGCAGTGCACGCAAGCTGGTGGAGGCCAAGGGGCTGCTGCAGGTGAGCGGATGAGAGGCGCCGCGGTGAGGTGTGATTTTAATAGGCTTGAAAAAATCAGTTGTGTGTATACGCGGACAGAGTGTGCCACACAGCAGTGTATTATTCCGCATTGCGACAACGAATCCACCTTGTTTCGTCGTCGCTTAATCACCTTAGGCTGATTCAAAATAAGTGTCTGAAGTTTCGGAAAAAAAAAAAACAAAACAAAACAAAAAAACAACAACAACAACAACAACAACAACAAAACAAAAAACACCGAATTTGACAGCACTGTTGGACATTTCCTTTCGTCTCACTGTACTCTCTGCACTCGCATGGCTGCGAGTATGTTTGCAACCATATGGCAAACCCTGTCTGCCCTACTTGCTGCCTGCTGAAGTGGGAGACTGTGTTGAAACACTTGGTGCATTGCCAAGCCATGAACACTGGAGATCCATGTCAGGCTCGTGACACCTGTGTGTTATGAGCAGAGATGCCCCACGCCCTTTGAAGGCTCTTTGCCGCCTGCTACCTGAGAGGAGTCAACCCTCTCTCTCTCTCTCTCTCCATAACTTGCCCGTCCCCCATGTGCCCTCCACGGCGCATGCTGCGGTGGGATGGCATGGCACGGCATGGCACGGCATGGCACGGCATGGCATGGCATGGCATGGCATGGCGTGGCATGGCGTGGCATGGCATGGCATGGCATGGCATGGCATCAGATCTCAGACGAGGCGGCCATAGAGCGGTTGGTGGAGGAGGTGCTAGCGGGCAACCCCAAGCAGGTGGAGCAGTTCCGCGCCGGCAAGACCAAACTGCAGGGCTTCTTCGTCGGGCAGGTGGGCTTCTTCACCGGGCAGGTGGGTTTCTTCACTGGGCAGGTGGGCTTCTTCACCGGGCAGGTTGGTGGGATGGTGAGTGAGAGAGCAGGTGGGTTGAGTGAGGGAGCAGGTGGGTTGCATGAACAGCTGAGCGACTAAGGGGCGCCGAGTTGTGAGGGAATTGAGGTGTGAGGGAATTGGGGTGTGAGGGAATTGAGGTGTGAGGAGTTTCTCCTTGGAGGCTGCTTGTGCTCGTCGCAGCATGTAATCATGTTAATTATTGCAGCTATAAATCGTCGCATTCTGTCATAGTGTGTGTCTCTTTCTGTCCCTCTATCCATGCCCATTTCCCATGCTCCCTCCATGCCCATTTCCCATGCTCCCTGGCAGGTAATGAAGGCATCGGGGGGTCGAGTGAACCCGGCGCTCATGAACAAGATTTTAATGAAGAAGCTTCACGCATCATCGTGACACATGGGATGGACCAAGGCAATAGCAAAACGTTACGCATCATCGTGACACATGGGATGGACCAAGGCAGTAGCAGAATGTGTCCCCCTTAGGGCGTGTAAAATTGTAATGACCAAAGGAAATGGTCGACCATTTGCGGGTTTCTAGCGATTGCGAAGAATTTAAGATAACGCCCACCGATGAGCATAGATACTGTAGCAGTTACCCTGACTTGACTGAATATCAATGGTGCTTATATGAGTTGTAAGAAGAGTGCGCAGAATGCAATATCTCGGACAATTGACTGAATAATAAGACCTAGCACAGATATAGCGATGGCTAGCTAGGCCGAGGTCACGGGACCATGCAAGATTGGGTGCAGGTTTGGGGTTGGAAAACCCGAAGCGAAGGTGATGCGAGGGACGTTCGGAGGCGAGGTCGGCGGACCGAGCCTGAAAACTCTGAAAGTTGGAGTTGTACACCAGGGCCCTAGATATCAGACTTTGGAGTCTGATTCAGAGTCCGTTCAGACTTTTTTTTTGTACCTAGTCTGAACTCAAAGAATTTTTCTAGGCACCCTGTCTGAATTTTCAGAGTTTTTTTAACTGACTTGTCTGAAATTTCAGACTACTTTTAGTAGTGTAGCCTGAGCCTCAGACTTGGTGCACTCTGCGAGCTTATCGGAGCAAGTGAAGAAATCCATCGTCACGTGTTGCCACAGACGTTCGAGTGACTCGAGGGACTGCAGCAATCCAGCTGGGCGTTGTCGCGATGACTTCATGGCTTGGCAGGTCGGGCAAGTTGACACGTAGCGCTGCACGTCTGATGCCATGTCGGGCCAATAGTAATACCGTTGCAGCAGCTTCTGTGTTTTGTCGACGCCCATAAGTCAGGAGAGGTTGGAGTGATGTACCTCCTGCGTCAGCAACTCCTTTAAGGGTTGGTAGGACGGTACCAAAACTCGGTTCGTACCGGCACCCGTGTGGCGTGGTGACCCGATGGTGTTGATTCGTCATGAAGAAATGGTCGGTTATGTATTCGTGGGCATATAGTCCCGATAAAAGCGGGCTGGAATGGGCGACAAGTAGTGCTGCGGTATGCATCGATGGGCGGGTTAGGGCGTCACCGGTGTTGTTGGCGCCTTCTTGTACGTGATGGTGTAGCGGAAGTTTGACTCGAGGTAGCCGAGCCACCGAATTTGTCGCGGGTTTAGCTATGGTTCGCTGCGCATGTATTGTAATGACTTGTGGTCTGTCCTGATCGTGACGTCGACTCTCGTGAGATAACAGTGCCAAGTACAAAATGCATGCACGATGCGAGCATTTCTTTGTCGTGTACAGGGTAATTACGCTCGGGCGGCTGCATTTTCCGTGACTTTTACGCGATTGGTTGCAGCCCGTTGCCGAAATCCTGTAGAAGGACGGCGCCGATGGCGAAATTGTTGGCGTCCGACACGACTTCGAACGGTCGAGATGGATCTGCCAGCCGAAGAACGGGGGGTGAACTCAAATTTCTTTTGAGCTCGTCGAACGCCAACTGCTCTCTCCCCCCCACAGAAACAGCGCGCCTTTATGCAGAAGATCGGCTAACGGCTTGGTCACCCATGCCATATTCAGTACAAAACGGCAGACGTAGTTAACAAAGCTGAGGAAACTCTGCAACTCCGTGATGCTCGTAGCTGGCTTCCACTGTGAAATTACAGTCACTTTGCGAGGGTCAATTTTTATACCCTCCCCTGAAACCACGTGCCCCAGGAACTCCAGCTCCGGCTGTAAGAACTCGCACTTAGAGCCATTCGTAATCATCCGGTTCTGCTGCAAACGTCGGAACACCTCCTCTAAGTCACGTTAATGCTCCTCCCGGTAAACGATGACTTTCTTGTCGATCTTGTCGAGCATGTCCCGAAACACCCCGTTCAAGGTGAGCTGGAACGTTGTCAACCCGGACGGCATCACTACATACTCTTAGCTGCCGTAGCGGGTGCGAAAAGCTGTCTTCGGGCAGTCGTCGGCGAAAACACGAATTTGATGGTAGCCACATCGCAAGTCGATTTTCGAGAGGAAACGAGCCCCGCAAAGCTGGTCCCGTAGGTTGTCCTTTTGCGGAATCGGGTAATGCGACTTGACTGCGATCCGATTCAGCGCTCGATAGTCGATACACATGCGCAGACCTCCGCCCTTCTTTGGCATGAACAGTATCGTGACCACGAATGTTGACATGCTCGGCCGGATGAATCCCTTCGAGAGCAAATAATTTAGCTGTTTCCGCAACCGGGGCTCCGGTTGGTTGAGTCAAACAGTTGGTTGCGCGCCGGGCTCCAGCTCGATCCTGTTGTCTTTCGGTCGCTGAGGTTGCAGCCCATCAGGCAGTTTGTTCGCGAAAATGTCGTGGTACCTCTGAATTACGCTCGCCATGTCGTCAGGTACAGCAGCGCAGAGCGTGTCAATGTCGGCGATTTTCTCGGACGCAGCCACCTCGTACAGCTGTACGGCGTAGCCTTGCGCTCCCCTTTTTATTGCCCTTTTCAGCGTGATCGTGTTGACACGTGTGATCATCGGTTCTGGCTCTGTCCATTTCGGAAGTGTCACGCGCCTCTTGTTGCTCGGCACCGTGCATGCTCCCGTCGTCCACTCGATTGTCAGATTGAATCGCTGTAGCCAATCTCACTCCAGGAACACATCGCAACCGTCCACTGTTGTCGCCAGCATCTTCATTGAAAACCCAAAATCGTCGCCACACTTTATTCGAATTTGTCGCACTTCGTCCCGTATTGCCAGCGGTGTCCCATCCACCAGCCTTGCATCGATCTCCGGCAGACACCTGTCCAGCTTGACTCCAATTTTTTTGGCCGTTGCCAGGTTGACGAGACTGTGGACCTCCCCACGACCAGCACAGGGTGATCCATGTGTTCATCCACTTTATTTGTCCGATTGCGGTCGATAGCCCGTATCGGTACCACTACTCGGTATGGATGATGAATGTCGGGCGATTTGGTCTCGTCAGTAGGTGGCCCGACTGCTACTGACTCGTCTCTTTTCCCGACCCCTCTCCGTCGTTCATGTTCCCCTGTTTCATCTTCGGGCAGTCTTTCCTCCAGTGGCCTGGCTGGTTGCAGGTAAAAAACATGTTTGGACCACGTCTTGGCGCATCCACACCGTTAATTGTGGGCGGTTGAGGCGATCCACGAAAACGAGTGCTGTCCCGAGAACTCATTCTTGCCCACTGCATCAGTGCATCTGTTGATTCGGCCATATGGACGGCATCGTCGAAGCTGCATGGCCTTGTACGTCACACCTCAAACTATATCTCATACTTGAGGCCTGCGACGTACTTGTCGAGTCGCTTTGCATTGCCCATATCGTCCATTTGGTCGGCCAACGCGCAGAATGTCGCAGTGTAGTCTTTGACGGTTACCAACTACTTCCAGGTCTGCAGCTTCATGCGTGCAAAATCCGAGGCGGATACGTGCTCGAATATGGTTCGCAAGGCGGCGCCACACTCCCTCCATATGCGTATCGTGGCCATTACAAAGATCGATGTTGCGTGTTGCATCACAGTTGTCCAGGTCCCGTCGTTCGCACGTGATGTCCCTGCCGGAGTCTCCTCTGACTGTAGTGTGTGGCGCCACCAATCTAACGCCGGTCCTCGTAACAACGACACTGCAAAAATTAATGCGGGTGGCATCATCAACAATTTGCACAGCATTGAAGAAAGCCTCCATGCCGAACAACCATGCAAACATAGTGACGCCTTTGTCGCTGGAGTTGAACGGGGGCGGGTTTGTCGGCTTTATCTTGACAGCTGTGGAAGCTGATGCTGTCGCATGCATCGCCGGAACCGTCAAAGCCATCGCCCGGATTGTCGCTGGTGCCCGCCTCGGCATTGTTCGCGACTGTTGTCTCGGCATAGCTTGTGACTGTTGCTGTTGCTGTGGCGCCTCCTGTGCCTGTTGCTGCCGTGCCATCCACTTATCTTCAGCGTCCAAGGAGCCCTGTGGCTCGCTAAGTACGTCCCCGTTGAACGATCAACTGCTGCTTGCTTCGTCCACGATGGCGGCTCCTGGCACGCTTCACTTCGCGCCTGTCGTAGCTCGGCGTTTTCCTCCCTCAAGCGCCCGACCTCGTCAGACATACTCTGCAAGTTGGCCTGCATCACCCGGAACTGTTGCATGAATGCGTCAAACTCAGCCTGATTCATGTTTCTCGGGCTCATCCTAACGGGCAGGGGGTTTACAACAATTTTTATAACTTTGATGAAGGCGCACACGCTAACGTAGTCGGAGTGAAATAATCGTATCTATTTTTCAGTCAACCGCTTTGTAGCTCACCAAGTCTACTGCACCCCGTCACTAAACTACCCCGAAAACAAGAGGGTAACCTAGGAAAGTAGATCTGATACCAAGCGTAATGAGTTGTAAGAAGAAGAGTGCGCAGAATGCAATATCGCGGAAGTGATTACAACAATTTACTGAATAATGAGACCTAGCACAAATATAGCAAGGGCTAGCTAGGCCGAGTTCGCGGGGCCGCGCAAGGTTGGGTGCAGGTTTGGGGTTGGAAAACCCGAAGGCGACACGAGGAAGGTTCAAAGGCGAGGTCGGCGGACCGAGCCTGAAAACTTCGAAAGTTGTGTCAAAACATATTCATTTATTTATATTTAGGTTATAGTGGGGTTAGCCTTTACGGGGTACAACAACTTTGTCAAACATTATACATGTTGTATTTGTGTAGGCTGTAGTGGGTTAGCCTATAGGGGGGTCACAACATTAGGGTTTCATATTTGTACTCACAATCCTTGCTAGTTCATCATTCCAGTCCGTTCTCGTTGACATGGTTTCAGAGCAGGTCCTTCGCTAGGACCGTTTTTTTTTAAGGGCCCACCGTTCCCTACCTACCTACCTACCTACCTAGGGCGCCTCGAATTTTTTTTTTAACGGCCCCTACATCCCGCGACCCGCGACCCGCCCCTTAAGGCCCCGTCGCGCCGCCCCTTAGCCGCTCGCGCGCGGTCGTTTTCATACGTGCGCCCCGCCTGCTGCCCGCGCGCGCCTTATTTCCCTCGCGCGCGGCCCGTCGCCTACTCGCGCACGCCCCGCAGCCGCCCGTCGCCTGCTCGCGCACGCCCCGCAGCCGCCCGTCGCCTGCTCGCGCACGCCCCGCAGCCGCCCGTCGCCTGCTAGCGCACGCCCCGCAGCCGCTCGTAGCCTGCTCGCGCACGCCCCGCAGCCGCCCGTCGCCTGCTCGCGCACGCCCCGCAGGCCCGCAGCCCGCCGTCGCAGCGGCCGCCCGCCCGCAGCCGCCCGTCGCCTGCTCGCGCACGCCCCGCAGCCGCCCGTCGCCTGCTCGCGCACGCCCCGCTGCCCGCAGCCGCTCGTACGCCGCTGCTTCCGCTGCTGCTTGCGCACCGCTGCCTCCCGAGCGCCGCCGCTGCCTGTGCGCCGCCGCTGCCCGTGCGCCGTCGCTGCCCCTACGCTGCCGCTGCCCGTGCGCTGCCGCTGCCCGTGCGCCGCTGCCGCCCGTGCGCTTCTGCAGCCGCCGCCCGCGAGGCACTCGCTCTCACTGTTGTTTATTTTCTACCTACCGCGCACACTGCTGCCACTGCAGCTGCCACCAGTGCGCCGTTGCAGCTCCTGCTGCCACGCTACCTACTACTGCCGCTCGTGTGCCACTACGGACTGTTGACCCTCCGCACACCTTTCCAGCGGCCTGATTCCTACTACTACTGTTACTACTGCTACTACTGCTACTGCTACTGTCACTATGGCTAGTCCTCCAGTTCTAGCTTTCGATGCCGAGGGCCGTCCAGTGAAGTTCGAAACCTGGCTAGATGACCTGCACCTGTTCCTACAGCTCACTGCCAAGGAAGATATCTCACTGTACGACCACGCCCTAGGCCATGCCACTGCCCCTGACTCGACTGCTGACAGCACTCTGCGTTCCCAGTGGCAGACCCGTGATGCGCACGCTCGCTTTGCTATTCGCAACTCCCTGCCGCTAGACGAGCGCGAGCACTTCGGCCAGTGCAAGACTGCTAAGGACCTCTACACCGCTGTAGTTGCCCGCTACTCCTCACCCGCTTCTGCCACGCTAGGCCGCCTCACTCTCCCCTACCTGTTCCCCGACCTAGCCTCCTTTCACACTGTCGCAGACCTCATCACCCACCTTAAGACTAGTGAGGCCCGCTTTCGCGCTGCTATGCCTGCCGAGTTTCTCACTAGCAACCCCCCCCCGCTCTGGATCACTCTCTACCACATCGTCACCCGCCTCCCTGACTCTCTGCGCGCAGTCAGGGACCACTTCCTCTCTCGCTCCCCCACTGAGCTCACTGTTGCCCTCCTCGAGAAGGAACTGCTTGCAGCTGAGGCGAGCATCGTCGCTGTAGGCACCTCTCGTGGTGACCCCCGCACCCCGTTCTTTGAGGGGTGTTCCCCTTCCCCCCTCCTCCCCTCTGTCGCCTCTGCTGCTGCTGTCGACCTTCTTGGTGCTGAGAAGGTCGGGACCGCGTCTGCTTCGAGCGGGCGCCGCAGGAACAAGGGGGGCAGGGGTGGGGGTGGCGGCGGAGGAGGTGGGGGTGGAGGCGGTGGGAGTGGAGGCGCGGCTGGGGAGACTAGTGGCGGCAGTGGGGGAGGAGACAGCAGCGGTGGGAGTGGTGGCGGAGGCGGCAGCGGAGGCGGAGGTGGTCGTGGCGGCGGCAGGGGTGGAGGTGGCCGGGGCGGCGGCGGTGGGGGTGGTGGTCGTGGAGGCACTGGCGGAGGGCAGAGTCAGCAGCCCGCCCCGACGCTTCAGGCCGCCCGTGAGTGGTATGCGCAGCGTGGCTTTACCTGCACGTACGTCATTCGCACAGGTGACCGCAGCGGCCAGCAGTGTGGGAGGCCGCACCCCACGCAGCGCTGCTTCGCGCGCCTTACCGACGCGTGGCGCACTCAGTTTCCTGCTGCCACTGAGCTGCCGCGCTGGGCTGATCTGGAAAAGAGGGGTGTTGATATTTGGGCTTTAGACTTTGATGCTATTCTCACTGCCATGTATGCGATGTCTATTAGTGGAGAGGGTGCTCAGTACTTGCGTGTTCCGCCCGACCCGGGCATTCAGGCCAGTCCGGCTGCCGCTCTAGGTGCTAGTGCGTCTGCTCCCACAGGTCCTGGTGAGGCTGCAGCCCTAGGTGCTAGTGCGTCCGTGCCCCCTGGTACTGAGTCGACTGCAGCACTGCACACCTTCACACTGGACTCAGGTGCTTCTCGCTCCTTCTTTCGTGACCGCACTGTCCTTGAGCCACTCACTCGGCCAGTTGCTGTCTCCCTTGCTGACCCCTCTGGGGGTCCGGTCATTGCGACCTCCTCCACTGTCCTTCCTTGTCCGGCGGTCCCGTCCGGCACGCTGTCAGGTCTCTACCTCCCCTCGTTCTCTACGAACTTGGTGGCAGGTAGTGCGCTCCAGGACGGGGGTGTTCACCAGTTCACCCCCGCCTACGAGCGCGTGACACACTGCACGTGTGCTCGGACGGGTCGCCACCTGGCTACCTTCACTCGGGAGCCGGGGTCGGACCTTTACACACTGACCACTGAGTCCCCTCAGGTAGCTGCGTCCGCGTCTGCGTCTGCGTCAGGTCAGCTGTCCGCCCCCTGCTCGTGTTGCTCTCTGGCGCATGAGACTGTCCTTTGGCACCACCGCCTTGGTCACCCGTCTGTGCAGCGCCTTCGGGCCATGCACAAACGGGACCTTGTTGCTGGTCTTCCCAGGGTACTCCCTCCCCTTCCAGACTCGCCTGCTCCTCCCTGTATTCCCTGTGTCGAGGGGCGGCAGCGCGCCGCTCCTCACTCCTCCTCCTTTCCCCCGACGACTGCTCCTTTGCAGACGCTCCACTTGGACGTGTGGGGCCCAGCCCGCGTCCGTGGCCAGGGTCAGGAGAGGTACTTCCTGATTGTTGTTGACGACTTCTCGCGCTTCACCACGGTCTTCCCCTTGCGCGCCAAGGGTGACGTCCCTGATGTATTGATCCCCTGGATCCGCAGATCTCGTCTCCAGCTCAGTGAGCGTTTCCGCTCCGACTTCCCTGTCCTGCGTCTGCACTCTGACAGAGGTGGGGAGTTTACCTCTGGCCTCTTGGAGGCCTTCTGTCAGCAGGAGGGCATTGAGCAGTCGTACACGCTTCCGGCCTCTCCACAGCATAATGGGGTTGCTGAGCGCCGCATTGGTCTAGTCATGGAGGTCGCTCGTACCTCCTTGAGCCATGCGGCTGCCCCCCATTTTCTGTGGCCGTTTGCAGTCCGATACGCTGCGCATCAGCTCAACCTCTGGCCCCGTGTTTCCTTGCCCGAGACTTCTCCGACACTGCGTTGGACGGGAGAGGCTGGCGATGCGTCGCGTTTTCGGGTCTGGGGATCCCGAGCTTTTGTCCGCGACACGTCCGCGGACAAGCTCTCCCGTCGCGCTGTCCCCTGCGTCTTCCTTGGCTTTGTCCCGGACGCCCCTGGCTGGCAGTTCTACCACCCCACCTCGCGTCGTGTCCTGGCCTCTCAGGACGTCACTTTTGACGAGTCCGTCCCCTACTACCGCCTCTTCCCCTACCGCACTGCCCCGCTCCCCCCCCCACCTCTCTTCCTCGCTCCAGGTGCTGAGGTACCAGACCCCCTCCCCCCTCAGGGTGCCGCTCCCTCAGGTGTGTCCCAGGTAGACCCGGGTGAGCCTGTCGAGGTAGCTGTTGACTCTCGTCCTGCTAGGGGTGCTGAGCCTGGGGGTGCTGCGTCTGGGGGTGCTGAGCCTGGGAGTGCTGAGTCTGGGGGTGCGGAGCCTGGAGGTGCAGAGCCTGGAGGTGCTGAGCCTGGGGGTGCTGAGTCTGGGGGTGCTGAGTCCGGGGGTGCTGAGCCTGAGCGTGCTACACCTGGAGGAGCCCTCTCCTCCCAGCAGCTGCAGGAGAGGTACCTCGAGTACTGCCGCCTCCGGAGAGGTGCTGCTGGAGCTCGTCCCGGTACTTCCCCTCCTACCCGGGAGCTCCCCCCCATTCAGCAGATCCGCGAGTGGTACACACGGCGCTGCAGTCTTCGGAGTGGTGCTCCTGGTGCTGCGGACCCTGGGGGTGGCGCTGCTGCTGGTGCTGAGGACCCGGACGTTGGAGCTGCTGCTGGTGCTGCGGACCCGCCTGGTGGAGCTGCTGCTGGTGCTGAGGACTCGGACGTTGGAGCTGCTGCTGGAGCTGAGGACCCGGGCGGTGGCGCTGCTGCTGGTGCTGAGGACCCGGACGTTGGAGCTTCTACTGGTACAGAGGACCCGGCCGGTGGAGCTGCTGCTGGTGCTGAGGACTCGGACGGTGGAGCTGCTGCTGGAGCTGAGGACCCGAGCGGTGGCGCTGCTGCTGCTGCTGAGGACCCGGGCGTTGGAGCTACTACTGGTGCTGAGGACCCGGCCGGTGGAGCTGCTGCTGGTGCTGTGGACCCGGACGCTGGAGCTCCTACTGGTACTGAGGACCCGGCCGCTGGAGTCTCTTCTGCTTCTGGAGACGCTGCGCGGCCGCGACCGTACTTCGTACCGCTCCTTCAGCAGGTTCTTGGGCAGGCTCCTCCTCCTTGTCCTCCTCCCTCCGTGGAGTGTCCTCCGCCTGTCCAGCCGCAGTCACTGTTACCGCCTACCTCGCCTCTCCCTGCTCCCTCTCCTTACACTGGTCCCACAGGAGGTCTTACAGAGCGTCGTGAGCCTGAGTCTCGTCCTGCGTCGCCTGTTCGTCCTGCTCGCACTGGTAGTCGTGTCCGTCGTGAGCGTCCTCCTCCTGTCCCAGGCACTCACTACATGACTCTGCGTCCCTCTACTGCTCCTCAGCGTGTCCCTCTACCGTCTCCTCCTACGTCCTCTTTGCCTGACGTTCCGGCCCCTGAGTCTGACCGGTATCGTGCTGAGCACCCTACTGTCACGCGTCTCCTCGCTACTGTTGTCACTGACCCTACCTTTGAGTCCTCGGCTGCGTCTGCCTTGGTCGCTGAGCTTGTTGACTTTGCTGCTGCCTGTCGTCTAGACTACGCCGCTAGTCTTGTTGCTGAGTCTCAGTTTGTCTGTCCTTCGTCCGTCGGGGGTGAGTGTGCTCTTGGCACGGACGTCCTTGAGGACAGACAGGAGGAGTTCCAGTGTCTTGCTGCTGCTTTGCCCCGTCTCGTGTCCTTGCTAGTTGCCCCTGAGGGAGACCCGGATGCACCAGACATCCCGACCCCGCGCACTTACGCTGAGGCGATGGCGGGTCCCTACTCCTCTCAGTGGCAGACAGCCATGGACGCCGAGATGGCTTCCTGGAAGTCCACACGCACCTACGTCGACGAGGTTCCCCCTCCTGGGGCGAACATCGTCAGTGGCATGTGGATTTTCAGGGTGAAGCGGCCGCCGGGTTCTCCGCCTGTCTTCAAGGCGCGTTACGTGGCTCGAGGCTTCAGTCAGCGAGAGGGAGTTGACTTCTTCCAGACCTTCTCCCCCACCCCGAAGATGACTACTCTTCGGGTGCTGCTGCACATAGCCGCTCACCGCGACTACGAGCTTCACTCACTTGACTTCAGCACTGCTTTCTTGCAGGGCAGCCTGCACGAGGAGATCTGGCTGCGCCGCCCACCTGGCTTCACTGGGTCGTTTCCTCCTGGTACCCAGTGGAGGCTTCAGCGGCCGGTCTACGGTCTCCGCCAGGCTCCGCGTGAGTGGCACGACACACTGAGGACTACACTTGCGGCTCTTGGGTTCGCGCCTTCTACAGCTGACCCGTCGCTGTTCCTGCGCACCGACACTTCGCTGCCGCCGTTCTACATCCTCGTGTACGTCGACGACTTGGTCTTTGCCACTGCTGACACTGCAGGACTCGCCTACGTGAAGTCGGAGCTGCAGAGGAGACACACGTGCACAGACCTGGGTGAGCTGACAAGCTATCTTGGCTTGCGGATCACCCGGGACAGAGCACGGCGCACCATCACCCTGACTCAGTCACACATGGTGCAGCAGGTTCTCCAGCGCTTCCGCTTCACGTACTCCTCGCCTCAGTCCACTCCTCTGCCTACCGGTCACTCGCTCTCAGCTCTGCCTTCGGATGAGTCTGTAGAGCCGAGTGGCCCGTATCCAGAGCTTGTGGGCTGCCTCATGTACCTGATGACCTGCACTCGACCTGACCTTGCATACCCTCTTAGCATCCTTGCACGCTATGTCGCTCCTGGCCGTCACAGGAAGGAGCACATGGATGCCACTAAGAGGGTGTTGCGCTACTTGTGCAGTACGTCGGGCATGGGGCTTGTGCTTGGAGGGCGAGACCGAGTTGTTCTCACAGGGCACTCAGACGCTTCTTGGGCAGACGACCAGGCCACTCAGCGGTCGTCTCAGGGTTACACCTTCAGCCTTGGCTCTGGCTCAGTTTCTTGGCGCTCTACACGCTCTTCTTCTGTTCTCGGCTCCAGTTGCGAGGCTGAGATCTACGCTACAGCCATGGCTGCCCAGGAGCTACGCTGGCTGACCTACCTGCTGACCGACCTCGGAGAGCGGCCTCGTTCTCCTCCAGTACTGTACGTCGACAACAAGGCTGCCATTGCATTGTGTGAGGAGCACAGACTGGAGCACAGAACGAAGCACATCGCCCTGCGGTACTTCCTTGCTCGTGAGCTGCAGCAGCGCGGTCAGCTTTGTATTCGCTACGTGGCCACTGAGGCCAACACTGCTGATGTGTTCACCAAGGCGCTTCAGCCTCGTGACCATCAGCGCTTCTGCACTCTACTAGGCCTTGTGCCTACTGGACCTCACTTACTTACCTCTTGACTTTGCTTGTACTGTGATCACTATATATATCTATACCTGCATGTTTACTCTTGCTAGGTTGTGATCACTGTATCTCTTGCTCTGTTATAAACCTGCATGTGAACTGGTCTTGTGACCACTAGCTTGTGCTCGGAATTTGTGTGGAATCCTTGAGATCCACCCTGAGCTTGTTGTTGCCTTGCTTTGCCTTGACTGGTCTTGTGACCCCTAGGTCTCCCCCACTTTGCCTATGGGGGTGTGTCAAACATTATACATGTTGTATTTGTGTAGGCTGTAGTGGGTTAGCCTATAGGGGGGTCACAACATTAGGGTTTCATATTTGTACTCACAATCCTTGCTAGTTCATCATTCCAGTCCGTTCTCGTTGACAAACTTTCTTGACATCTTTTTTGTACCCCCCTCCTTTCACTTAATGCATCATTCATAGTATTCTGACATGGTATTAAAACCGGAGTCCCAAACAGCCCAAAACTGCCTCAAACTTCCTAACTTTGGTTGGGTGTGACCCAGTAGATACTGACTTAAACTTCTGAACTTAGAAAATCGTCGGGACAATTTTCGCCACGTGAAATTACTGGACAATAGCAGTGACGGTTTCGTAAACAGTTTTCGCGCCCATCCGAAACTATCTGCGAACGAATTTTAATGTTGCATTCCATATCTGGTTACACTTGTGAGGTTTTCATACTTTGCGACCCACAACCTCCAATTTCGACAACACCCTGGTTCCCGAGCCAGTCGCGTTTCTTGGCCCAACCAACCTTCCTAAGTTTGAGACTCTTGGACCTTTGGTTTTAAGAGCACTTAGGAATGTTATTGTTTGTTTTTGTTTGTTTGTTTGTTTGTTTGTTTGTTTGTTTGTTTTTTTTTTTTTTTTTGTAAGAACCGACCGTTACCACTGCCTTTTCCGCTGCCCGTTGCGAGCCCCTAGTGCGTGTCTCTTAGCTGCCCATTGCACACCCCTAGCGCGCACCGGTTTTCTGCCCAAATCGCGTCCCAATCGAGCGCCCCGCACGCGCCCCGTACGCTGCCTACGCGCGTGCCTCGTTAGCTGCCTACGCGCGCCCTGTTCGCTGCTCCGCGCACGCCACGTTAGCTGCCCCGCGCATGCCCAGTTAGCTGCCCCATACGCGCCCCACTTACTGCCCCGCGCGCGCCCCATCTGCTGGCCCGCGCGCTGCCCTACCTTGCGCTGCCACCCACGCTGCAGCCTGGCCGCCCGCCTTGCGCGCTACGCCGTATACGCTGCCCTACCCTGCCCTGCCGGCCTGCAGCCCGCTGCTTCGCTGCTGCAATTCTGCCGCCTTGCCAGCTGCCACTACAGCCGTGCCATCGCCGCTACAGCTCCTGCTGTCGCTGCTACAGCCACAGTCAGCGCCGCAACAGCTGTGCTACTACAGCTACAGCCCTGCTGCTGCTACTAGAGCCCTCCGACCACTACTACAGCCCCTGCTGCTGCTAATACAGCTCTACTGCGGCCGCTATAGCTCTACTACTGCTGCTACAGCCCTTCTGCTGCCGCTACAGCCCCTGCTGTCGACGCTGCCCTGCATGCTGTGCCACGCGCGCTGCCCTGCCCTGCCCTGCCCTGCCTGCACGCGCTGCTCTGCTGCACTGCAGCGCCCTGCCGTCCGCTACAGCCCCTGCTGTCGCCGCTGCAGCCCCTGCTGTCGCCGCTGCAGCCCCTACTAATGCTGATACCGCCCTGCTGCTACCACTACAACCTTTGCTGATGCCGCTACTGTTAACGGGAATGGAGTGTTGGCCCCGCCCTCGCTTGGGCGCCGCCGGCACCTTGGTCGGATGCACGGGAGAAGCAGCCGATTTTTCGCAGTGAGGGAGCTGCTCGACGGGCTTCGTCGAGCTACAGGGTATCACGGTGGTGTTGCCGTTGACCTTGGGTGCTCGACGACCTTTTTCTGCAAGGCAGGTCAACGGGATGGTCGCCGACCTGCACAAGGCTCTCATGGGGCAGGAGCCGTCGACCAGGGAGCTCGACAGCTGCAGCCGATTTGGCTGGTTGACAGGTGGGCCTTCGAGTAGGAGGAGCAGTTCGACCGAGTGGTCGACGGAGCAGTTTGTCGACCTGACAAGTGAGCAGTGCTTGACGAGGGGAGCTCGGCGACAACGGCTGGCAGTTGTGGTCGATGGAAGGGGTCCGTCGACCAAGGGGTAGCTCGACAAGAGCTGTGGTCGACCAGAGGCACCTGGTGGTCGACCAGAGCACTTGGTGGTCGACCAGGTCGACCGGGTAACCTGCTCGACGAGTTCGGCGGAGGCACGCGAACGTCGTCGAGGTCGCGATGGCGAAGGCGACTTCGGGCTGGTATCCCGAAGTCGATGTGGCTCGTCAGGCGCAGACAACAGCCGACGGATGCACAACGATGCAAGCCGGACTAATCGTCTGCGCGCACCTACGAGCGTGCGCACTGCTGCCATCTACGGGTGCAACGCTGGACAGCCGCTCTGCTGCAGCGTTGGCACGCCGTCGACCTGCTCTGTTGGCAGGTCGCCTTTCTGCAGTGCTGGCGCGGCTCCTCTACGCAACGCTGGCAGGCGGTCGACCATGCAGTGCTGGCGGTCGACCAGGCTAGCTGCAGAATTGTTAGGTGCCTAATGTAGTCATTTTTGTCATTGCCACTGTCATCTTTCTGTAATGCAATCTTTGCCTAGTGAAACTCTTGCCGATTTCTCCCGTGAATGCTCAAGCGCTAAGGAACCAAGCAAAGCTATGAACACTCCTAGTTGTTCGTGCCACCCCCCGTGGTCTAGCTCACGACTGTTGTAGAGTGATTTTCCGCAGCTACAGCCGCTACAAACCCCTATTGATGACGCTACAGCCCTGCTAGCGGCGCTGCATCCCTGCAGCTGCCGCTCCAACTGCCGCTGCACCTGCCTTTGCTGTTACTATAGGCACCCACCGCCACTACGGCTACCACTGCCACCCTTGGCACCTGCTGCTGAGTGCCGCGACCGATCATGACCTTTCTCCCCTTCTTAATGGTTGACGAAGACGACCGCTTTTTCAAGTTAGGGTTCTGGCATGTGAATGCGCTGATATCTTCGGCTTTTCACTTCTAATAGCGTCTCCCTGATTGAGCACACGTGGGGGTCCTTCCAGGCCCCCACAACTCCCATTGAACCTGCTGCTGACCCTGGCGAGGACGTGCAGTGGCGGTAGTAGGCGAACAGTCTTGCCTACACACAGTGGACGGTGCGTGACGCTGTCGCACAGCTTGTCATCCGAGCTCACCTGCCGGTCGACCAGAGGGACCACTTTCGTCAGGTGACGTCGGCCCAGACTTTGTACAACGCTTTAGTTCGACACTACTCCTCCCTCTCTCCTGCCACCCGGCCACTTCAGCAGCGCTGTCCATTGTAAGGAGAGGTGCAGCAGCTGATTGAGGAGGCGAGTGTAGGTGCTTGTCCGTCTGCTAATACCGGTGGTGCGGCTAGTGGTGGCGGAGGTTTTGGGGGCGGACAACAACGACAAAAGAGTCAGCAGGAGACTCTCTTATCGCAGCAGCTTCGGGAGTGGGTTTCCCAACGACGTGTCCCTAGTGGAGTAGAGGCTGTTAGTCTAGGTGCTTGTGAGTCTGTTAGCACAGGTGCAGCTCCGGCAGAGGCTTTGCTCACCTTCACGCTATACTCAGGCGCGTCTCGCTGCTTCTTCCACGACTCCACCACAGTCACGCCACTCACTACACCTGTCCCTGTCACTCTGGCCCAGTCGTTGCACAAGGTACCACTATTCTCCCGTGTCCAGCAGTCCCCTCTGTTTCCCTTACATGCTTCCACCTCCCTTCGTTCACTACGAACTTGGTGAGTAATGCTATCCTCCAGGATCACTTGGTCACTACCACCACTCCTGGGGGAGATCTGATGGCGATCTGTATAGACCCAGTGACTGACGACCACCTCGCCACGTTCACTCGGAGGCCTAGGTCTGTCTTGTACACACTGCATGTTGAGTCTGCACATTTCGCTGGGTCCGGTCAGGTAGCTGCGTCTTGCTCGTGCTGGGCACTCACGCAACTGTCGCTCCTCGATCACCCCTCCCTGCTGCGTCGGCGTCGCATGCACTCACGTCTCCTTGTCTCGGGCCTCCCGAGATCCCTGCCCCCGCTCCCTCCATCGCTTGCACCACCGTGCACTCCCTGCGTCGAGGGGCGGCAGCGCGCCGCTCCTCATTCCTCCTCGTTCCCTCCGACCACTGCTCCTCTGCAGACCCTGCACATGGACGTGTGGGGCCCAGCCCCCGTCCCTGGGCCAGGCCGGGAGCGCTATTTTTTGCTGGTTGTCGACGACTACACGCGCTACACCACGGTCTTTCCCTTCTGGATCAAGGGCGACGTCCGTCTTGTTTTGATCCCTTAAATCGCGCTTTTCGTTGTCAGCTGAGCGCACGATTCCGTCAGGACCTCCCGGTACACCGGCTGCCACTCTGACCGTGGAGGTGAGTTTTTCTCCTGTCTCCTTGAGTACTTTTGCCGTGAGGAGGGCATCATCCAGTCATTCACACTTCCGGCTTCTCCGCAGCAGAATGGGATTGCTGAGCGCCGCATTGGCTTGATCATGGAGGTTGCTCGCACCTCCATGATCCATGCGGCTGCTCCCCATTTTTTGTGGCCGTTTGCAGTCTGATACGCTGCGCATCAGCTCAACCTCTGGCCCCGTGTCTCCGTGCTAGAGACCTCGCCTACCGTGCGTTGGACGGGGGAGGTTGGCGATGCGTTGGCGTTTCGGGTCTGGGGTTCGATGGCCCTTGTCCGCGTGTACTACCTCTACATGGGTGGGAACAGCAAGCGCGTGGAGCGGGCTCTGAAACTGATCGGGACCAAACGTGCCAACATGAACAAGCTGATCAAGCGTTGGGGGTGGGGCGCTGACGGTGCCATTGATGAGGAGAAGTGGCACCTCTTGAGGGTTGGAGGTATTGCTCCAACAAAGGCACGCGATGTTGCTGCATGGGTTTTGCAATACAAACATGGTGAGTATCTTGAAATCTACATGCTTCTGTGTCTGTTTTTTTTTTAAGGTTCCTTTGTTGTATTCATTTTTTAAAAGCCATTTCTCTTGCTCCCTATGTAGCGAAGTATGAATACAATTGGCATTGCTCTACTTAGGGCCACCCATTCGCGAATGCAGGATTTGAACTGGCAGTAAAGAAGGCATTCGTCAGTGCCCACTGCAACATGTTTTGTGCGAAGATTCCGGCTGTCGGCTATCTCTGCAATTATAAACTGGCATAATATCATTCCATCATAATGCACTGCTCTGTTACTAAACATGTGAGTTGATTGATGGCAGGTGGAATGGCCCTTGGAGAATAACAAGGGCAAGGGCCATGCATCCCTTGACAACAATGAGACAAACAACCGCAACAATCTCCGAGCCAAGATGAACGCCGTTGCTGCATGGATGAAGGAAACCCTTGCAAGGGAACCTGTCACGTTCAAGATAGATGAGCCCATAAGGTTTGAGATGGGCATAGGTAAGGTCAAGATCTTGATCGAGGGGTATGAGGAGTTGTTGTTGTTGTTGTTGTTGTTGTTGTTGTTGTTGTTGTTGTTGTTGTTGTTGTTGTTGTTGTTGTTGTTGTTGTTGTTGTTGTTGTTGTTGTTGTTGTTGTTGTTGTTGTTGTTGTTGTTGTTGTTGTTGTTGTTGTTGTTGTTGTTGTTGTTGTTGTTGTTTTTGTTGTTGTTTTTGTTTTTTTTTTTTTTTTGTCCTCTGGTGTTCTTCCCTTCTCCTGGCTTCTTGTTACAAATGTGTGATATGTATGAGAAAATTTATGTTAACTGTTGCGTTTGATCATTGTAAGCAGGGAGTGCAATGTAATAACAAGGATTTAGAAATCACATTTCCAAAGCCACAAATATATCATACAAAATACGGTTATCGTCAAATTTGTTCTCATGTATCATATTCCAAAAAGTGTACAAATAATATCTGCATACAGTAACAACAAATTCAAGATTGTAACTGTGATTGTAATGAGTTTGGATACACTAGTTTTTTTAGAACAGCTCATAAACAAAGCTTATTATTTTGTTACAGTTACATTTTAGGGTTGTTTGCTACAGTAACTGTTTCGTTCACACGAGCACGACACCTCCCGAAATGTTCACCGGAATGCTGTTTACGGCCAGTCGCTCCCTCAAACAAGCATGTTTTGCACGTACACGTGGCCACGAGAGGTTCACACCTCAACGTAACTCCGTCAACAACACTCACGTAACCTGTAGAAACCCCCTTGTTTCTGCCGCATGAACCACCACACGATGGTACCTATTCTCGCACCCAAAACTGGTTGTCAACGAACGTTGACATAACCGCCAGTTTTGGGTGGTTCTTTGCCTCGTAAACTGAGCAATGGGCCGGCCTGTCGATTTAAGGGCATTTGCCCTTAATGCCCTGAACATTCCAAGCGATATCTTGGGCCAACTTCGGCATTTCAATGGCTGGACTTGAGAGGAGCCCGTTTTCTTTACAGGCTGATTTTGGAAAATTGGGGTCTGAACCCAGATTCGTTATGGGCTGGCTCGGGGCCTTTTGTCAAATATTGTAGCCTTTAGTGATGTGTGTCATATGAAGTACAGCAGTTAGGGCTAGGTTTGTGTACCCCAACCAACCTTAATCAATGCATTCATCCAATTCTTGACATGGTATTACCTAGGTTAGGATCCTGTGGGATCTTGTTCCTCTCGCTCACGCCCGGAGCGCCCTACTGTCGAGCCTGTCCCGTACCCTAGTGCCCGTCACGCCCGTACCGTCCCCTAGCGCCTATCGCACTTGTCCGTCCGTGCCCTAGTGCCCGCTGCGCCTATCGCGTCATAGGCCGCTCGAGTTCTATGTCTGGCTTGTGCATGCGCAATGTCTCCTAGAGAGTCAGATTCGGGCCGACGAGTCTCTGTGGGCGCACGCTTCCGGTGACCTTCTTGCGACCTCGATCCCGCACCCTTAGGCGCTGACCCTACCAGTGCAGACAGAGACCGTTTTGTCCTCCAGCGTGCTGCCCTGACAGCGTGGAAGTCGCGTGACGCTGCGGCATGCATCACCCTCAGCAGCCTCCTCTCTGAGTTTGAGGAGGCCCACTTCACTTGGATTCGCACGGCTAGTGAGTTCCTGACTGCGATCAAGGCCCGCTATGCTACTCCCACCACTGTCTCTCTTGGTCACCGGTTCCTCCTTTTCCTGTTTCCTGACCTCGCCTCGTTTGAGCGCTCTGCTGACTTGATCGCTCACCTGCGCTAACTAGATTCTAGCTACCGCGCTGCTTGCACTGACGCACAGCTTGCACTGCTCCCTCCCCCCATGGCGATTACTATCTATTTCATCGCCACTAGCCTCCCTGACCGCCTTGCCTCGGTTCGTGACGCGCTTCTTCTGAAGCACCCTAGAGAGCTCCCTATCGGCGTCCTTGAGTCTACCCTCAAGGACGTCGAGAGCAACCTCTGCTCTGTAGCCTCCGCCTCTGGCGCTGTGCCCCCTCCACTGTTTCACGGGTGCACTGTCCCTCAGCTGCCCACCTTTACTGCCTCCCTCGCCACTGCCGCTACTGACGTGACCGCAGCTGCTGTTACAACTTCTACGCGATCTAGGGGTAGGAGTGGCAAGAGGGGTGGCCAGGGTGCGGGCGGTGGCGGAGGCGGCAGAGGTGGCGTGGCGAGCGGCGGTGGCGGGAGTGCAGGAGTTGGAGGAGCATCTTGTGCAGTGCCTAGTGACTCCCCTATTGCAGCTGGTGGAGGTGACGCTCAGGTTAGTCGGGCACCTGCGGGGCTGCCAACTACAGGTGTTGGAGTGGCGGCTGGGTACCTGAATCAGCGACAGCAGCAGCAGCAGCCACTCCTCTCGCAGCAGCCACAGCAGCAGCACGTAGGGGCGGCTGTCACTCCACCCTCGCACCTATCTCGTCCATACATGTTCTTGCAGAGGCCTCCACTGTGACCGCCGCCACACTCCAGGTGAGTGCTCTGCTCAGCTCACTAACACTCTTCGCACGGTGTACGGCGTCGACGACCCTGCATCTGACTGGCTTCCTTTTCTTTGCTCACACGGTGCCGCTCTGTGGGCCATGTCTGCTTCTCAGTTGCTTCATTTCTTAGGAACTTCTCATGCTATGTATGGTGTTGTTGACTCTAGTGCTTCTGACTCTGTTTACTCACGTGTTTTTAGCTTAGGTGCTAGTGTTGATCCTGTGCCAGTTGCTAGTGTAGGTACTTGCTTAGGCACTAGCCCAGGTGCTGCTCCGGAGGACGCTTCGCTGTCTTTCACCCTGGACTCTGGAGCTTCGCACTGTTTCTTCCGCGACCACACGACTCTTACTCTGCTTCCGTAGCGCCAGCTGATCCCACTTTAGGACCAGTCACTGCTCGCTACACTACTACGCTTCCGTGCCCGGCTGTTCCCTCGGGTTTCCTGACGGGCTTCCACGTCCCCTCGTTCTCCAGGAACTTGGTGGGTGTGAGGCCACTCCTGGATAGTTATGCAGGTGTTTGGTTTGGGCCTTCTGGGGAGTCTGCGACCTGTGTAGACCATGACACGTATGCGCCGCTGGCCACCTTTCACGCTGAGCGGGGCCCTGATCTCAACACAATTCACACTGGCCCCCGAAGGAGGCAGCAGCAGTAGCAACAGCTGCTGCTGCCTCCAACCCCTGTCACTGACCCCCGTCAGGTCCCAGCGTTTGGTCCACTTGCTGCGTCTTGCTCGTGCCGATCGCTTGCCCACCCCACTGTTCTGTGGCACCACCGGATGGGTCACCCGTCCATTCCTTGCCTGCGCACTATGTCTAGTCAGCGTCTTGTCTTAGGCCTCCCGCGAGTCTTACCGTTGGTGCCGCCTTCGCTTGCAGCACCTTGCGGTCCCTGCGTCAAGGGTCGGCTGCGCGCCACCCCTCACTCCTCCTCCCTTCATCCGGCCAATGAGCCCTTCGAGACTCTCCACTTGGACGTCTGGGGCCCCGCCTCTCGCCTTGGCCACGAGTGAGAGAGCTTCTTTCTGGTGTCGTTGATGACTACTCCCGCTATACCACAATGTTCCCGCTGTCGAGGTGACTTCTACGCTGATCTGCTGCGGACACTCGTTTACTCTGACCGCGGGGGTGAGTTTTGTTCAGGCATTCTCGCTGGATTCTGTTGCTTACAGGGCATCCGTCAGTCCTGGACGCTTCCAGAGTCCCCACAGCAGAATGGAGTTGCTGAGCGCCGCATAGGCTTGGTCATGGAGATCATCCGCACCTCCATGACTCATGCTCGTGCCCCCCATTTTCTGTGGCCCTATGCGGTTCGGTACGCCGCTCAGCAGCTGAACCTCTGGCCACGTGTCTCTCGGCCAGAGGTTTCACCAACGAGTCTTTAGACCGGGTCCCCTAGTGCTGCGTTGCGTTTTTGTGTCTGGGGCTGCTTGTTGCTTGTTTGCGATACCTCCGCAGACATGCTCTCCCCTCGCGCCCTTCTCTGTGTTTTCCTTCGTTTTCTAGAGGACTCCTCTGACTTCACCTTTTACCACCCTCCCTTCACCGATGTTTTTTACTCCTGGGACGTCCGTTTTTACAAGTCCGTCCCTTACTACACCCGGTACCCCTGTCGAGGTCTCCCGGTTCCTCCTCCCCCTCTCTCTTCCAGACAGTCGCCCACCCTCCTGCTCCCCTGTACAGCCTCCCCCCCTGGTCCAGCCCCGTCAGGTGTGTGACACACTACCCCTCCCCCCTCGATAGCCCCTCATGTGTCGTCCCCTTCTCCGCAGTCCTCCTCACAACCTACTGCAGTCCCTGTGGGAGCTGGTGTTCGTGGCGAGGACCCTGGAGGTGCTAGCTCTAGAGCAGTTGAAATTGGATCTGAGAGCGTACCTGTACGAGGTCCTGGTTCTGGGGGTGCTGGAGTTGGAGCTGAGCCCGTGACTACTAGAGACTCTAGTCTTCGGGAAGCTGGTGTTAGTCGAGCAGTCCCTGGGGGTGCTATGACTGGGGGTGCGGGTGTGCCCTCTACTTGACCTGGAGAGCCTGGGACTGACCGCGTTGCTTCTGGTGGTGCTGGCCTAGGGGGTTGGTGCGACTGGTGGTTTGGAGGGTGGTCCTGGAGCTACCCCTGCCCCGGCCACTACTCCTTGCCCACACCCCTACCCCACCCGGCACCAGGCCTGCATTCGGCGTGCACGTGAGGAGCAGCTAGAGTTGGAGAGAGAGGGTCTAGAGTTGTAACGGCAGCAGCTGGAGGAGTAGCAACAGCAGCAGTCGCAGCTGGAGGAGCAGCAGCAGCAGCAGCAGCAGCAGCATACGCAGCAGAAGCAGCAGCAGAAGTAGCATACGCAGCAGCAACAGCAGCCACTACCGGAGGAGCACCAGCCGCAGCTGCAGCAGGAGCAGCAGCGGCCGCCACCTCCTCCTCCTATCTCTGGTCTTTGGACCTCGGTCTCCCCTCTCCCTCTCCTCCCTCCTCCCCTTCTCCTCCAGTCTCAGGTCCCACGCTTCCTCCTCCTGACCCCACCCCAACTATTTTCCCCTGTTTCCAGCCTACGTTGACCTCTTTCTTCTCCTCGTGCTCATTCCTCGTCCCCTGTTCCCGTCACTGACCTTCGTACTGCCCTGTTTTGTCCTAGCTCCCCTCGTCCATCTCCGTCTGTGCTTCCTTCTACTCTTGAGTCGGCCCTCACTTCTTCCCTCTCTACTTCTTTCACTGACTACTACCGCACGTACCATCCTGTTCTCTCTCGTGTTCTCGTCTGTCTTTTTACCAACCCTCATGCCTCTCTGTCCTCTGTCTCCGCCCTTACTACCACAATCACTGAGTTCGCCACTACTCGCCGCCTTAACTACTCCACTAGTCTTGTAGCTGCTCCACCTACCAGTCCTCTGGCCGTCGGGGGTGTGTCTGCCCTTGGCTGTGACGCCCTAGAGGATAGGCAGTTTGAGCTAGAGTTCCTG